TCTGTATTTACCACTTTAATTGTGGTGTAGGACAAGGGCGGGTAGGGGTAAAGGGTAGGGGTGGTCTTCAGCCTGAGGAACGAGCTCAGCATGGCTAAATAATCTCGAACAGCGCAGGTTATGTCTTTTCATTTCTGTCTCTAGCAGCGTCCGTAGCTTTGGCGTTACGAGTCTGACTCGTAATTCCAACGTACCGCGATCGAAACCCACTGCTGGCTGCGTGGATTTTTATCATGGTATGGGGCGTCGCAGGTCAACCCAGCCTAAAATGGGTACCAGGATGGGCTGTCCTGTGGACGAAAAAACGGCTGGCGTAATGCTGACCACATTACCCACCTAGTGCAAAATGGTCTGTAAAAAATATGGGAAGCTCTTCCCATATGCCCGAAGCGCCTAAGGCGTGAAAATGGATCTTTACTATTTCTATCTCTAACCTGTGGTTCAGACTTAGATCTCCGCATGAGAGATCCCTGTTCTAACCGTTCGGCCACCTATGCCGAAGGAGGTAAAAATAACTGAAACTGATTGAAGTTACTGTTTATTTTACATTGGTTATAAAAGGATACTCCCTGTTGTCTTTTCTTCTGAGTTTAGCGTGTGGGCAGCTGACCATTTACTCCCGACAGTTTGCCGAGGGTCTTAACTTGACGTGTGAGTACAAGAACGATAGCAGAGACAATGTGTCCTACGCTGTTAGCCTGGTTATATCCAGGTGAGATATGTTGCTTGTTTGAGATGGAATTATTTTGTGATTAAATAAAACATTCTATTCCATATTGCGTGTGAGTGTGTGTGTTTGTGTGTGTGTCTGTGTGGTCAGGGTGTATATCCACAAAAAGGGAACGGCAGAGACAGTCTTCCGTGATACATTTGGATAACCGCTTGTATCAACAGTTATAAAACAAAGAAAAAAAAGAAATATCTGACAACCACTTGTATCAACAGTTATAAAAAAAAAAAAAAAAAAAAAAAAAGAAATATCTGACAACCACTTGTATCAACAGTTATAAGACAAAGAAATGAGAGAAACATCTGGACAACCACTTGTATCAACAGTTATAAGACAAAGAAATGAGAGAAACATCTGGACAACCACTTGTATCAACAGTTATAAGACAAAGAAATTAGAGAAATATCTGGACAACCACTTGTATCAACAATTATAAGTCAAAGAAATGAGAGAAACGGTCGAGACAGTCTTGATATATCTCTCAGATGCGCAAAGATGACAGGGGTGGGGGAGGGAGGATGAAATTACATTTTCTTCTCCCCCAACAAACATGTCGTACAAGGCAGCTAATAATGGATGTCTTCTTCAAAGTCGGGGTCATCTACTTGAGAAGTAAGGGGATATGTACACACACAAAAAGCCAGATCCGAGAAACGAATCTGCACACAAAACTCAAATTCCGGAAAAAGACAAAATTCCAGAAGTAGACAAACAACCTAAACTTTATCTGGAGTTTACAGCTGGTGATAGTTAACTGAAATAAAAAGCAGAAGATCGCAAGTTACGTGGCCCTCATCGAATATTCTTCTTCTTCGCGGTCACCAGCTGTAAACTCTGGCGGAAAGTTCTGGTTGTTCATCCACTTCTGGACTGCAGTCCTTTTCCAAAACCTGAGTGTTGCGTGTGCATCCGTTTCACAGAACTGACTCATTTGTGTGCAGACTGCTGGTTCATTGCCTCTCAGGCAGATGCACTCCGACTTTGAAGGAAGCTCCCAATTAGTCGACTCTCACGACATGCTTTTGGGTAGGCAGTGGCTCTATTCTTGTTTTCCCTATAATAGGGCCCCGGAACTCACACGGGGAAGAATGTTCTAATATAGTGTTCTAAGCCATTTTAGGATATACTCCTGCTCATACAAATGGTGGTTCAGAGCCTGCCAATCTGTCTGTCTGTTCTTAAAAAGAATAATCACTGGAGCTACAGGATGCGTTCTCTACTCCATCTTCGCCGGTCAAGTGACAACAATGATTGGGAAACATGTTCACTAACTCCTAAGTCACTGTGCTTTAACTCCAAACTGGTGCGAAAAGCTGAAAGCAAGCCATCGAGAGGTAAACAGTGATACAAGTGGACGGCTAACATTAGGAGATCCATGATCAGCTGCGTAGACTGTGATATATAGTGTTTGTCGCGGTTTCGACCTCATGTAATCGGGTTTTCCCATAATTGTTCTGTTCCTGGGCCCATGAAAATCAAACGAAATGTCCTTCAAGACTCTGGTGAACAAACAGTTAGTCCCGTCACAATCCAGAAAGTAAATGGATATGGCAGTTGCTAGAAGGGCCAAAGGCAACAGCTGCCATCAGAAGTGCAGTGTGTTGTTGATGGAAATAGTTGGTTACAATAAGCTGGCACTACACACTTGTTACGTAAGGTATTTTGTCAGCCCTCACGGTTATCACCCACATTGAATAGCATGACAACCACTGCACAAATGAAAGACATTCACCATAAAAAACACAGCTCACAGTGCTGCATCAGGCACTTAACTCTATAGCTAAGGCAGCGAAACCGTACACTTCCGTCCATATGTCTAAACTGCATTAGCAAAGCGCTGCCAGAAACAAAAAAATATCTTCAAACATTCTGCCATGCCTAGTCCTCCAAACTGGTCCGGAAGTCTACAGTGATGCATGTGGGAGGCTCAGATTAGCATTAAATGAACAGCTGTCTCAGAGTGTAGACACAACCAGGGCTGGCAAGGGAGTTAGGGAATGTTGAAGATTTCTTGCAGACAATCTCCAATGCGGACACGGCACCAGATTTGAACCTGCAAGTCGTACGCACCGGAACCAGGGCGCCTCAGTCAGTTTGAGCTCGGATGTTGGGGGGGGGGGGGTAGATAAGGGACCTGATGTCCCTACACAGTTGTAAGGAATTCACTTAGAAGTTCACTTTTGTAAGTTCATGTTAATCCATTTCACATTAGTTCAGACAATATTTTATATGTTTATTGCTATTTTCCTTTTCTTCTTCGCGATCACTGGATGTAAAGTTCTGGTTGTTCGTCCACTTATCTTGTTCCTGAACTTGATTTTTGCCTGCAAATATGTTTTACAAATCTGTCATATTTGTATGCAGACTGTTGGTTCCTCACCCGTCAGGTATATGTATTCAAACTTCGAAGGAAACACACATAATTAGTCGACTTCTACGTCATGCTTTAAAGGAGACTGGGATTCTAGTCTTTCTATCGCCCACAAAGGGCCTCAGGAACCCACCTTTCAATGATATATATATATAATTTGTAAACATTACGCACCTAAACAAGTCTTATACTTCTTGACCTTCTCCCTTCCCTTAAAAAAATAATAAGAGTGATGAATACCTATGCCTTGCTTGCTTGCTTGTTGTACCCCACCAGGACATCACACAAGCGATAAACACCCGGTGACACAAAGTACCACCATGCGGATGAGGATCACCAATGGAGAGGCCCCAGAAATCTTTTTTAGCCGTTATGGCCACATTTATATTCAGGACCGGGGAGGAGCTAAAAAAAAAAAGGCATCCCACCTGGGGACAACCCAAACACAAATAGAACAAAAATCTCTATGCCATTGTTTTGTTTGTATCGGTGCCTCACTGCACACTTCACAGCTGGGTGATATAAATATTTAGCACAAAGTCCGGGGTTTCAATAACAATATACAAGCTGCTAATCTACCAAAGACTTTGCTGCGTAATTCCAACGGTTGCCTGGTCTACGCAGCGAGAAGTGTATCTTATTATCTCTCTGAAGGATAAATATTGTAAACTTCTAGAGAAATCTCTCACTAGAAAGACAAGATCCTATCTTGAGAATTCACACATGCTGGCTAATTACCTTGGTCGCTACAGGTCAAGGCGAGTGTCCCAAGGTCATGCTGCATTCTTTTTATGTACGGGGAAAGGGGGAGGGAGGAGGGAAAGCCGTTTGTAAAGATGATAATGCCACTGAAATTAAGCTAAACGGAGTTGTTGTTCGTATCATTATCGTCATAATCATCACCATCTTTTGTTTCGACCTATTATCTACTCTTGTTTAAAACTGTCGGCTTGAATATAATTCAGTACTTTTGGCCTCTGGTTATTTCGTCTTAGGTTTACTACGAACGTCTTCGTTTTAAAATGTTTTTGTTTCTAATTTACGTGCCTGAATTGTTTCTCATTTAATCGCCTGTCATGTCAGGTGAAATCACCTCAGTGGCACGTTTGATTAAACTATCTTCTTCTTCTTCTTCTTCTTCTTCTTCTTCTTCTTCTTCTTCTTCTTCTTCTTCTTCTTCTTCTTCTTCTTCTTCTTGTCGTTAACTGGCTAAAAACTCTGGTTGAAAGTTCTAGTTGTTCGTCCACATTTGGACATTGGACTCGTTCGAGGACTTGAGTTTGCATTACTAAATTATGATGAAATTCTAATGCTCGGGTAATAAGCACATTAACTTCAGACAGTACCGTATGGATGATAGATGTAGACAGACAGACAGGCAGGCAGATAAACAGAGACATTCAGACGAACAAACATCCAAACAGGCAATACGGTAACAAGTCAGACACAGACATATATACAGACAGGAACAGATACCGAGACAGTCAGATAGGCACAGAAACAGACTAGAAATACTATATCTATAATCCATACAACACTGTCTGAAGTTCAGGTGCTTTCGCATCCTATGTATATGCTCTGTTAACCTAGTTTTAAAATTTAATTATAATTTCATAACATACATAAACCAAGAACGGATTTAGACAGACACATAGTCAAACAGATCCTCAGAAAGACACATGCCGACATACAGATACCACATACACACACACACACACACACACACACACAAAGAAAAAAAAGTAGAGAAGACAGATGGACTCACACTCACTGCGGGAGAGAGAGGGAGGGAGGATAGAGACAGAGTGTAATGAGCAGAGAAATAGTGAGAAACAGACAAACAGACAGAGAAGGCGTGTGTACCATCACAATCAAATTACAACTGTTCCAACAACCCAGATCCATTGACGGTCAAAACGAGGTCCTGGCCTCCATCAACAGTTTCCAGAAAGCGGTCACAAACCACGTGATGGACGCAAAAGTAACCGGAAGCATGAATGGCTCTTATGTAAGTACAGTTCACATTTGCCCAAAAATGAAAAAAAAAAAAAATGCCAAAGGAATGAACCTAGACAGCACATCATGCAATGACAATAGTTTATTAGTTAGTTAGCCTTTCTTCTTGAACCTAAGCGTATAGGGCACAGCTCGTAGCTTTCAATGTCTGGCGGTTGTTAGGCCAGTGATTGAGCCGTCCCCGATGATGTTTTATAGCTGAACACTTACTGACAGGCATCGCCCACTACCATCGGTACGTACATGAAAACGTTTGATATAGGTCGGAGAAAGCTTGCCAAGGCCTTGTCACGTGATGTGTACAGATTTTGATTGATTGACGTTTAACCCCATCAGGACATCACACCGATCGATAAACCCCGGGTGACTCAAAGTGACGGTTAGCGGAGTAGCTGTATCCACTATCAATAGAGATGTAAGACGCCTCATTTCCTCCGTTAGTCTACGGGACAAACTTTGACAAGGTGGAGTACCTGTTAGAACCCAGTCAGGGTTACGTGAAGCAGGTGGTGGATGGAGTGTAAGAGCAGCCGACAAATTGTTGTTGGTTATGGTCATGCACTCTGTGGCGATAGGCAGATGATCTCATCACTAGAGACAGTCTATGGTCACCGACGAGTATAGTCACTGTCCAGTTTGAAATCAATGGCAAACTACCGTTTCAAAACTTGCCAAGAAACCATAACAGCCATGAAAGAAAACATAACAAACAGATCTGGCGGCGAGATCTCCAGGCCAGGCAGATCAGATAACACTGGGGAAGAGTGTGATACAGGGACCAGTAATAATAATCGTGACGACGGAGTTAATCCTGATTGCGTTAAAATTGTCAAAAAATCGTTTGTGGCAGACTAAAAAGGAGAAAATTGAAATATTTTGGTCACTTGAAACGTCACGAAATTTACAGTAATAGATGGGTATATGCCTGGGAAGGGAGGAAGAGGAAAGCCAAAGAGAAGATGGGTGTAGGATGTGGCGGATGATCTCCATATGGGTGTATCAGACGTGGGACATCTTGCTTGTGATCGATAAGTTTTCCGGATGGTTGTTGTGTGAGCAAGGTTCTGCAAAGGACATGCTACTGACTGACTGACTGACTGACTGACTGACTGACTGACTGACTGACTGACTGACTGACTGACTGGCTGGCTGACTGACTGACTGACTGACTGACTGACTGACTGACTGACTGACTGACTGACTGACTGACTGACTGACTGACTGACTGACTGACACAAAGTGCGTTCATTCAGACGAGGATCACCCGGGGATAGGTTCCAGAAACCTCGTTATTTTAGGACCCCTGACCACATTCGGAGGGGGGGCTTTGAAATAACGAAAAATTGCGTCCGATATAAAGTGGGTATTACTTTATCTCCCTTCTGCTTAAAGAAGTTAATTTAAATGAATAATGTTTGGATGAGGAGAATTCAAATATTAGAACAATGGACAACAGAAATAAAAACCAACATGAGCTGGGTCGAGCAAGTGAGTGTACCAAGTAGATAACCTACGAAGAGTTCAGAAATGTATGTCACCTCAAGTAACATCAACAAAAGCATAGTGGCTTGCTTAGTACAGAAAATTCTACATTTGACTTCGTGTAATGAGATGATATACACTCGTTGAGGTATTAGAGAAAGGGGCCAAGGATGTGACAACATTATAGATGGGTTAAACAGGTTTCACAAAAGACAGTATGACATACATCTAGTATCTAATAAATATGTTTGTTCTATAAAGGTGGGTGGTTGTTGACATCACTACACACGAGACACAATAACTCCAACCTATTGGCCCCTCCCTCTTTTACCACACTCACAACTGCTACATAAAAAAGTGACACCACAGCAGAATGAATGGCAATCCAACAAGAAAGAATCCCAAACACCAAATATAACAATCGATTTGTACAATAAATAATTATAATGTTATTATTTTGGTTAACACAAACTAGGACAAGAGGCAGACCAAGACCTGGATACATAATAAGGCTGAACGGAGAGGGCTCAAACACGTTAAACATCACATCCACCATATCCGGGAGTAACATTCGACAAAAGGGGCACCCACATTGAAGACACCGAAAGAAAAGCTACCTTGAGGCTTAGACTTATGAAGAATCTTACTGGAACAAGCTGGGGTGCAGATGCCATAACTGTACGAGAAGTGTGCACAGGATACGTACAGCGAAAACTGGAGTATGGAAGGGAGCATACTCTACTGTAGCCAAATCAAACCTACATAAACTAGACAAAATACAGAACACTGGTCTCAGAATCATCACTGGAGGTATGAGAAGCACACCAATTCCTGACCTGGAGGCAACCTGTGGCCTCCAGAGCTTAAGCCTTCGAAGGAAAGACAATGTGCTTACCCTAACAGAAAAATTGAAACGCATGAACATAAGCCTCGACACCCACAGCGGTAAAAGAGGAAGTGAAGAAGAAGAACATAAGCCCCATGCACAGAAAAGCAAATAACCTTACTAAAAACCGACTGAAAAGAGAAAAGCTTTCACCATCTATCAAAACTGTACTGCAAAGAAAAAAACCGACATCTTTTCCAAAGATCCTTTAACATGGAAAATGATCTTTGCATGCAACATAGACTTACAGCCTAACTATAGTCACAACAACAATGCCAGTCATAGACAGGAAGGCTGAAGAATGTGACCTAGTATTGCGTGCAAAGACCCTTGAACGTTTCTACAACTGTTATCCAAAACCCGAATGGACACACGTATACACCGATGGATCATTGGAGGGAGCAGACCAAAAAAAAAAAAAAAAACGACGAACTGGAGCATCATGCTGCAAGATGGGACCACAGTGGAAACGTCATGCGCCTCTGGAAGACTCTCAACAAACTTCAGAGCAAAGCAGCAAGCAATTTTTGATGCAACCAAAGTGCTTGGGGAAAGAACAATTTCAGACAGCAAAATTGTTTTTTTTTGTGTGTGTGACTGCATGCTAGTCCTACAGGCGACTCATAGGGATCCACTGGACAATATAGACTCACAGAAAACAACAAAATCGTTCTCCAGTGGATCCCGGCTCACTGCGGCATACCAGGAAATGAGTTAGCAGACAGATTTGCTAAAAATGGAACAAAGGAGAAACAACACACCCACCCATTGTCGTTATTAGAAATCAGAACACTTATCAATGGAAAATACAAGGAATTGTGGAGAGAACAAACCAACAGTAAACATCAACAAGACCCCATCAGCAAACTTAACAGAAAGCAACATACAACAATTTACCGTCTACGAACAGGAAACTGCAAGCTCAACTACCACATGCATGAAACAAATATTGTACAGTCCCCACAATGTGCCTTTTAAAGAGGACCACAAACACCTGTGCACATTCTGCAGACCTGCCCACCTACATACAACTTCATAAGACACCTGGCCTCAAGAGCAAAGTGTGTAGAGCAAGGTATGGGGAACCACGAAGGACCTGCTACTAACATACGAGTTCATAGAGGCAACCCACCTGTTGGTCTGATCTGCGCATACGAAAGCAAACGCAAAAAAAAAAAAAAAAAAAAAAAAAAAAAGAAGAAATCCCCTGCAATTGACCATCAGAATTTGATGGAGCCATCTGACCATCAGAAGTGGAGGAAAGCATCTGACCGTCAGAAGTGGAGTGAGCCATCTGAGCGTCAGAAGTGGAGTGAGCCATCTGACCGTCAGAAGTGGAGTGAGCCATCTGAGCGTCAGAAGTGGAGTGAGCCATCTGAGCGTCAGAAGTGGAGTGAGCCATCTGACAGTCAGAAGTGGAGTGAGCCATCTGACAGTCAGAAGTGGAGTGAGCCATCTGGCCGTCAGAAGTGGAGTGAGCCATCTGACCATTAGAAGTGAAGGGAGCCATCTGACAGTCAAAAAATAAAGGAAGCTGATCAAACATAAACCGCCTCATCAAGTTACTTGCCAGCTGGTGTTCTAGATTAATTCCACTGATGATATTCCTCCATGCCCCACTGTCTTAAGCCATCCATCCTAATTTCTTTTGGTCTATCTCTGATTTTCTACCAGTGGTCTTTCTGGGAAGGATAGAGGACTTTGGGGGCAGTGAATCCACATCACTCGCCAAAATGGCAGACTTGGGAATTAGGATCGGCATAGCAAAAAACGAGACGCACACCAGACACACCAGAAGACTTGTTAATCAACAAAGAACTGGTACCATTAGCCATCGGACGTTGGAGTTCATACTGAGGGAAGGATCTGAGCACCTATGGACATGTGCGGAGTGCAATGTTGATAACCCAACTAACTAACTAACTGTTATTCTGGCAGTCCAAGGTATTCGAAACAGTATTCTCAAGATCCACTCTGATCAGACAGTCAGCGTTACTCATCGGTTATTATTATTGTTGGCACCTGTCCCTCTCTCCAGAGTGTTATATTGTGCTATGAGGAGACATGGGACTCACAGCCCACGGCGATGACGTGTGTGATGAGCAAGAACCCGCATGCGATGAGAAAAGTCTTCCACAATTATAACATGTCACTTCAGGAGCGGCGCATTGACACACTGTGTTAATGGTCAAGGATGACGATGTCAGCACAGTTGTGTTTGCTAAGACACTAACTGTTATCTTCACCTTTTGTCTTCAGGCGTCGTGTGGAGGGAAAACTGATGATCTTGCTTTTGATATGTGCCTCTAAATTGTCATTCTTGTTAATGGACAACAATATTTTTAATAATTTCATCAAAATCATTTTTTATTGCACCCTTTTGGTCTCGGAGCAAAACATTTTATATCAAGCACGTTTGTGAACTACCGTTGTTGCTGCATTATCAAATGCCTAAACCATTTTGTAAGCAGCTTCTCAATGTGGTTGAAACAATATTGTGGTACCACCGATTGATCGTCTCATTTGGACTCGATACCATCTTTTAAATGTTTTCTTTTGGTCAGGCATCTCGTCTCACAAGAGTTGGTCTTGATTTATGTAAAAATTACACACACACACACAAAAAAGAAATGGTTGGGGGAGGGGAAGATCTCCATGGCGGAGTTGAAGAATGGTTTGCTATCATTCTGAAGGTCATACATTCGTTTCCCGGCTGCATATTTAAGTAGAGCTACCTAGTCCATGGTGTGTCCCTTTCTACGGAGAGAGACCCAGCCATGTTGAATCACAACCCATGCAATGATGTTGATCCCCTCACCTTTAACCTTTAACCTTAACTTAGTCACCTTTCAGTTATGTCAGGGTTTGACACAGGTAGCATGGGGTTAGAATAACTTATAATCTGTTACATTCAGGGCATAGTTACATGTAAATAGCTTAATAACATTGCCAGTGGCTATACGAGAGCAGTTTCCCGTTGGCACCTTATGTTGGTACACCTGTCTGTTCTGCCACACTCCACAATACTTACTACGTGTTTAAATTCTTTAACTTGATGGGACTCGAACCATCATTATTCACTTCCACGTGTTTTCACATCAGCTCTTCAAAAATTGACTGACGTTCAACCCCACAAGTTCACCACACCAAGCGATAAACACAAAGAAACATTGTTCAACCCATAGGTTGGTTTATATTAGGGCCCCCAGCAACAGCCAGGGTGGGGTTTGCACACAACATTAAATTGCGTCCGACGATGGGACGCAGCGCATTATGTGCTCTTAAAAAATACAGTGCTTGTGATGGTAACTACTTATTTGTCAGTAAACATTCTGGCTTAAAACCGTGAACGTATTTTCTTGTTTTGACAGGCATTTAATTGGCATCATGAGAGCTAATAGGTTGTTAAGTAGACTAAGAAAACGTTGGAGAGATAATGTCCCGAGAAACCTGAAAACACTTTTTGTTACCAACTGGAAAGAGATGGCCAACCAGAGAGATAAGTGTAGGCGGGTGATGTCTGCAGCAACGAACTACAAGGGCTCGGAATGCTGAAGAAGAAGAGAAAGAAGAAAGTTTTGACTGACTGACTTTCTACCACACCAGGACATCACACAAGCGATAAACACCCGATGACACAATGTGCTACCATGCGGGTGAGGATCACCGTGGAGAGGTCCCAGAAACCGCGTTCAGCCTTTAGGCCATATTTATGGCCAAGCTATATTGCGGCCCCTGGCAAAGCCAGAGTAGGGCTTCAAATAACGAAATAAATCGTCCTGAAAAGTAGGGAAGCAACTACCATGAATAGTTTTAACTAAATTTTCATGATATGGTCTCAGACTTCACCATCTATCTCTGCAAGGAGTAATTATAATGTAAAAGCATTAGCAAAACAAAGCAATGCTAATGTATTTGATAATTTCAATGAAACTTTTCAGAGTGTGGACTCAAACTTGACCATCCACTGGACGAACGCCAACTTCAGTTTAAACGGTGACTACTCCTGCACGTTCTTTGGCTTAAACCAGGAGAACCAAGAAAGGGAAATTACCCAGAAATTAACTGTACAGATGCAAGGTAAAATAGTTTACGGGAAACGAATGGTGTTGACCCGCCTTTCTCTGCCCCCACCATCTTATGTTTAATGTTTAATTAAGAATCGACATCACAGCACTAGGGACATTCCCATAAGCGCTCCATCCCGTCTTCAGCAGCAAGTGAATAGTTTCAATTCCGAAGGCACCACTAGCAGTCCGATTGTATATCTGTCTCACCTTGTGGCAGTGTCCTGCCTGGATAGTCGCCCAGGTTGATGTTTATCGACTGTGTCTAAGACCATGAATGTGTAATGTTGGTGCTGAAGCAGTTGCGTCTAATTATCCTACCTAACAATATACAGGAGATCCATTCCCAGCACTTTACCGTAGTTACATAACCCGTGAATATCAATCAAACGTCCATTTATCTTCCAGCTCAAGATGAAGTCTACCCCTTAGCAACAATGACGAAAACAACCACAAGTACCTATGTTTTTGTGTCCCGTCTTACATCACGTCTTCCCATTTAATCTCGCTTATTTTTAAAATACTCTCTCTGGCGCACTACACTCTGGGTCCCCTTCTACCGATGAAATATGGTGTGTCTGTCTGTCCCGTACCGTTTCTTTCTAATCAAGCATGTCGTAGGATGTTAAGTTTCCTGCACCTATTCCTCAGCAGTAGGGACATTACTCTGTAACAACCTGTCCCTTGAGTGTTCATCGTTCGCCACATTCCCTGGTCACTCATCGCAGCTCTATTCTCTTTAGTCGATGACGATCCACCTGGGACTCCGCACTGTTTACTTTCTCCCAAAGGGCACTCACAACATCTAGCTTGTTGTACATCTGTTCACCACCAAGTTGAACAGAACCTATTAGTCTGTCTGCCTGTTCATTTCCTAATACACCGGGATATCCTGGGAAAATATCCAAAAGACGCTAACAACCCGATAAAATGCGGCCAGTTCTCTTTAAAGAACTGCACGAACCCTTTCAGGCTGAGTATGCCTTGAATGTCTTTACTTTAAATTGTATCCCTTCTTTTCCCGTGTGGGTTCCGGGGCCCTAGTGTGGGGAAAAACAAGAATAGACCCACTGCCTGCCCTAAAGCATGTCGTAAGTGTGTCATATTGGGAGCTTCGTTCAAAGTCGGGGTACATATGCTTGAGGGGCAGGGAACCAGCATTCTGCATGCAAATGAATCAGATCTGTGAAACGGATGTATCCGCAACAGTCAGGTTCTGGAACAGGACTGAAGTCCAGAAATGGATGAACAACCAGAACTTTCTGCCTGAATCTTCAGCCGGTAAACGCGAAGAAGAAGAAGAAGTAGCCTTTCTTGTTACTGCGACAAATCTAATCTTGATTCTCATTTATCGCTCATATATTATAGTATAAATCCATGTTTGACACACTACAGGTGGCCAGAAAATATCTCTTATTAGATTTAAAGTTTGTACTTAAAAGACATGTGTATATTTCTGCCATTACCCACACACAGACACAGACCCAGAAATACGGGCAACTCCCAGTCATGTAGTGGAAGGTTTCACGCCATCTTTGATCGTGGACTGCTCTCTCACAAATCTGGCAGTATACGATACTTCAGAGGTATGGCTGTTTATAAAATAATATTACATTTATGATCAATTGTCTGCGCACGAACATAAACTGCAAGTAGCCCACGATTTGTCAGCTTGTGAATTGTAAACCTTGGACGTATGGTCCTACGGTTGCATTTCTCTTAGGAAAGCTTTGACAGCAGCTCAATCATTGACTTGGTTAAAAACAAACCTCCATCTGTGCATGCTTTCTCTGTGAATTAATGTGTATGCTCCCTGTATGGGTTTCAAAACCCCATTTGGGTGGGGGAATAGATCCACCCTTGCCCCCAGTAAGCATATGGTAGAAGTCGACTACATAGGGATGTTTTCTTCTAAGTCGGAGAGCAGCTGACTATAATCCAACAGGCCCTTAGTTCACATACACAGTTGTTCCCTGTCCTTATTGTTCTAGATCAAAGCTATGCAACTAATTTTACTCAGGGGCCAACATTTTAAAAATTGGGATTTTCACGGGCCGGTGGTCTGAGCCCTTGAATAGATAGATCATTGAAAAAAGTAAAGGGCCCTTTTCCACGCCTTTAGGCGTATAAGGCATACAGAGCTAGACGTATGTTTTTATAGACCAATCGGAACAAGATGGATGATGTGGTCAGCATCACACCGGCCGCATTTACTTTCCGAGACTGCACCTGGTACCTACTAAAGGCTGGGCCGACCTGGGAACCAAGGTCATTTTTGAAAAAAGTCCGTCTCCGACAGGGAGCGAACCCACGACCCTCCGATGCGCGGCGAGCGTCTAGCCGCTCCGCCACGGTGACTCAGATAGATCATTAGTACCACAATAAATGATCCGTGGGCCACTTGCAAGCTCCCCCCCCCCCCAGGGGCAAGATTTTGCCCGTGGGCCGCTAGTTTTGAAAAACCCTGTCCTAGAACCTTCCTGACCCATATTGGACTTATAAGTCAGCTCTGGACTCACAGACAATCAAATATAATTTCATTATGAATGAAAGTAAGAGTGGTGCTCATCACTTGTGATTCATTCAAGTAACAGAAAGTGTATTGATCGGCACTCATAGAAAGATGAAGATAGATAGAAGAACACACTAGACAACATAACAATCGAAAGTTATAGTTACAGCGCCGGGAATTAAACCTGACACCTCCAGACGGCGTCTGCGCCTCGCCATGATTACAAGTGCACTAAGAACATGGTCAACTAGGCACCCCCTAAAAAAGGTGTCTTTTTGACCATTATTTATAATCACTTGTAATGGATGATCAGCAACAGATACGGGAAATAAGAACAATTTTTTTTTTTTTTTAGCGTACGAGTTTGTAAACGTGACTATGATAGCTTTGTTTCCTATTTTGTTTATTTCCTCCATCAGTTAGAGCCCAATAAGTGATTAGCTAACAAGTTAAACCTTGCATGTGAGCAGGGGAAATGATGGTACATCTGTTACATTACGAAGCCGAAGTGGCGCAGTGGCTAGACAATGGCTATCAGCTAAATCATTCATAACGCTAATCCTTAATGGGTGGATTCAAAAACGACAATTCACTTAAACTCCTAGATGGACCTAACTTAAAATAGAAAATAGAAATCGTTAAGGAAAGTAAAGGCGGCTGGTGTCCATTCGACCAAATCCCGCATCGAATGCTAGTTGGTCTTTAAAAAAGTATTAGCCAATCATTATATGCCAGATGTGCTCATGGGGCGACTATGGTCCTTAACTTTTTCTTACAGTTACATTTTTACTTTCTTATTGTTTCAGTTACAGCAGATTGAGATTTCCTACAGTGAGAACGACACGAGCCGTCTGATTGCAAAACTTGACGGAACTAGTCAGCTTACAGCCTCAACCAACGGCACAGTGTCTCTGGCAGATGGATGGGAAGTGATCAGCACTTACTTTAAGGTAATGGATGGAAATGATTAACAGTTACTTAAAGAGAATAGATTGCATCTCATCTGCAGTTACACCAAGTCAATGGATGGGAAGTGATTTGCAGTTACGTGAAGATAATGGGTGGGACCAGCCGTTAGTTGATGGTAAAATACTATCGACCTATCGTCGCCGCAGATGGTGGGTGTGGCAATGCGGTTTGGTATGACATCTTAAGGTACCACAGTTGTTAATATAAAGGGTTAGACGCTAGAACCATACTGGAACTGTACAGAGAGAGTATAGCGAAAGAACAAATCCAGGACTGTCTCCAGAACTGTATATAGCGGATGAAGTGATAGCACAATTTCAGAACTGTACATATTGGGTATAGCGATGGAACAATTCCAGAACTGTATATAGCGATGGAACAATTACAGAAACGTATATAGTGATGAACAATTATAGAGCTTTGTATAGCGATGCAAGAATTCCAGAACTGTATATAACAGGTATAACAATGAAACAATTACAGAACTGTATATAGCGATGGAACAATTCTAGAATTGTGTATAGCGATAGAACATTTCCAAAACTGCATATAGCAGGTATAGTGATGAAACAATTCCAGAACTTCATATATCGGGTATAGTGATCGAACAATTCCATAACTGTCTATGGCGATGGAACCATTCGAGAACTGTATATAGCGATAGAACAATTAGAGAACTGTGTATAGCGGGTATAGTGATGGAACGATTCCATAACTGTATATAATGGGTATAGTGATGAAACAGTTCTTGAATCACAGCTTTCAATCTTTAGGTAGATAGTGTGCCTCATGGACTGTCTACAGCTTTCAATCTTTAGGTAGATAGTGTGTCTCTTGGACTGTCTACAGCCTTCAAACTTTAGGTAGATAGTGTGCCTATAGGACTGTCTACACCCTTTAATCTTTAGGTAGATAGTGTGTCTCTTGGACTGTCTACAGCCTTCAATCTTTATGTAGATAGTGTGTCTCTTGGACTGTCTACAGCCTTCAATCTTTAGGTAGATAGTGTGTCTCTTGGACTGTCTACAGCCTTCAATTTTTAGGTAGATAGTGTGTCTCTTGGACTGTCTACAGCCTTCAATCTTTAGGTAGATAGTGTATCTCTTGGACTGTCTACAGCCTTCAATCTTTAGGTAGATAGTGTGCCTCTTGGACTGTCTACAGCCTTCAATCTTTAAGTATATAGTGTACCTCTTGGACTGTCTACAGCTTTCAATCTTTAGGTAGACAGGATGCCTCTTAGACTGTCTACAGCTTTCAATCTTTAGGTAGATAGTGTACCTCTTGGACTGTCTACATCCTTCAATCTTTAAGTAGATAGTGTGTCTCTTGGACTGTCTACAGCCTTCAATCTTTAGGTAGATAGTGTGCCTCTTAGACTGTCTACAGCTTTCAATCATTAGGTAGATAGTATGCCTCTTGGACTGTCTACAGCTTTCAATCTTTAGGTAGATAGTGTGTCTTTTAGACTGTCTACAGCCTTCCATCTTTATGTAGATAGTGTACCTCTTGGACTGTCTACAGCCTTCAATCTTTATGTAGACAGTGTACCTCTTGGACTGTCTACAGCCTTCAATCTTTATGTAAATAGTGTACCTCTTGGACTGTCTACAGCCTTCAATCTTTATGTAGATAGTGTACCTCTTGGACTGTTTAGAGCCTTCAATCTTTATGTAGATAGTGTACCTCTTGGACTGTCTACAGCCTTCAATCTTTAGGTAGATAGTGTGTCTCTTGGTCTGTCTACAGCCTTCAATCTCTAAGTAGATAGTGTACCTCTTGGACTGTCTACAGCCTTCAATCTTTAGGTAGATAGTGTACCTCTTGGACTGTCTACAGCCTTCAATCTTTAGGTAGATAGTGTACCTCTTGGACTGTCTACAGCCTTCAATCTTTAGGTAGATAGTGTACCTCTTGGACTGTCTACAGCCTTTAATCTTTAGGTAGATAGTGTACCTCTTGGACTGTCTACAGCCTTCAATCTTTAGGTAGATAGTGTACCTCTTGGACTGTCTACAGCCTTCAATCTCTAAGTAGATAGTGTACCTCTTGGACTGTCTACAGCCTTCAATCTTTATGTAGATAGTGTACCTTTTGGACTGTCTACAGCCTTCAATCTCTAAGTAGATAGTGTACCTCTTGGACTGTCTACAGCCTTCAATCTCTAAGTAGATAGTGTACCTCTTGGACTGTCTACAGCCTTCAATCTTTAGGTAGATAGTGTACCTCTTGGACTGTCTACAGCCTTCAATCTTTAGGTAGATAGTGTACCTCTTGGACTGTCTACAGCCTTCAATCTTTAGGTAGATAGTGTACCTCTTGGACTGTCTACAGCCTTCAATCTTTAAGTAGATAGTGTACCTCTTGGACTGTCTACAGCCTTCAATCTCTAAGTAGATAGTGTACCTCTTGGACTGTCTACAGCCTTCAATCTTTATGTAGATAGTGTACCTCTTGGACTGTCTACAGCCTTCAATCTTTAGGTAGATAGTGTACCTCTGGGACTGTCTAAAGCCTTCAATCTTTAGGTAGATAGTGTACCTCTTGGACTGTCTACAGCCTTCAATCTTTAGGTAGATAGTGGTCCTCTTGGACTGTCTACAGCCTTCAATCTTTAGGTAGATAGTGTGCCTCTTGGACTGTCTACAGCCTTTAATCTTTAGGTAGATAGTATACCTCTTGGACTGTCTACAGCCTTCAATCTTTAAGGAACAATGTATTATTTTTAGACTAAAGACCGGGCACAATAGACTTCACCAGCAAAGGTTCAGTGACTCGATGAGTATGCTCAGGAAGATAGAGACGGGCTGCATCCTGAAGAACGTTGTTTGGATTCTCTAAAGCGGTCGGGGTTGACACATATCAGTTCCATGTTTGTGCTAGGGCATACCGGCGTGGACGAAATTGAGCACGCTGATAGGCTTGCAGGCGAACCTTCTGTGGAGGTCGGACAAGTCCTGAACCATGCTGATATTCTGAATGCTCTACGAGAAGCAAGACGTTTGCAAGAAACTAGTGATGACTGTGAATCTGCAACCATGATTTGACTGTAAGAACAACATGTTTAACGGGGCGGGGTCAGACAAGAGCACTATGCAGGAAGCCAAAGAAGAATAATAAACCAACATAGAACTGGTGTCATCAGCTCCTGCACGGCTGTGACAAATTTAAGTAGGTAATTGTGTGTCTATTCTATCTCTAGGATAGATCCGCATACCTTGCCGTGAAACTGCTGCATCCGACCACCAAGGATTCTGGCAGGTACACCTGTGATGTCAGCACAAGTAATTCCACGTCACGCATTGGGAAATCAGTCACCGTCACAGCTTCCGGTATGTTGATGTTGTTTGAAGGTCTTTTTCTGGACCATGTATGTGGCCCCTATGTTGTGTATGTGTCTGTATGTCTGCTGGTGGGAACATTTATTTGTAATCGTATCGTTTATCGTTATCAACTGTTTTGCCGACCTGCATGGGCGATCATGCCTCTCCCCAATCTGCGATCCGCTACTACGTGTATCAGTTCGAATGTTGTCACCCCTCCATGACATAACACAAGGCTGTCAAGAATCCACTCATATAGTCTTCCTCTGCCTCTCTTACCACACACACATCTTTACAGTGGTCACAATATGTTACAGTTGTCATCTTCTCATAACATGACCCAAAAAATATGACTGTCTCTTTCTGACGTTTGTGATAAGTTGTATTCGAGCCTTCGCATCTTTCAAAACATCTGGGTGGCTCTTTTAAAAACAATAAATAACATCGTTACGTTTTTGAATGTTGATGCAATACTTTATTTTCAGACAGGTAAAAGTCAATTTTTTTTAAATATAACTTTATTCATATATCTCGAGAATATTTTCTAAGAAGATGCACAAGGGAACTAATGCTCCTCTTCCTCCTTCTTCTTCTCTTCCTCCTACTACTATGATTACCTCTACTGCTGCTGCTGTTACTACAACTATACTACTGCTTTTGTTACTACTACAAAAATGCTACTGCTACTGTTGCTACTGCTGATACTATTAATCCTACTACTACTACTACTGCTACTACTACTACTACTACTACTACTACTACTACTACTACTACTACTACTACTACTACTACTACTACTACTACTACTACTACTACCACTACCATTTCTGCTACCTGTGTGGTGCTGCTGCTACAATAACGACAACAGGATTAGCTACACCAATTTCTGCAACAAAAAGTACTACTATTGCTGCCGCTGCCGCTACAGACTACAGCATGTTTCCATTTATCTTTGCAGTGTCCAGCCAACAGTTCATCTACGACATCCTGACAGACCAGGAGAGTTTACAAGGTAATGTCAGCTGGACCCATTCACCGTGTCATCGTGCAGTATAGTCCCGACTACCTGATAAACCCGCACACATAGATGTCATACATTGTTTTGCGCGTGTTAGGTTACATTTACACGTTTTACATAAAGATGAGTACTACTAAAGGAAAGTAGGTCAGCATATAACTCCCAGTCCACAATATCGGCAGCTAATTGGTACTTGTCTGAAACTAGTTACAGAATTTAAGTACATGGAAACTACATTATCGGAGGATGAACGAATGGATCATGAAACAGATGTAATGTGACCCCCCCCCCCCCCCCCCCCCCCCAATAAAAAGCAAGCCATATACCAACCAAAAAATGTATTAAAATATATAAATTTAAGTATAACTGTCAAGAAATAGTTTTAAATAGCTTATTAATACTATCCTCATGCTACCAGCTCTAAAACGGGATTTTATCAAAGGCGTGGTTAAGCCTGTAAGATAAGATGCACTCATGAGGAAAATAAATCCTAGATTCAGACAGCCATTAGAGCACATAAAAACATTTTCCATCAAGGACACTCCCGAAGACCCAGTCAACCTCCTCACTCGAAGGAAACGGGCTATTATATTTAGACTGCGTTCTGGACACAACAGGCTTTGCAGCCGAAGGATATTCAAGATAAGGTAGTCAGAACTGTGGGTAGATTGTGTGTCTCTTTGACTCTCTACAGTCTTAGGTACTCAGAACTTTGGGTAGATTGTGTGCCCCTTGGACTGTCTACAGCCTTGGGTAGTCAGAACTTTGGGTAGATTGTGTGCCTCCCGGACTGTCTATAGACTTGGGTAGTCAGAACTTTGGGTAGATTGTGTGCCCCTTGGACTGTCTACAGCCTTGGGTAGTCAGAACTTTGGGTAGATTGTGTGCCTCTTGGACTGTCTACAGTCAGAACTTTGTCTAGACGGGCAGGACAGAATACTGAATGTTTGCTACAGACATACTCTCTATATGAAGTATAGAGATTCCAGGTTTGGCTGGTGGGCATTCTAATGAAAATCAAGCTGTATGGAACAATGGAAGACATGCGTCACACCGCGGAGTTAAAAGAGGCCAGTAGCCTTCTCATCTAAAAAACGACAAGCAGGGAGAACGAAAGGAAAAAGAGGATAAGATGAGAAATCAGTCAACTTGACGAAAAGTTTTACATAACATAGCGTATTCTACTGTATACCAGATATACAGTGTATTTCATATTTAGTTTTGATAATCTCTTACAGGCTACTATATAGTACAACACTGTCTCGTTTCGTGGCCCAACTACAGAATTAAATGATTGGAGCTACACTGTGAGTTCGGATTTCACGTGGAATGGTTTTTTGTTGCCCTATAATAGCCAGTGGTTGATTACGTTCAGTTACAATGGCATGTCATTTTGCGGGTGAAAGCCGACTTCCGTGACTAACCATTTGCGCCAACAGTGAGCTATACTTTTGGCGTGGGACAGAGAGTGTTGGCACATTTGACAGCTCCTTAAGCCGTTTTACTTTGCATGCGCAGATCAAGTTTTCCTGGGACTGACAGGTTTTCCCCTAGTTATTAAAGGGACTAGTGAAGGACACTTTATGGGATCTCAATTAGAACAGTAACAGAAGCACTTGTGGGCGACATTAGAACAGTAACAGAAGCACTTGTGGGCGACATTAGAACCTCCACTAACTGATTAACGACAGCGCTTTCTATTGTACTATCATTTATCAAGTAATTTCATACATGGTGTTTTGCGACTCAATAACATAATTTAACATTATACTAGGCATTCTAATATGTGACAGATTACTACCTGTTTGCCTGTAACTTTGAGTATGGGATCTGTGGCCTCAACTTGTCCAGACCTAGTAATCTATCCAGCTGGACTCTGCTGCCCGACCGACTTCGTGGACAGGGTCTACATTTTGGCGGTCCACGGCAAGATGTTTTTGGTAGGGACAATAAATGAGTGAATGCATGTATGAATGAGTGAATGAATGGACTGACGGACGGATGAAGTGATGAATGAGTGAATGAAGGGTTGGATGTTTGAATAAATGAATAAATAAATGGATGAGTAAATGGATGAATGGCTAAATGAGTGGATGAACGAATAAACTAATGAATATATGGATAGGTGGATGCCTGAATAAATGCGTGAATGAACTGAGAAATTAAACGATGATGGATAGATGAATGAATGAATAGTTGGGTGGATAGATGAATCCTTTGGTCGATGTGTGAATAAAAGAATGAGTGAGTAAATGAATGAATGAATGAATGAATGAATGGATGGATAGATGAATAAATGGGTGGATGGGTGGATGGATTAATAAATGAATAAATGAAGAATTGAAGTCACTGCATCGGGGCATTTCCACAAGTGATCTATCCCTATCCTCAGCTGTCACTAAAGAACACCCATAATGACGGTGCCACTGACAATCTGATAAACAAGTCTACCTGTCATTTCCCCTGAACAATGAAAATTGTCAACACCCTCCAGCTCACTGATAACTGAATGTACCTTTCCAGGCATGTTTGCTCTGTTTTGTCGCACCATTGATGTGATTCCAGAGAGACCTCAGTACCTTCACTCTAGCACAAAGTAGCTCACCGGCAATAAGATCAGCAGCAATGAATCTTTCAGCCCACTTATTATTATCAATACGTACACACTGAAAATAGAGGTCGATGTCTGTGGTTTAGGCTTTACGAACACGCTTCGTAATGCCAAGGTGACGATCCTAACTGCGGGCGATTGATTTGTCTTGCGTTGGTTTCGACAGCTTACCGTTGAGAAAGCAATGGCAAACTTCTGAACTTATAATTTACCTAGAGAATCCAGAACAGCTAAAAATGCTGGAGTTTTTGTGTGTTTAACGTCCTGTAATGGATACGCAGCAAACTTAACACACTGAAAGATATGACTGCGAAAGGGGTAAGTTAACGAGAAATTTAGACCACGATTCTTTGGAAGCAACAAGACAGACCACGATTCTCCGAGACCAACAAGACAGACAGCGATTCTCTGGAGCCAACAAGAAGACAACGATTCTCTGGAGCCAACAAGACAGACAGCAGTTCTCTAGAGCCAGCAAGACAGACAACGATTCCCTGGATCCAACAAGACAGACAACAATTCACTGGAGCCAGCAAGACAAACAGAGATTTTCTGGAGCAGGCAAGACAGACAACGACTCTCTATAGCCAACAAGACAGACAGTGATTCTCTGGAGCCAGCACGACAGAGAGCAATTCTCTGGAGTCAGCAAGACAGACAACGATTCTCTATAGCCAACAAGACAGACAGTGATTCTCTGGAGCCAGCAAGACAGACAGCAATTCTCTGGAGCCAGCAAGACAGACAGCAATTCTCTGGAGCCAGCACGACAGACAGTGATTCTCTGGAGCCAGCACGACAGACAGCAATTCTCTGGAGCCAGCAAGACAGACAGCAATTCTCTGCAGCCAGCAAGACAGACAGCAATTCTCTGCAGCCAGCAAGACAGACAGCAATTCTCTGCAGCCAGCAAGACAGACAGCAATTCTCTGGAGCCAGCAAGACAGACAGCAATTCTCTGGAGCCAGCAAGACAAAAATTCTTTGGAGCCAACAAGACAGACAGCGATTCTCTGGAGCCAACAAGACAGACAGCGATTCTCTGGAGCCAACAAGACAGACAGCGAGTCTTTAACGAAATGGATTGTCGAACTTTATACCTGGTTGACTAGTAAATACCCTCTGAAATAAATGTGAGAAATGTCATAGGAGGTAAAGGCAGGAGGCGTGATGTTGAAAACTTCACACATTAAGTGGTCGTAATTCCTAGGCCCTTATGGAGTGCAAAGGGTTGTTTATTAACGTTTGTTTCAACTGAAATTTCGTCGGACACACAAATCAGAGTCACAAATACAGATAGACGTGACCATCACACAGTCTTTATCAACGGACAAGGCAATTAGTTAATTAAATAAGCGACTATGTGAAAATGGAGAAAATATGAACAGGAAAAGATATGGAAAGTTACATACAGTAAAAAGCGGCAAATAAAGGTTTTAATGAAGTAATTTAGTAATATTAATAATAATATTAATAGTAGCCGTAATAATAAAACCAAATGCAATAACGTAATGCTGAGTACGCCTAGACTGTGAATGAGAAGATTTTTAAAGGAGAGATAATACACATTTTGCCTCGGTGATTAAACCAGACCTCTTTCCTTTAAGTCTGTGAATATATATTTTGTTTCAGGGCACTACCTCTATCTGGAAGAATCCAGCCTGTACAAAAATATCCCATTTACTGTCGAGACAAAGTTGATACCTCCCATCAGAAGAACCCTCTGCATCAATTTCTGGCTCTATGTGTCGGGCAGTGTTCGGGAGCTTAATATTTACATCAGACAGAACGGAGTTCTCTCTAATGTGTACACCCATGGAGGTTAGTTGCCTCCCCTGTTTGGTTAGTTGTCTCCCCTGTTTGGTTAGTTGTCTCCCCTACTTGGTGTATGCTGTATCTAAAGGTAAAGGTAAAATGTGAGATAATCGACTTCATTGCGCTGAGTTTTATCCCATTTGGCTCAGTCTCACTTCGCAGAACCGTTAGCTGTCTACCGAAAGCGTGGCACAGGGCACGATCTCCGTAGCTCCAGCGACGATCCCCAAAGATCTGCGTAAAAATTACACTCGTGAATTGAAGGTCACCGCTGTTAAACGTATTTCTGAATATTTAAAATCTGGAAATTCAACTTCATTGCACTGCCCTCCGCCTTCCCCTCCACTCATGTAGTTCGGTCCGCCTTAGCAGAACTACTAGCTATTTACAGAGAGTGTAAGACAAGGTGTCCGCTACTTAACTCCTGTGCCGATATAAGTAGTAGGTACGGAGGAAAGCCATAGTATTTGAGGAGGCGGCTCGCAACATAATCTTCATTACCTATATTACGGAAGTGCTTCTTTATTCTATATGCACCTCAAAATGACTTTAATGAAGAAAAATATGATCTGCAACTCCCGAGCGGTGGTGGTCACTTACGATTTAGTTATTTTTAGATCAGAGGTCAACTAGGGTCAGTGTGACGTAAGTTGTATTTTTAGCGATGAGGTGACCAAAGTGACGTAGGTTGTACTCTGTTTTGGGGCTCCAGTGGTTTGGCGGAAAGCCCAGCGGTTTGATAGAAAGGTTTTTTTTTCTTTCTATATCTTATTGGTGGCTCGCTCGTGTTTTGGTGGATGGGTCGGGAGTTTGGCGGAGGAGGTTTTTTTTTCTTCTATATCTCATTATTGAAGGGCTCAGTGACTCGCTCGGTGGTTTGGTGGCTCATTCGGTTGTTTGGTGGCTCGCTCGGTGTTTTGGTAGCTCGCTCGGTGGTTTAGTGGCTCGTCGGTGGTTTGGTGGCTCGCTCGGTGGTTTGGTGGCTTGTCGGTGGTTTTGTGGCTCGTTCGGTGTTTTAGTGGCTCGATTGGTGGTTTTGTGGCTCATTCGGTGTTTTAGTGGCTCGATCGGTGGTTTTGTGGCTAGCTCGGTGGTTTGGTGGCTCGTCGGTGGTTTGGTGGGTCGTTCGGTGATATGGTGGCTCTCTCTGTGGTTTTGTGGCTCATTCGGTGGTTTGGTGGCTCGTCGGTGTTTTAGTGGCTCGATCGGTGGTTTGGTGGCTCGCTCGGTGGTTTGGTGGCTCGCTCGGTGGTTTGGTGGCTCGCTCGGTGGTTTGATGGAGGAGGATACTATTTCTTCGATATCTCATTGGTGGCTCGCTCGAGTTTTGAGGAATGCGTCGTTGTTTTGGTACCTGTTCAAGATGGCGTGTTTATTCTATGGTGTATATAAGGTGTTCTTAGATATATTAGGCACCATAATTCCTCTTACTGCAGTGTTCCTGTTTAACTTCCTTTATTTTGGTTCTTGGTGGTTAGTTAGTTGCACATAGAGATGGATAGACAGCTGTACATTTACATATATAGAGAGGGGTAGACAGTCATACATTTATACAAACGAACAGCTATTCGTACTTGATACATTTATACATATAAATATAGACACATTACAAGTGTTTCACTTTTATATTCTTTCATCTATACCACATCAAAGTTGGAGTAAACATCTTCTCTTTAACACAGGTGACTCCTCTATTGCGGTCAGGGTCACTTTATTTGGTTACTTTACAATATTTGGAAATATATATATATATATATATATATATATATATATATATATATATATATATATATATATATATATGTGTGTGTGTGTGTGTGTGTGTATATATATATTTTTTTTTTTCTTAATTGAGATACATGATAATAAATAGATACATTTTACAACAGCTCGATAACCTTATATAGTAACTAAGTTACAATATCAAAACATAAGTGTTCTGTCACTTAACAAACTTGCACAGTCAGTACATTTTATTCTCACAACACTAATATTTTGTTACTTGCAACATTTTTCACCAGGTTTCTTTAGCGGACCCTGGAGCCACGTAGAGACCGAACTCCCGCCTATTACCCAGCCCTTCAGTGTGGTTATCGAATTCCAAGGCAGTTTCGTCTTCAAGGATTTTATCGCCATTGATGACCTCATCATTTCAGACTTCAACTGCGAGTAGATCAGATGATTTAAACCAGGCAGAAGCAAAAACAGAGAAAAAACCTCGCCCTGTTGTCTACTCCTCCTTTTTTCTAGTTCTGATAGTCGACATCATCTTTTTTCTTCTTCTTCTTCTTCTTCTTCTTCTTCTTCTTCTTCTTCTTCTTCTTCTTCTTCTTCTTCTTCTTCTTCTTCTTCTTCTTCTTCTTCTTCTTCTTCTTCTTCTTCTTCTTCTTCTTCTTCTTCTTCTTCTTCTTCTTCTTCTTCTTCTTCTTCCTCTTCTTCTTCTTCTTCTTCTTCTTCTTTTTCTGGGGTTGCTGCCGTGTTGTTGTTGAAAGTTTGGCTGCGATACCTGCATATTTCGACCCAGCCCACCCGATTTCAACAAAATCATAACTTGTTGATTTTCACTACCAGCTTATTAGTTGGCAATTAGCGTATTCTTATTTTCTTTCCTAAAATAGGGTCGCTGTAACTAATCGGGGAACTGATCGTGCACAATTCTTTGTTGCCTATACTGTACTGCTTTCTGTAATTCTTTATATTCAAATTGGACAAGCCGTTGTTATCAACCATTCTCATCCAGTATTGTGTAGACAAAAAGATATGGTTGTAAATAGGTAAAACAGGCAGTTACATCTGAGTGTGATGTATGTGTGTATTTCCGATGCAATAATTCGTGTATTTGCTAGGCACTATTTAATTCTACTATGAAAAGATGTCAAACCAAACGCGAAGTAGAGCTGGTCAGTTTCACATTATCACACTCAGAAACGACAAGTAAATATTGCAGGTAGAAAACCTTCATCAGCACATGACAGGAATAGATCATGTTACAATTATAAACAAGAATACATAAAATCACTTGATTGGGGTCTCTCCAGGAAATATACATATATCTGAACGACTGCAACTCTAGAATGAGCATGTCTCTTGTTTAACTTTGCAGTATGGCCCTGACGTGATACAACAAAGTATGAAATGCAATAAAATGTGCAGTCTGTTGTCTGTGTCTTCTTTGTTCAAATTTCTAGCGGAGAAGTGTTGCTCTGAATCACATGTACGCCTGTAATGACACACACACACACACATATATATATATATATATATATATATATATATATATATATATATATATATATATATATATATTACACACACTTATGTTGTATGATTGTCACACGGCTGCCTTTTTTACCAAAGTGCTGTCCTCTTAACTATTCTGTAGTTTTTTGGGGATTCTAATGTGACCAAGTCATGAGATGTGAATCTTTTCATTTCGATTGCTTTAATACGTCTTCTTTGTTATAACATGTAATCTTGTCAGAATGACTTGGAAAAATAAAACATTGACGTATTTTAGCGTTGTTTTGTTTTCTTTTCATCATTGGTTCATTTTTACCAGGCATTTAACAAAAATAAAGTGCCAGTACTCATCACAAAGTGTGTATTACTGAAGCGCAAAGCAAAAGTTACATTAGAAAAGGTGCCAGTACTGCAAACCGTTACGTACTATCAGAAAAAAAGCCCTGCATTCATTCATGTATTCATTCATTCATTAATGTATTATTGCTGCGTGTCTTTATGCTTCACATAAGCCTCCCAAGCGATTCCACAATCCCGCTCTAAGCAAAAATAACGTCATTGTCTCGAGATTCTCGTGCAAGATGGTTGTTTTACACGCTGGGCTACCTGGCTCCATTCTTCTCCATTCTCATACAGGCTGGGACGGAAATGGCGAAAGTCATTATTATTTCATTATTATTACACTTTTACTATAATCAACAAGGGTACGACGTTCGACTCTAACTCGAGAAGATCCGGTATGAATCGTTGTGTGGATTGATGAATGTTATGTGCCGCCTTCTGTCCTATCCCTCAGGAATCATCGGAAAGTGGATCGAATGTCAGATAAGGCGCAACATGGGAAAAATACATGTACCAGTTACCAGGTATTCACCGGCTTTTAATGTCAACTGAATAGACCATTGGCCAGATTGTACTTCATAAGTCGGAAACCAATCCTTTAAAAAAAAAACATCAAACGTGCGTGATTCTATAATATGATTGGATACTCACGGTGCTACAGAATCCATGCATTGTGTAGAGATACTTTTATAGTGTTCAATCGGAGAAGACTCAGGCACCAAATTATGTACACGCGTGTGTTTTGAAGGAGAAGCTTTAAAATCGGACAACATCAAACTAATAACTTCAACTAGAACTCGTGTGTTTTATGAAAGATAAAACTTAGGAGGACTAAAGGAAACAAATATTCTATTAATAAATTGTTATTTGTGAGTTAGTTAGCTCCACATGGAGATGAAAGGCTGACACAAGTTCTGTGTTGTCATACTTGTATATCCGTCTTCGGTTCTATTCTATTTAATGATATAATTAACCTGCCTCTCTTGGCGGGCACTGTGCCCTCTGCAACTGTTCTTGTCAATACACCGTAACGTTTGGTTTGACCATAACATTTAACAGGACATACTAATATACTACAAGATATGAGATACTGATGAAATCAACCGTAGCATCGCTTATATGACAAGTAGATATTTGCTGCACGAGTGTCTATAGTATACATAGAAGAGAAGTCTATTTTGTGAATACACAGCCAGTGACAAGTAACTGTGGAGATGTTAACCGTTTCAGTTTAACTGCTGCTTTCTTTAAACACAATCAGGTCAAGGTTTGAAGGTTGGAGAAGAAGAAGACGAAAACAGAAGAAGAAGAAGAAGAAGAAGAAGAAGAAGAAGAAGAAGAAGAAGAAGAAGAAGAAGAAGAAGAAGAAGAAGAAGAAGAAGAAGAAGAAGAAGAAGTACAATAGTAGCAGCAACAACAACAACATAAAGGAAGACAAAAAGAAGAGGAAGAAGATGTCTACTTTTCTTTTAACTTTATATATGTATATATATATACATATATATATATATATATATATATATATATATATATATATATATATATAATATAATATATATATATAATATCCAGAAACCATGAGTTGTTAATCCTTTGGCTCGGTACAGAATATATCGTAACTCTTCGGCCTTGATTCCATGATAGATACCGTAAATCTGGGAGAAATGTGGCTTTTCTGCCTACCCTGGGCGTGGACCCGGACCACAAGGAGTTCGTCACCCGGTCGCCGCACAGTCAGGTTTAACCAGCTGAGCTAGCAAGCCGGGCATTACTTTATAAAGAGGAGCTAGGCTACACGATTCATTTCTATATTCATATGCAAAAGACTGACTTCAGTTCATCATCGGCTTTCTTGCTATCTAAAGTTTTCCCCTCTTCATGAATTTGTCATTCGTTATCTTATTCTCTGCCTATAAATTTTTTTTAAACCTCGAAAGATCGGCCAGGTTATCCAGTCATGTAAAGGGTTTCTTTGCCAGGGAATGCATAACAAACGGCTGTTTTAATCACAAACACTGCAGCTGTGAGCGTATCACTTGATGTTTCTTTCTGTCTCACGGGGCACGACACTTTATCAGTGTTGGACTAAGGGCTTTAGCAGAACTGGGGTCACTTCCGGTCCAAGATGGCTACCACACGGTAAGGTATCTGGGCGAGGAGGTCATCCAACTTGAACCAGGTTTTGTATTTCCATAAAAAAAGTGAAAGTATGCAGGTGTGTGTATGTGTGTCTCTGTGTGTGTATTATTTTTAACAAATGTTTAGAAAGGTAATGTCGAAAGGATCAACTTTCATTGCACCAGGTTTTATCCTATATAGCTCAGTCTCTCTCCGCACGGCGACTAGGTGCCTGCCGAGAGCGTCTCGTCGAACACCAACTCCGTATCTCCAATACCGACTCCAGGATCTCCGTAACAATTGCACTAGCGATCCAAACGACAGGTCTGTAAAACGAACCCAAAACCTTCAGGGCGCCATGCAAACACACCACTTCGCCATGGAGACACCCCCTCCCCCCCCCGTGTCTTTTAACCAATGGGCACGCTGGTTTGATACCCGGCAGTCATGCCCGTCTCTCTAGCGTAGTTGGCTAAACCGGATTGCGCGGTAAGCGGGTGACAAACTCCTTGTGGTCCGGGTTCAATCCCGGGGGGTAGGCAGAAAAGCCACATTTCTCCAGATTTACGGTATTTACAATGGAATCAAGGCCGAAAGGTTGTGATATCAATAATACCGAGCCTAGAGGTTAACAACTTAAGGCTCCTGGATACTAAAACAAACAAACAAACAAACAAACAAACATACCCGGCAGTCTCACAAGGCCCCACTAGCTAGAGGCTCCCGTGATGATTTATGCACGGACCAAAATTTCATTAACACTGTGTTTCTAGAAGTCGTCCAGTCAGCGTTCAGTGCCAGATCTTTCCCTTTGGAGAGGGTCTAATGAGGTTATGACAGCACTAAGAGAGAGAGAGAGAGAGAGAGAGAGAGAGAGAGAGAGAGAGAGAGAGAGACAGACAGACAGACAGGCAGACAGACAGACAGACAGACAGACAGACAGACAGGCAGACAGGCAGACAGGCAGACAGGCAGACAGGCAGACAGGCAGACAGACAGACAGACAGACAGACAGACAGACAGACAGACAGACAGACAGACAGACAGACAGACAGACAGACAGACAGACAGACAGAGAGCAGAGGAGGGAACGAGAGAACGAGAGAGAGAGAGAGAGAGTCAAAACTACAAATTTCACCATGATATCCAGACTTATTTTATCTGCTTTCAGTTATCTATACACTTGAGACATCAAGCACCGTTTTGAAGAACCCATTCAAAGATGTGTCTGGCGTGATAATAATTCCGGATCCTTGTCTGCGCTGAGTCAGACATAATTTTTCGACATCAACTGGTTCAACAAGAAGCAACGCGTCTTTTGGCTGAACACCCTCTTTGTGGACACAACCTCTTGGACTGGTATATCATGGCGCTGGGCTTATTTCTTGTCCTAGCTGCTTTTAGCGTTGGTAAGTTAAAGTTTTTTTTTTAAACGAAGCATATAAGTACATAGGTGTAAACTTCAACTGCTCCAACATGCTGAGAGAAGAAATAAAGTCTAGAATACAATCTGGAAATAAAGTATACTATACCCTTCAACATCTGCTTAAGTCAAAGTCTTTATGTCGCAGCTAGATCAAAGTATATAAAACATCGATAAGACCAGTCGTTTTATATGGGTCTAAAACTTGGAGCATAACTAAAAGAGATGAGGCCTTATTACAGGTTTTCTAAAACAGTCTTACGAGGAATCTTTGGACCCATCAAAGATGCAAAAAGCAGGGGAATGGAGAATAAAAAGCAACAACGAAATTCATAATCTGTTTAAATCACCATTCATAACTGGCATCATAAGAGCTGTTAGACTAAAATGACTGGGGCATATTGAGAGAATGTCAAATGACAGGAAGGTTAAAAACCATACAGACAAGGGAATAGTCGTAGACCACGAGGCAGACCAAGAAGACGATGGAGAGATAATGTCCAGACAGATCTGCAAACACTTGATGTCACCAACTGGAAAGAGAAGGCCAAAAGAGATAAATTTACTTGGGTGATATCTGCACATAATGAGGGGTGTACGACAAGGATGAGTGCTGTCACCTGATTTGTTTTCAATATACAGTGAATATATACTGAGATCTTTAATTGATATGCCTGGAATTGTGGTTGGTGGGCACAATATAGACAATTTACGTTATGCTGAAGACACAGTCTTGATAGCAACAAGTCAGAAAGAACTACAGGAAATGATAGACATTGTGGTGTTAGAAAGTGGAAGAATGGGCCTCAATTTGAATAATGGGAGGACAGAAGTAATGGTGGTATCAAAGAAACGAATTATTCCTAAATATGTAATAAAAGTCGATGGTGTTATTTTAGGACAAGTACAGAAATTTAAGTATCTGGGCACATGGATAACATCAGATGGAAGATGCATAACTGAAATAAGAAACAGAATAGGACAGGCAAAAACTGCATTTTATAAAATGAAAAACATCTTGTGCAATATATCCTTGTTATTGAGAATTAGAAAAAGAATTCTTGCTTGCTACATAAATCCAGTTTTAACATATGGCTGTGAGTCCTGGACAATCGGTAGGCAGGTCAAACAATTTCTTGAGGCCTCAGAGTAGTTTTACAGAAGAATGCTTAGAATACCTTGGACAGCCAAAAAGAATAACCAAGAGGTTTTGAAAGAGGCGGGAGCTCGAAGACAACTTATCACAGTCATCAGAAGGAGACAGTCATCATTTTTCGGCATGTTATGAGAAGAGGGAAAATAGAACATGTTGTGACCACTGGAAAGATAGAAGACAACGAGAGAAGATGCTTGACAGTCTTGTTGCATGGCATGTAGGTGTGTCGGCATACGAACTGATACATGCTGCAGGAGATCGCAGATTATGGAGAGGCATGATCGTCCACGCAAGTCGGCAAGGCACCTGATGATGATGATAATATCTGCATCAATGAACCTCAGGAGCTCGTAATGCAGAAGAAGAAGAAGAGGATGATGAAGAAGAAGAAGAAGAAGAAGAAGAAGAAGAAGAAGAAGAAGAAGAAGAAGAAGAAGAAGAAGAAGAAGAAGAAGAAGAAGAAGAAGAAGAAGAAGAAGAAGAAAAAAAAAGAAGAAGAAGAAGAAAAAGGGGGACAGAAACGATTTCAAATATTGCACTAAAAAAAAGAAGAGTACACAGCATGAAAGAGAAACAAAACGATAACTAAAAAAAGAGAAATGGCATTATCATGACTGTGTGTAATAAACTGTTTTTGTTTTCTTTGTTTCTTTGCACATCAACGTGTATTCATTATAATATATGTCTTCGCCCCCCTCCCCTTTCCACCCCTACCCATGCAAATCTAATTGTAGCGACACCTATACAAGAAAGTCGAGCTTTTCAGCCAAAAAGTGGCCCAAGTGCAGCAAGTACAATTTCTTCACAGCCAACATCACGTAAGTGCAACATCGTTTTTTACAAGACGACTTATATGTTGTTGCTCACCCTAAACGAATAAAAACTTCTATTAAGGTAGCTGTATATGCCACTGTAGCGTAGTGATTAGAGGCTCGCCTGTCAGTTCATATGTCTAGAGTTCAAAATAAGGCTGGATTTAGGGAGGGGGAGGGGGTGGGGGGAATCTAATCAAGTTTGCTAAAAATTCAGCCTCCTGGATGCCATTTCAACAGAGGAAATCCCAGGAAGTTATAACAAGGGCACCAGCAATGGCTTGACCAAACACTGCCGAAGCTACCCTGATGACCTACCTATACATATCTACCGAGAATGACAATTTTCCCCTAAGACACTCATATTGAATACAACATGGCGGAAAGAGGAAACATACTTTAAAGTTATGGCACATTATTAGCTTTAGACCATCGTTTGCTGTCGCAGTTTCCCCATAAACAGACTGAAATTTTTAGTTCCGGCGCCCAGGGAATTAATCGAGTGCATGGTGCGACACTTGGGTCTGTAGATTTCACGTGGAATGAATTTATAATGTGCCCAAGGTAGTTTGTGTTGAGGAGAAAAAATGCAGACACTGGCAGACGGCCAGTGGCCAATGAACTGTTGGTGTCTTATGCAGTACGGGATGTGCAACAGCTGATTGTTTTTTTTTATAGCTACTACTTCTATTGGCGACAAACTGCACTTTTTGTGGCGGACTGTTTATGTTGGCACTTCAGTTAGCTATTTAATGCATCTGTATGCTGTTGGGATTTGCTGTGAGTGCAGTCCTTTCTAATTAATATCACAGGTGCAGCAGTGACCGGCATTCTGTGTGATTTTTGTTGACACAGTAACGGAGACGTTATGGGGTGTTCCATTTTTCGTTGACACAGGAACGGAGACTTTATGGGTTATCAATTTTTCGATGACACAGGAATGGAAACGTTTTAGGGTGTTCCATTCTTCGTTGACACAGGAACGGAGACGTTATGGGGTGATAAATTTTTTCTTTGACACAGGAACGGGGACGTCATGGGGTGATCCATTTTTCGTTGACACAGGAACGAAGACGTTATGGGGTGATCAGTTTTTCGTTGACGTAGGAACGGAGACGTTATGGTGTGTTCTGTTTTTCGTTGACACAGAGCGGAGACGTTATGGGATGTTCAATTTTTCGTTGACACAGAGCGGAGACGTTATATGGTGATCTATTTTTCATGAAGTTGTAACTGCGAGTAGAAAATAAATAAAAACAGAAAACATATCTCCAGAATCACATCAAAACTGTTTCAGAGACGCAGTTGGATTTCAGTTCTCGCCAGCAGGGTCATGACGTCAGCATCAACTGTACACTCAGGGACGCCTCCACCACTGGCCTATCCCTCGTTATTGGCATGGCCGTGTCCAGGTCAGTTGTGGCTTTAGCTGCTGTTTGGTGAATTCAGCTTCTTTCTTTCTTTCTTTCTTTCTTTCTTTCTTTCTTTCTTTCTTTCTTTCTTTCTTTCTTTCTTTCTTTCTTTCTTTCTTTCTTTCTTTCTTTCTTTCTTTCTTTCTTTCTTTCTTTCTTTCTTTCTTTCTTTCTTTCTTTCTTTCTTTCTTTCTTTCTTTCTTTCTTTCTTTCTTTCTTTCTTTCTTTCTTTCTTTCTTTCTTTCTTTCTTTCTTTCTTTTTCTTTCTTTCTTTCTTTCTTTCTTTCTTTCTGTTTTTCTTTATTGCTTTCTTTCTTTCTTTCCTTCTTTTTTCTTTACATCTGCCGGAGATGCGGGGAACGAGAACTGCGAACAAATAAGCCAGTAAAACGGATGTACACGCAAAACTCAGGTAAAGGTAAAAGCTAAAAGTCCATTTTGGACGAACAACCGCGACTTACCGCCGGAATTCACAGCCGGTGAGCAAGAAGAAAAAGAAGAAGAAGAAGAAGAAATATAGCCTAACGGCGGAACGGGGTTTCCGGGACTTTTCCACGAGTAATCCTCATCCGCATGGTGACACTACGTGTCACCGGATGTTTATCGCTTGTGTGATGTCCTGGTGGGGTACAGCTCACTTACCTACCAACCTTCTGGTACTAAAGGAGTTACCGGCGTCATACCCCGCCATGTTTTTCAAGCCTGTGCGGTCATGGTTTGCCACCTTACATTTTGGGGAACGAAGACAATGTTCTTTTTCCTATGATACCACGCTGACTCACTGACTGACTGACTGACTGACTGACTGACTGACTGACTGACTGACTGACTGACTGACTTTCAACCCCACTAGGAAATCACACGGAGCGATAACCACCCAATGAGGATCGCCCAGAAACAGGTCCTCAAACCCCCATTCAACCCATAGATTGAGTTATTTTAGGGTCCCCGGAAACTGCCAGGGTGGGGGTTTAATACTGCATTGAAACAATTGCGTCCGACACTGGGACACTAGTAGAAACTTACATGATGCCACGCTGTCTAGACACACAGGTATGTATTAGGAACAAGCAACGGAATCAGTAGAGAAACAAGATTATTATGGCCTGGAGAGAATGAGGCACCTGGGTGTAACCAGAGGGTCTGGCTCACTACACTCGAGGAAAGGCAAGACGGACATATAACCAGACTGTGACCGGTACCATCAGTATTGGAACTTTGCGCTGGCTGCTGAAGATGAGGACGGGGCACGCATGGGAATGCCCCGAGTGTTGTGATGTCAATTCCTAACTCAAAACCACAACTCAACATGTATGTATTGTTTTGTTTGTCTCTCAATATGGGGTCTTACCTGTATGTGGCTGCAGGATACACCTGGCTGGGGTGGCCGTTACGAGTGTCCTAAAGATCACTTCTTTGGTGGTTGGTCGGGGTATCTAAGGATCTTGAAGATCGTAATAGACAGAAAGAACGTTTACATTACTGTCTAACATTTATCCACTAGAATCACCGATACTGGAGAGTTAGTACTGGCGTCCGTGACCTCTCTTGGATCCGCCCCTATCACTCACACTGGTGCAGTTACCAGCAGCGTCTCCTTGGATGGGGTAAATGAAATGTATTTGACTTTTTGTTCAATCGTCAACGTGGCTATTACAGCCATCGTCATAATCATAATCCCGTCATCGGTATTACTCTCATCATCACTGTTGCCATCATCGCTGTAATCATCACCATTATCATCATTGCCATCATCATGAATGTCATCATCAACATCACCGTATTTATCGGCATTAAAAAGTTTAAGCCTTGTTTGAATGCAAAATAATAATAATAATTAGTATTATTATATATGAGTCTCCAGGTTCCCTTGTTTGTTTTAATACATCCCACTTAAGCTAGACGACGTTATAGGCGTTCCGCCTTTATCCACCCGTCTAGTCTGTATAACTTTAATTACATTATCTCTGTGCGTACTTCGTCATGCTTACATGAGTTCCTTTACAGTCAGTTAATCTGCTCGTTTCTCATCTTTTACTCCGGCTTGTATAGGTTATTTACATCCAGGTGACGTATGTGATATGCGACTCCTAAATGATGTCTACCCATTTGCAAAGAAGAAGAAGAGAAAGAAGAAGAAGAAGAAGAAGAAGAAGAAGAAGAAGAAGAAGAAGAAGAAGAAGAAGAAGAAGAAGAAGAAGAAGAAGAAGAAGAAGAAGAAGAAGAAGAAGAAGAAGAAGAAGAAGAAGAAAAAGAAGAAGAAGAAGAAGAAGAAGCAGCAGCAGCAGCAGTAGTAGTTTAGCTGCCCATGCAGGAGCTCTGGTGGTAGCCGCTATAGCTATGGTTCATAACATAACATAACATAACATAACATAACCCTTGACCCAGGAGTGTTGTGGAGATATATTGATGTAAGCATGAGCACATAAAACCCGACGTCTTTTTCTGTTTCCCGTTTGAAAATATTGACCTTGACTGCGATGCTGATTGTGCTCTGCCACATCGTATTCAGCTGCGTCATCGCGGCTGTTGCCATATCAAGTCTTGTCTTGATCTCTTTGATACAGCTGCCATCGTTGCATATGTGGGTGTCTCGATGTTTAAAGGTTTCAACTTCTAGTTTTTCCCCTTTTTTCTGTAAGTTGGTGGGTACTAGATTATCATGACTATTTACCTTAATCTTGCTGTTCTCATGCAATTGCTTGCTAAACTCTACTGTTCTTCTTTATGGCGATCTCTATCAGCAATGCCTTGTGTTCCCAATAAGGAATTGTTTGTGTTCTCATCAGCGCCAAGACTCATACATAAACATCGAATGGTCTTCAGCCAATAGTTCGCTGGAAGGAGACTATGTATGTCGAGTGAATGGTCTTGACGTCAATAACTCGCCAGTTGTCCTGAGCCAGGAGCTATCGCTGACTCTACAAGGTGAGTGTTCGGACAGACAGTGAGACCAGGAGCTCTCGCTGACTACAAGGTGAGTGTTCGGACAGACAGTGAGACCAGGAGCTATCGCTGACTCTACAAGGTGAGTGTTCGGACAGACAGTGAGACTAGGAGATATCGCTAACTCTACAAGGTGAGTGTTCGGACAGACAGTGAGACCAGGAGATATCGCTGACTCTACAAGGTGAGTGTTCGGACAGACAGTGACAACAGGAGCTATCGCTGACTCTACAAGGTGAGTGTTCGGACAGACAGTGAGACTAGGAGATATCGCTAACTCTACAAGGTGAGTGTTCTGGCAGACAGCGAGAACAGGAGAAATTCGAATAATTAGACAGAACAATCAGATATTCAGACAAGGAAGCAGGCATTCAAACAGATCGACAGATAGCAAGTGGGTGTTCAGATGTAGACTTGAAAGAAACAGGCGTAGACAGATAGAATAGTAATAGGCATAAACAGACAAACATACATAAAGACAGACATACCTACAGGCAGATAGCTAGATAGACAGATATACATATATAAAGACATAAGACTTGTTTAGACTGATGGATAAGAAAAGACACGAATAGACAGTCAGGCATATAGAAAGAAAGAAAGAAAGACATGTAAACCAACCTTGTAGATCTGCGTCCCTGTGAATGTTAAGTGTTTTTATATTACAATGCAATAATGTGTGTGGAAATGTATTCCTATGGCGCTTCATGGATATCGAAAGGCTAAAACACACACATACAAACACACACACACACACCCATATATATATATATATATATATATATATATATATATATATATATATATACACATATACACGCATATACATATTTGTGTGTGTGTTCGATAGTTAGTTAGTCGACAGATTATCCTCATTGTACATCAAACCATTAAGTCCATAACTGCTCTGATCCCCTCCTCATGAAATCCCGCACCGTGTTACGGCTGATGACACCAGAACTGTGTGTGTGTGCGTGTGCCCGCGCGTGCGTGCATGTTTGGGCATGAATGTGTCTGTGTATTATTTGGTCTACGTGAGCGCTGTTACATGAAGTATCTACCTGACACTACAAAAGCATGAAAGGCTGTGAAAAACATCTCACTAGTTACTGAAGAAATCGGTCAACATATCACGAAATCCTTTCCACGTTAGACCACAACAATCGAACCCACATCCAAACAGAACCTAGCGGTAGGGCAATGGCTAGCGTGCCTACCTGTCGGTCTAGTGGTCATGTCCAAGGTCAGCCCAACCTAAATGGGAAACAATAAATGTGGAAAGTAAAGGTGGTCGACAGGATATTGAACACATCGCTCATCTACTTCAGACTAGTCTATACAAATAAAATACAAAATACCCCCCCCCCCCCCCCCAAAGTGCTATTACCATGTCCCCGACCAGCTTTAATGCCTCACAGTTTAACTTTACTTCCTTTGTAGTTTTGTGACTGTCGTGCCGATCATAATCATCCTCATCATCATCAGGTGCCTTGCGGACTGGCGTGGATGATCATGCCTCTCCACAATCAGCGATCTCCTGCAGCATGTGCCATGCAACAGGGCTGTCAAGAATCTTCTCCCGTCTTCCTCTATCCCTCCTTCCGCAGATTTTTCCAGTGGTCACAACATGTTCCATTTTTCCTTTTCTTATAACATAGCCAAAAAATTATGACTGTCTCTTTCTGATGTCTATGATGAGTTGTCTTAGGGCTTCCGCCTCTTTCAAAACTTCTTGGTTGCTCCATTTGGTTGTCCAGGGTATTTTAAGCATTCTTCTGTAAAACTATATCACTGAGGCCTCAAGAAATTATTTGGCCTGCCTACTGATTGTCCAGGACATCTATATGTTAAAACTGGATGTATGTAGCAAGCAAGAATTCTTTTTTCTAACCTTTAATGACAGAGATATATTGCATAAGATGTTTTTTATTTTATAAATTACAGTTTGTGCCTGTCTTATTCTGTTTCTTTTCTCAGTAATGCATCTTCATTCTCATGTGATCCATGTGCCTAGATATTTAAATTTCTCTACTTGTTCCAAAAGTCGCCCAGATATGGGACGTAATTTTTCGTTAATTAAAGCCAAACCCCGGATGTTGTCGGGTCCCTAATATAACCTAACGGTTGAACGGGTTTTATAGGACCTCTCCCCGGGTGATCCTCATCCGCATGGTGGCACTTTGTGTCACCGGGTGTTTATCGCTTGGTGGATGTCCTGGTGGGGTTGAATCTCATTCATTAATTCATACTTTCCTTGTTATCTTTTAACCTCACTTAAAGATTTGACAGTTGAAGCATACAGTTTCGAGTTCGACTTCATACAAACTAGAGGCACTTCAATGCAGCTCCGTCGCTATCAAGAACAATGATTGAGACAAATATGCAGAGTACTAATCACCTTGCTTTATCTTAGCCAAGAAACTGGAAACAGATATTTCAATCCAGTTAGTTTAGTAACCTTTCAGGTCACACAAATGATTGTAGTCACTTTTTAGGTCACACAAATGATTGTAGTCATTGTTTCTGACCCCAGGCACAGATATCAAGATTTGAGCTTGTAACAAACTCTTAGCTAATCTGGGTTTACTCCCAATGTGACCTACAGACATTGATATATGACAGTCAGGCATAGCCACCACCATGTCTTGCTTTAGTAACAGTTGGCTACAATGCCCCCCTAGTGTAACATCTTCATGCTCCCCTTGCGGATCTAAAGGTCGTAAGTTCAGGCCCCGATAAAAACGAGACATTTTTTCCCTCAAAAATTACCTTGGTTCCCTTAAAAAGGTACCATTTAAAGTCGCGGAAAGTAAAGGCGGCTGGTGTGATGTAGACCCCATCACCCCCGACTGCGAGGTCTAGCCCTATATGCCCAATACGCCTGAAAGCGTAGAATAGAGTCATTTACTTGACTTTTCTTACAATGGATCTCTGGAAATTTGTCTGTTTCTGGTTATTTACCCTGACCAGTGGCGGCGACACAAATAAAACAATGAGGGCGGTGGGGGCTAAGCCCTCTTACAAATCTGCTAAGGAGGGGGTGTAGGGAGATGGGGTATGGGGATATGGGGTGTGGGGAGATGGGGTATGGGGATATGGGGTGTGGGGAGATGGGGTATGGGGATAGGGGGTGTGGGGAGAGGGGGTATTAGTATATGGGGTGTGGGGAGATGGGGTATGGGGATATAGGGTGTGGGGAAATTCGGTGTGGGGGAGATAGGGTGTAGGGAGATGGAGTGTGGGGAGACAGGTGTGGGGAGATGGGGTGTGAGGAGAGGGGTGCGGGGGATATGGGGTGTGGGGAGATGTGGTGTGGCGAGGGGTGTGTGGGGGAGATAGGGTGTGGGGAGACAGGGTGTGGGAAGATGTCGTGTGGGGAGATGGGGTGTGTGGGAGATAGGGTGTTGGGAGATTAGGTGAAGGGAGATGGGGCGTGGGGATATGGCGTTTGGGGAGATGTGGTGTGGGAAGAGGTGTATGCACTCAGGGAACCTGAATTTTGTTTAAATGCTAAATAATAATGATAACATAATAATAACTCTGATGGCTCCGCGTAGCAGTAGTAAGTAATCGCTAACGAAAGTTCCCCTTTTATCCCCGGATCAGGCTATGGTCAGTAGCGCAAAGTAGAGTGTGTATTCACGTAAAGTTTCCCTTTCATCCCCGGATCAGGCTATGGTCAGTAGAGTAAAGTAGAGTGTGTATTCACGTAAAGTTCCCCTTTCATCCCCGGATCAGGCTATGGTCAGTAGCGTAAAGTAGAGTGTGTATTCACGTAAAGTTCCCCTTTCATCCATGGATCAGGCTATGGTCAGTAGCGTAAAGTAGAGTGTGTATTCACGTAAAGTTCCCCTTTCATCCACGGATCAGGCTATGGTCAGTAGCGTAAAGTAGAGTGTGTATTCACGTAAAGTTCCCCTTTCATCCCCGGATCAGGCTATGGTCAGTAGCGTAAAGTAGAGTGTGTATTCACGTAAAGTTCCCCTTTCATCCATGGATCAGGCTATGGTCAGTAGCGTAAAGTAGAGTGTGTATTCACGTAAAGTTCCCCTTTAATCCACGGATCAGGCTATGGTCAGTAGCGTAAAGTAGAGTGTGTATTCACGTAAAGTTCCCCTTTCATCCCCGGATCAGGCTATGGTCAGTAGCGTAAAGTAGAGTGTGTATTCACGTAAAGTTCCCCTTTCATCCACGGATCAGGCTATGGTCAGTAGCGTAAAGTAGAGTGTGTATTCACGTAAAGTTCCCCTTTCATCCCCGGATCAGGCTATGGTCAGTAGCGTAAAGTAGAGTGTGTATTCACGTAAAGTTCCCCTTTCATCCACGGATCAGGCTATGGTCAGTAGAGTGAAGTAGAGTGTGTATTCACTCTTCAAAGTGGACTGAGTGAAAGTGCTAACCAGGGCTTTTTACTTTTAGAAAGAAAAAGGGTGCAGGTGCTATCCAAAATGTGCCTAAAAAGGTGCCGGTACTAACTGCAACGCTGAAAACATCATGACTAGAAAAGGTGCCGGTGATGCGTACTGTTGTGCACAGTCAGGACAAAAAGCCCTGGTGCTAGCCATATATTTGTATAAACCAGCTGCGGTTCGATTGTCAATGAGATCAAAATTGCGCTTCACCTTGACTTCAGACAGCATTCACTGAAGGAGTCGTTCTCAATTATGTAGTCCACTCCAGATAGGAGTCGTGCCCAACTTTACAAATCTATCAACTCGTGAGGGGTTCTGTGTGAGTGAGTGAGTGAGTGAGTGAGTGAGTGAGTGAGTGAGTGAATGAGTGAGTGAGTGAGTGAGTGAGATTCAACCTAACCAGGACATCAACCAATCGTTAAACACCCGGTGACAGAAAGTGCCACCAGGTTCTGTGTGAGTGAGTGAGTGAGTGAGTGAGTGAGTGAGTGAGTGAGTGAGTGAGTGAGTGAGTGAGTGAGTGAGTGAGTGAGTGAGTGAGTGAGTGAGTGAGTGAGTGAGTGAGTGAGATTCAACCTAACCAGGACATCAACCAATCGTTAAACACCCGGTGTCAGAAAGTGCCACCAGGTTCTGTGTGAGTGAGTGAGTGAGGAGTGAGTGAGTGAGTAAGATTCAACGCCACCAGGACATCCACCAAGCGATAAACACCTGGTGACAGAAAGTACCACCAGGTTATGTATGAGTTGTTGAAATTTGCCAAGCAACATGTTAACATGGGATTTTTTCACGTGGACTTAGACTTCTAGTAATTCCGTCTTGTCTCTGGGTAGTGCGATCGGACGCCCGTGTGCATTGTTGTGCACGTGAAAAAATCCCCTGGCAGTTGGAAATCGAAAAGAGTAGCCTAACGACGCTGCCCTGGCAAAATTTTGAGTTAAAAATCTACCTAAAGTATTTCAGGATCCTAGCCGGTGCTACAGAGCCTGTGCACTGTGCTGAGCTTCTTCGGTCTCAGACTTGAATTAAAAAGAAAAACAAAGCACTTATGGGTTACTACCCGTGTGCCATGATGTTGCATTTTATAATTGGTGCCGTTTGGCCTAAAACTTGATTGTCTTCATTACATCTTTGTTGGATTTCTTCATTCAAGTCTTCTGAAAAAATTCTTCCCAGATTTGTAAAATCCTCCGCCTTCCAATATCCATATATTTAAAAAGCGTATTTTTTCCCCTAAGTTTTCTAAGATTAGCTGGTATAGTTTAAAACATCAGGGCCTCAGTGCTTCGTATATATCTTAGGGCCTCATCAAATCTAAATCCCACCCTAGACCTGAATTTTATATCTACGCCCTACACGAAGACTTCGGGGGATGTTTAAATTCTGTCCCGACTTGTTTCACACTCCCAGAGCCGGGACCTGGCGTGAGAGCAACGCCCGAGATATTACAGTTGGGACTGACCAAATTATTGAGCATCAAATGTTACATATCTGGCTTCGCCTCCAACAACATCTCAGAGGTGAGGTCCGTCTGTATCAGAATCTTTCTGTCTGTATGTATGTTATCATCTTTCCGTCTGTATGTATGTCATCATCTTTCCGTCTGTATCAGAATCTTTTTGTCTGTATGTATGTTATCATCTTTCCGTCTGTATGTATGTCATCATCTTTCCGTCTGTATGTATGTCATCATCTTTCCGTCTGTATCAGAATCTTTTTGTCTGTATGTATGTTATCATCTTTCCGTCTGTATGTATGTCATCATCTTTCTGTCTGTATGTATGTCATCATCTTTCTGTCTGTATGTATGTCATCATCTATCTATCTATCTATCTATCTATCTATCTATCTATCTATCTATCTATCTATCTATCTATCTATCTATCTATCTATCTATCTATCTATCTATCTATCTATCTATCTATCTATCTATCTATCTATCTATCTATCTATCTATCTATCTATCTATCTATCTATCTATCTATCTATCTATCTATCTATCTATCTATCTATCTATCTATCTATCTATCTATCTATCTATCTATCTATCTATCTATCTATCTATCTATCTATCTATCTATCTATCTATCTATCTATCTATCTATCTATCTATCTATCTATCTATCTATCTATCTATCTATCTATCTATCTATCTATCTATCTATCTATCTATCTATCTATCTATCTATCTATCTATCTATCTATCTATCTATCTATCTATTTATTTATCTATCTATCTATCTATCTATCTATCTATCTATCTATCTATCTATCTATCTATCTATCTATCTATCTATCTATCTATCTATCTATCTATCTATCTATCTATCTATCTATCTATCTATCTATCTATCTATCTATCTATCTATCTATCTATCTATCTATCTATCTATCTATCTATCTATCTATCTGTCTGTCTGTCTGTCTGTCTATCTATCTGTCTGTCTGTCTGTCTATCTATCTATCTGTCTGTCTGTCTGTCTGTCTGTCTGTCTGTCTGTCTGTCTGTCTGTCTGTCTGTCTGTCTGTCTGTCTGTCTGTCTGTCTGTCTGTCTGTCTGTCTGTCTGTCTGTCTGTCTGTCTGTCTGTCTGTCTGTCTGTCTGTCTGTCTGTCTGTCTGTCTGTCTGTCTGTCTGTCTGTCTGTATAGTCTGTCCTGTGTGCCTGTCTGCTTGCCTATATGCCTGTATGTCTTTCTATTAGATTTAGCTGGGTGTCTATGACTTTTGACATGAATCCTGTTATTTAGCTCCCCTGTACTTCCAGTTCTCCAAACCACCTGTAGTAAGCCGTTTATCCTTTTCTGTTCCTTATATTGTCTTTCTGATATTATATGTGTGCTTAGTTGCTTGAATTTCAGTACTTCTTCTTCTTCTTCTTCTTCTTCTTCTTCTTCTTCTTCTTCTTCTTCTTCTTCTTCTTCTTCTTCTTCTTCTTCTTCTTCTTCTTCTTCTTCTTCTTCTTCTTCTTCTTCTTCTTCTTCTTCTTCTTCTTCTTCTTCTTCTTCTTCTTCTTCTTCTTCTGCCTTTCTATCCCCCAATGGAGCAAAGGCCCTCAACCAACTCACGCCAAGTCGTTCTATCCTTCGCCATTGCATGGAGCTCTCCCCATGTCCTCCCAATCTTTCTAACCTCGTTCTCCAGCTCTCTTCTCCATGTGTTTTTTGGCCTTCCTTTATTTCTATGCCCCTGTGGGTTCCAATGCAAAGACATTCTAGTTATGCTGTTCTCCTGTTTTCTTAGTGTGTGCCCTATCCAACACAAGCGTCTTTTCCTCACTTCCTGATCCACTGGAGCCTGTTTAGTTCTCTGCCAAAGTTCTACATTAGTTATTCTATCATACCATTTTATTCCCTCTATTCTGCGCAGGCACCAGTTAATGAATGTCTGTAATTTATTAGTAATTGCCTTGGTTGTTCTCCATGTTTCCGCCCCATAAATTAGTACTGATTTGACATTAGAATTAAAAATTTTTAGTTTAGTATTTCTTTTAATTTCTTTTGACCTCCACAAATTCCCTAGTGCTATGAAAGCCCCTCTTGCCTTTTGTATTCTTATCTTGCTTAAATCAATACCATTAACTGTTGCGATTAATGAATAAGACAAATATAAAATAGTTTTGGCAGAAATGAGCAGACAATTATTTCTCAGACTCGGGACGAACACTATAAACCCAGAGCACATCATTGGTATATCATGTAAAGGATAGGTCGTATTTCAGGATTAATCCCGATATACTACTCACATCTTCACTGAATGAGTTTGACTGAAAAGCCGTTCTGGTGCACACCAACAGACTGGCGAGCGGCTCCACGTTTTCGCAGACTTAGCCAGTCAGGCAGAGCAAAACTGTCTCACAGAAGCCACCTTTTAATAAAAATTATAGATATAAGATAAATACAAGGTCCGACAATTAAGTAATGAGACTCATTCCAAAAAATTAAAATAATCAATAGCTGAAGATATAACCTGTATCTGATTCAAAGTAAACTCCCTGTGATTGATACAGCAAGTGGCACGATCTAACAAACATTGGAACGACCTCTGTAGCTCTTCTGTTGTCATGGCCCTTAAAGTCGATGTTACGGTCATTTGGATGTCATCTATATCGTTAAAGAAGCGTCCTTTCAATCGTAACTTTAATTTTGGGAAAAGAAAATAATCACAGGGAGACAAATCTGCGAAATAGGGTGGAAGACTGAAAACACACACTTGTTTTTGGGCCAAAAATTCTTGTTTTGATGATTTCTTTTGGGTACTCAACCCACTGATGTTTTTAGCCATCAGTCAACAAATGTGGTACAAACCGACAAGCAATTTTTTTGGGGGGCCAAAATCTTGCACTAAAATGTTATAAATCGTTTCTCTATTAACACCAGATTCGTCTGCCATCATCCTCACAGTAAAACAATAATCTATTTGTATGCGTTCTCTAAATTTTGCAATGAGTTCATCATCGCGAACATAAATTTGGGATCCAAGTCTAGGGGCATTAGTAATAATTTCTACATCACTTTTGAATCGTGAATACCACCTGCAAATTTGTGCACTAGATAAACAATTGTCTCCATAAACTTGTTGCATTAATTTAACTGTTTCAATCGCGCTTTTTCTTAGTCTTAAACATAATTTAATGTTAACTTTTTGCTGCGCGCTGATTTCGTAACAATGCACCTCTGACAGGGTCAACAAAATGGCGACTTGTTTGTTGTCTGCTTATCAAGCGGTGATGAAAAGTTGCCAAATCATAGATGAATGTTGCCTCTTTAGATTGCATACTTTGCTTCATAGATGGCCTTTTTGTCTTAGCCATAATAAAATCAGTCTCATTACTTAACTGTCGGACCTTGTACATCAAGCGCATCGGGTGCTTTATTTATATCTTACCCCAAACAGGGGAAATCCACAGGTCACGGGCCAGTCTAATATTTCAGGGGGTGGTAGATAGGCTTCATACAGACGTGGGACCTAGGCTACACTGTCACGAGACGATCTCAGTGGTTCCAGAAGTTAGTACTTGTAATAAGTTCTTCTGGTTCTAAAGAGACAGAATTATATTTACTCTGCCCTTTATCCTAATATTACTTTAAACCGCACGGATTTAAATGTTTCCAGTCCTTCTCCGAGACCAAGCCACTGCGCTTTGTTTAAAATTACATAACACTACGTAATACAGCCCGCTGGTTCAGATGTTAGGTTGATTCTCACGCCAGTGTCAGAATGTTATCTCCGAACACAGCCTGAGTGGGGCCCTTTTTAACGGGGGAATTGAGTGGACGCTAGACATTGTGGCGACCAGAGGTTTAAGTAACACGTCAGTGTAATTCTCAAGAGAACAGGTGTTTGGCAATTAGGAATGTTTGATCTGGGTCACTTAAGAATGTACGCTCTAGGGATGTCAGTCCAGAATTGACTGACAGGCCACTTGTAAGCTAATTTGATCTGATAGGTACTTCAGAGGCGTGGCTTAAGTCATCGTCTTGAGGGTTGGGTAGAACCGAGGAAAGGGAGGAGTTTAATTTGGACAATAGATTGATACTTATACTTCGAGCCTGTGGAATTCCCGTCATTAATCGCAGCCTGCCGGCAAACAAACACAGGTCGACGTAAAAGTATTTTACGGTCGGATTCTGTTTTGGCGATTGATGGAAAGTTCCCAGCGCCCATGTGACGATCAGTCCATGAAGTAGACTACATTGTGTTAGACTCGGCCAGCTGGGAACGAGGTGGAGAACGAGGTGGAGAACGAGGTGGAGAACGAGGTGGGAACGATGTGGAGACCGAGGAGGGAATGAAGTGGAGAATAAGCTGAAACAGGCAGAAAACAGGCAAGGAAGAGTTTGACAAGCTTGACAGTTCCTCACGGCTGTCAGAGGCTTACAAGATAAGTTAACATCATTTCCGTTAACATACCACCATCATCATACCACTCTAAACCCCGGAGCTGTTTTTCTCGCTGAAGCTTATAACCCCTTTACGTTAACCAGTCACTGTTTGTGTAAATCAACAAACTGGGAATATCCTTGTTAGTAAATAAAGCTGTATGTCAAGTTTTATACTACATCGTTTGTTAAATTTCAAGTGTATTCAGTCTTACCTGTTTAAATAAACTGATAGATAGAATTACATTTGGTGGGCGCACAAATAATATGATAATAATTCTTTAATTATTAATAATAACACCGGGAGAAGGTAGATGACGGAGGAATCATTTGCCCTGTCTAATAATTCATTAAGTATAATGCTATAGACATCTAAAATTCCTTGCCTTCTCTTGTGGGTACCAAGTGCAGCTAATGTTAAAGTACTTAACGAGCCAATATGGTTGTTTTCTTGGGTATCCAGGACTTTGTCTGAGAGCAGCATAGCTCAGATTTTAGTTCCGTTAATCTGGTGGAGGAAATGTGTTGAGAGGAACATCCCTACTCAACATTATAACCATTAAATACCACGCGTCACGTCACATACACTCTCTCGTGGGACGTAGGTGGGTTGGGGTTAGGACCAGTTCTACATGTTTTGAGGTCGTTAAAAGCACCCGAAAGCCGGGAAACCCAGTCTTACCACCCTCTTAAATGTTGGACTGTACTGTAACGTCATATTGGGTATGATATTACGAAAGAACGGAGCTTCGTCCCAGATGTGGCACAAAGCGAACTAGACGCATAACAAGCTTTAACCGCAGAAGGAGAAGAATAACTGTACAGGCAGGCATAATGTTTGCTGTTCCTCTTACTGTGTTAATGAGAAAGAACCTTGAATTGTGTCTTGTGTTGTACAGGTAACTTCCATAGGTCTGTCTTACATTCATGACGGTATCGATCAACTTCTGATCACCCACAGTGTCTTTGAAGGTACAGAGATCAAACCAGGAAGTGGAGTGGTGTCCTCTACAGGCCATTTAAGCACCGCCGAGGTATTTTGACATGTTGCAGTTAGTAATATGTGATTGTTTTATCATCATGGCCATAGATAATTGTAGTCAATATTAAGTGTGCCCTGCGCTGTATATTTTATATGTTGTCCTTCAAACAGTCGGCTCTATGGCTAAGTCGATGCGAACGCTTCGTAATGCGGGGATGCCGGGTTCGATCCCATCAGCGGGCCATGCGCCTTGTGTTAGTTTCGACAGTGGTATCAAGAAAGCCGACCGTCCAGAAGCAATGGCAAACTACTGGACGTAAATTTGTCTAGAAAAACCATACAACAGCCAGGGGTTGTTGGGGTTGTTTCTGCAACGTCATGTAAAGGATACGCAACTAACCTTGAACCTTCAAACAACGACTGGGTCCGCTTAGAGCAGCGGTTCCTAAACTGTAGGTCGCGACCCTTTAGGTTCGCTAGTCGCTGGTCTGGGACAATATTCCTTTAATTACTTGATCCTTGGTGAAACAGTATCTTTACATCCCAGGGTTCAACAGTTGAGTTGAGTCCAGAACCGACATCACAGCACGCGGGACATTTCTATGTGTGCTCCGTCCTCATCTTCAGCAGCCAGCGCAGAGTTCGATTACTGATGGTACCGGTCACAATCTGGTTATCTGTTCCTCTTGCCTTTCATCTGAGTGTAGTAAGCCGCCAGACCCTCTGGTTACACCCAGGTGCCTCATTCTCTCCAGGCCATAATAATCTTCTTTCTCTACTGATTCCGTTGCTTGTTCCCAAAGGACCTTGACCACATCTGCCTTGTCAGGGTTGAACACTATCATGAGAACATTAACAGAAAAGGGTCTGTGTTCAATTTCCAACATGGCAAATAATTTCCAACTTGTAGCACTTTTGTTTTTTATTCGGATTCTTAAAATGAGTACATGATTACTTTCCTAATTTTATGGATATTGTCGGAAAATAAGCATCGGAGCATAACATTTATCAATCTCTTATCTTTGTGCGATGATTTAAAAATATGTAACGACTTGTCAAACCTTTTCTGGAGAATCTACCTTTTGCTCAGATGATCATCCACGTAAACACGCAGTTTCAGTACGGGGATATACTGTCGTTAGTCGTAACTAGCTCTAATACCCGTTTTTTTTTTTTTAAATCTCTTGGACATGTAGGACCACGTCTCTGCTCAGTCGCCACGAACCGTGTAGGTTATGATTGTATTGAAGAAAGATATACAAGTACTTTAATGTGTATTTAATTGACTTAACTTCTCCAGGTAACGCTGGTGTGTCGGGAAACAAGCAGTCAGATAAACTGGCCGGCTCTGCACCTCTTGGTGGTGAATTGATGTATGACCAATTATATATTACGAGGCCCCTTTTGGGAGTGAATAAACAGTGCGGTGGAACAAATAGGTCATTACGGTCTGAGAAGAAATGTGATCTGACTCACGCTCAACACTCAAGAGAAAGGCGAGATGGATATTCAGTCAGACTGATACTGGTACCATCGGAATTGGAACCCTTCGTTTGCTGCTGAAAATAGGCGCGGAGTGCTTATGGGAGTGTCCCGAGTGCTGCGATGTGGATTCGACAATTGTGTAACATCTATACTGGGTGTCAGTGCCGTTTATCTATAAAACATAGGTCTAACCCTATATACCCAATACCCCTGCAAGGCGTGGAGAGGGATCCTTTACTTGTTTAAATATTGGGTGTCATTCCATCTGTCAGTAAGGTATTGGTCACCTAGCAAATACTCAAATAGAGCGAACCGTCAATGCTAACTGTGGCACGCTAGAAATTGTTAGTCAAGTATAGGCGTACCCTCCAGCTCCTGGGTACATTGTGCTATCTCCATTTCATCATATATCGAGCAACGCTAAGTGGATGATGGGATCAAAAACCATGCCAACTGTCTTTATTTCCCAGAAGATTTGTTCATTAGTTTGTTGGTTTACTTTCGAACCCAAGTTAATGAAAACAAATTGCAATATATATTTGAACACACAATACCGGTGTGATAGGCGTGGCTTCGGGCCCTGTCGGAGCCGGACTCATTTCAAAAATGACCTTGGCTCCCAGGTCGACACAACCTTGCGTGGGTACCAGGTACACGCCATGGGAAGTAAAGGTGACCGGTATGATGTTGACCACATCATCCACCAGGTGACATTATAAAATATAGGTCTAGCCCTATATGCCCAGTGAGGTGTGGAAAAGGGTACTTTACTTTTACTCACTCTAGCTCTTTGGGAGAAAGTTAAACCGGAAGCGGAAATCGATCCTTACGATGGGGATAGAACTGTGTAACGAGGATGAGCCGAGAGATTTGGCCGACAATCTACACTTAGAGGGAAGGCAAGACGGATAAACAATCAGACTGCAACTGGTACCGATCTAAGTTCAAACTGTGCGTTCTACTGAAGATAGGGAGCGCCTATGAGAGGTCTCCGGGTTCTGTGGTGTCGGTTCTTCGCCTCAGTTTCCAAATATTATTATGTCGTTTAAAAATGTTTAAGTAATTACACAGAAATAATAATTACAGCAGAGTTCTTGCAACCATTGCAATCTTCTTGTGCTTCGCGTTCACCAGCTGTAAACTCCGGTGAAAAGTTCTGGTTGTTCATCCACTTCTGGACTTCAGTCCTGTTCCAGAACCTGACTGTTGCGTGTGCATCCGTTTTTCAGATATGACTCATTTGGATGCAGACTGCTGGCTCCTTGCCTCTCAGGCAGAAGCATTACGACTTTGAAGGAAGCTCCAAGTTAGTCGACTCTTAAGACATGCTTTTGGGTAGGCAGTGGGTCTATTCTTGTTTTCCCTATAATAGGGCCCCGGAACCCACACGGGGAACACATTCTAAGGAATGTATGATTATCTTGTACTTATTTGTATTCAGGATGAAGAGAACTTTCTGGAAGCTACTTGGCAGAACCCAAGCCTGAATAGAACTGGCAAGTACGAATGCAGTTTTAGCGGTCTTGACACTTCAGGCCATCCAGTGTATTTCGAATCCACGTTGGAACTGAATCATGTAGGTACGTCTGCAGTTTGTGACACTCTTGAGTTCGTGCTAACTTTCTGAGATAAGTGTGTAAGTGGCGATTTCTGTGTTGCGCTTCCTGGCTGGTTGCCTTCGACTTCAGCACCTTGTTTTGCTAGGGTAGACTGGGGTCGTACTCGAGAAGAGTAGGCTCATCCCTTCGTCTTTCGCCTTTACCTTGTTTGTTGTCCCATCCAACTCCCGCTGGGGGTTGAAACCCCAACCTTCAACTGGATTGCTGGGAAGAACAGGGTCCACCACGTGAAGGTGAGGTAGGCTTGAGCACGAGAGGCTAATAGACATTAGGAGTCTTGTATTGCGCATCATTGCTCCATTAGGACCCCGAATTTGACACATCAAGGCAAACCTTTTGGCCAGAAAAAAAATGTAGGGCGTAAAACTCTATGGGCCACTGAATGAACTAACAACGACAGGGAAATTCATACAAGAGACAAAATTGCTGATAAAGACAACTGATTTCAGGCGAACGAAAGAAGAAGAAGTGTGTAAGTGTGTTTGTTAGGTTTTTGCGCCGCCGTGGTGTAACGACTAGACGGTCAACCTTCCACATCTGAAGGTCGTGGTTAAAATCCAAACGGAGTCAGGCTTTTTTCAGTGTGACTTTGACTCCCCGGTCGACCCAGCCTTAAATAAGTACCATGTAAAGTCATGGGAAGTAAAGACGGCCGGCATGATATTGACCACATCACCCAAATAGAACCGACTGATCTATCAAATATAGGTCTAGCTCCATATGCACAATACTCCTGGAGGCGTGGATAAGGGTCCTTCAGTCGTGGTATTTAGATACGGCGATTCGCCAGAGACAAGGTGCCACATTGGCCTAATTTCAGTCTCCACAAGACATGCTGACAACAAACACAAATTTGGCTAACGATGGAGGAATCTCGTGAAAGATATAAAACCAAACAAGTAGACCAGAGCTTCATAATGTAACAAAACACAAACGGAAGGTAGAACAGAGCTTCATAATGTAACAAAACACAAACGGAAAGTAGATCAGAGCTTCATAATGTAACAAAACACAAACGGAAAGTCAACTTTGCGACTCTTAATAGCGGGAGTAAGAAACTGCTCACCAGCAGTCAACATTTGAGAGACAGGTGGAGGGAATCTCTTAGTGAACTGCTAAACTGTGGAACACCGGATGAAGTACCAAACCAAAATAAATTTGCAACAGACCATAAACCAAAGATATTGGAATCTGCAGTTGAAAATATCTTTAAACAAAGTGAAAAGAAAAAGACAGCGTAAATAGATGGTATTAGAACAGAAATGCTTCTTTCGTGAACGACAACAGGAATAGCTTAGTTAACCAGAATCTTTAACATATCTTGGGAGGCAGGAAAGGTTACAAGTGACTGGCAGAGAGCAATCATTCTCCCCGTTTGGAAGAATAAAGGGGACAAAAGAGACTGTGAAACCTACAGGGGTATCTCCATCCTCAGCCATACTGGAAAGATGTTTGCAAAAGTATTGGAACTTAGAGCTCAACCAGTACTAGAGCCCCAGTTAAGTAGGAGACAGTTCGGTTTCAGGAAGGGAAGGACATGTCATCTTTATCCTCATGTAGCAGGTCCTTTGCAGAACGTCGTTGTCATCACAGGCTGCCTGAAAGAAACTCGGTCTCTCGTCAGCTCTCCCGCCTCATTTACTTTCATACTCAAGGAGTCACTTACATCCTGTGCCCATCTTTGTGTCGGTCGGCCCCTGACCCTCCCTCCTGGTACCATGTCTTCTCCTATAATATTTTCCAATCTGCTAAAATATTTTAGCTTCCGAGAAAGGATGCTGTTTATTAGCCAATCTTCCTTGATGTTCAGATGAAGGATCTGTACAGATGCAATATTTTCTTTAAGGCAGATAAGCGAGCTGTCTAGTAAATATGATAGAAGTCGACATCTTATGTTTATAGATCAAGAGCAGGCTTTCGATCGAGTCAACAGATGCAAACTACCGAAAATTATGGAAGATTATGGTATTCAAGATCATCCGTTAATGTTTATAGTACGGTACTACAGTCAAACAAGTATGAGAATTTAAATCGCTAGGAAGCATATTTACTGAGGATGACAGACTAGACATAGAGAGAGAGAGAGAGAGAGAGAGAGAGAGAGAGAAAAGCCAGAGTACAGAAGGCAAATTCTGTCACCTACCAGTTAGCCCCACTGCTTAGACTTCCACACATTTCCCTTCCAGGAAAATAGCTAATGATTAAGAGCATCTTTATCCCTACTTTATGTTATCAATGCTAAACATACACAATGAATTGGGTACTAGAACAAAAAATAACTACACGTGAAATACGCTGACTCCCCAAGGTCACTAACAATACTAGACGAGACAAGGTTAGACAAGATAAGGAAGAAAAATTAATTTTAAATTAACATTTTAAAGAATGAATAAATAAATAAATTCGATATTATACACATCGCATTTGCTTATCCGTAAAAATACTTATTTAATAATGTATAACTTGATTTTCTAGAACCGTCTAAAGAAGAACTGCTACAGCAACTAGAAGATCTGCGGAACAAGTTCGAATCACTGACACAAGAGAAGGAAGATTTGAGTCAGTATCTGTCTTCATTATCTGTCTTTATATTCTGTCTCTACAGATATACCTCGTTTATACCGCTTTGTAAATATATTTTCAGAGTATCGTTGTAGCGGGGAAATGAGGATTTCAAAAACGAACAAATAGACACGAAGACGGACAGATAGTTGGATAGATGGATGGATGGAAAGATGGACAGATAGACATCCAGCTGGATGGGTGGATAGATAGACATACAAACACACAATAGACAGACCGAAGTAAAAATTACAGAAATAGACAGACAGACAGACAGACAGATTAGACAGACAGACAGACAGACAGACAGACAGACAGACAGACAGACAGACAGACAGACAGACAGACAGACAGACAGACAGACAGACAGACAGACAGACAGACAGACAGACAGACAGACAGACAGACAGACAGACAGACAGACAGACAGACAGACAGACAGACAGACAGACAGACAGACAGACAGACAGACAGACAGACAGATAGATAGATAGATAGATAGATAGATAGATAGATAGATATATATAGACATCTACAGCACTAAAACTAAATTCAGGATAATCAAAACAAGCGTTAGGATAGCTCTCCTCCATGGAGAAGAAACGTGGGAAACAGACAGAAAAATAGAGAGTATCCACAGAGGTTTTTGGAAAAAGACTTTTCTGAAGATTTTTAGGGTTCACATGGGAAGATAAAATCAGCAAGTATAGATTACAACAAATGACAGACTTAGAAGATGCAAAATTTATTTAAAAAAAAAAAAACGAAGATGGAGGTGGATTGGACATGTCTTCAGAATGAAGAAAAAGAGAAGGCCAAGACAAGCAATGGAGTGGACACCACAAGGAAAGGAGGAAGAGGCAGGTCTAGGGGCACTTGGGGGCCAACTTTTAAGGCTGAACTCAAGGCTACGCGAAGAATAAAACTAGAGATCAAGAGGATGGCTCAGGATCCAATTGAGTGGCGACACTTTGTCTTTGCTTTTTGTGCCTCTCGGGGCGATAAAGGATTGATTGATTGATTGATTGACTGATTGATTGATTGATTTAGTGGTGCCTGCGCTAACAGTCCGTCATTAGAATTACTGTGGTTATAATTTTGGCAAATTGAAAGTTAATTCCTAATAAACTCACAATCTGGCACTCCTTGTCTACTGGTGACAAAGATGACATTATGGTTATGAAAAAGCCATCATTTTGTTTTTCTGTTCAACAGGAGCAGAACGGGATAAAATCGAGCTGAAAATACGAGTTTTGGAAGAAAGTGTTAAAGGTGTGTATGTATGGGACATTTCTTCTGCTCTTATCCTCCCAAAAGAATATATGCTCTCGATCATATCTCGCTAAGTCATCTTATTCTTTGCAATCGTTTGTATCTCAGCCCATGTTCTTCTCAACTTTTGTTTTCTTTCAAATTGCTCTCTAGTTACCCTCTTCGTGTTAGTTTATTAGTTAGTTGGTTAGTTAGTTAGTTAGTTAGTTAGTTAGTTAGTTAGTTAGTTAGTTAGTTAGTTAGTTAGTTATTTAGTTAGTTAGTTAGTTAGTTAGTTAGTTAGTTATTTAGTTAGTTAGTTGCGTATCCTTTACAAGACATTGTAGAACCAGTTTGAGCATTTTTTGGATGTTGTGTTTTTATGTTCAGTCGTTTGCCATTGCCTTCTGGACGGTCAGCTCTAGGTACCACTGTCAAAAAAAAAAAAAAAAAACAAGACAAATCGTCCGCAACGCCCAAGCCACAGACGCCGACCCCTCTTCGTGTGATATTCATTTACTCCTTTGACCCCATGGTTATCTTGTGCAAAGATATAGTTATGTCATTATTATATTCTCCTTATGTGTCTCCTATCCAACACCAGCATTTTTTCCTCACCCTTTAATTTACTGGAACTTTTTAGTTCTCACACAGAGCTCTACATTAATAATACTTCTTCTGTCTGTCTCTCCCCAATTGAGCATAGGCCCTCAACCATCTCACGCCAAGTCGCTCTATCCTTCCTTTGCATGGAGCTATCCCCATGTCCTCCCAATATTTCTAACTTCGTTCTCCAGCTCTCTTCTCCGTGTTTTTGTTATTTGCCTTCCACTATTCCTATGCCCCTGTGGGTTCCAATGCAAAGACATTCTTGATATGCTGTTTTCTAATACTACCATACCATTAAATTATCTCTAGTCTACATAGGTACCAAGTAAAGAATTTGTATATTTTGCCAAAGTGTAATACCCAGATTTCTGCTTAACCACCTATTTATCTGTCTACACACCTCTTTATATCTGTGTTGACCTCCCTACCTATGCGCATACTTAACTATTTATCACCTCTCTAGTACCATTTTCCTACCTCACTACTTACCTACGTGTGTTTCTACTCAACTTTGTCTACCCACCTAGCTACCTGTCGGTCTGCTCACCTACCAATCTTTTGTATATTTGTGTCTACCCACCTACCAATCTTTTGAATATTTGTGTCTACCCACCTACCAATCTTTTGTATATTTGTGTCTACCCACCTACCAATCTTTTGTATATTTGTCTACTTACCTACCTAGCTTCGTCGTTTATATATTTGTGTCTACCCACCTACCAATCTTTTGTATTTTTGTCTACTTACCTAACTACCTTCGTTGTTTATATATTTGTGTCTACCTACCTACCAATCTTGTGTATATTTGTCTACTTACCTACCTACCTTATGTCCACTTACATACCAGTCTTTTGCATATTTATGTCTACTTACATACCAGTCTTTTGCATATTTATGTCTACTTACATACTAGTCTTTTGCAAATTTTTGTCTATTTACATTCCAGTCTTTTGCATATTTATGTCTACTTACATACCAGTCTTTTGCATATTTATGTCTACTTACATACCAGTCTTTTGCATATTTATGTCTACTTACATACCAGTCTTTTGCATATTTATGTCTACTTACATACCAGTCTTCTGCATATTTATGTCTACTTACATACCAATATTTTGTATATTTGTGTCTATTTACATACACATAATTCGTATATTAATGTGTACTGACATACCAGTATCTGTCTATCTATCTATCTATCTATCTATCTATCTATCTATCTATCTATCTATCTATCTATCTATCTATCTATCTATCTATCTATCTATCTATCTATCTATCTATCTATCTATCTATCTATCTATCTATCTATCTATCTATCTATCTATCTATCTATCTATCTATCTATCTATCTATCTATCTATCTATCTATCTATCTATCTATCTATCTATCTATCTATCTATCTATCTATCTATCTATCTATCTATCTATCTATCTATCTATCTATCTATCTATCTATCTATCTATCTATCTATCTATCTATCTATCTATCTATCTATCTATCTATCTATCTATCTATCTATCTATCTATCTATCTATCTATCTATCTATCTATCTATCTATCTATCTATCTATCTATCTATCTATCTATCTATCTATCTATCTATCTATCTATCTATCTATCTATCTATCTATCTGTCTGTCTGTCTGTCTGTCTGTCTGTCTGTCTGTCTGTCTGTCTGTCTGTCTGTCTGTCTGTCTGTCTGTCTGTCTGTCTGTCTGTCTATCTATCTAATCTATCTATCTATCTATCTATCTATCTATCTATCTATCTATCTATCTATCTATCTATCTATCTATCTATCTATCTATCTATCTATCTATCTATCTATCTATCTATCTATCTATCTATCTATCTATCTATCTATCTATCTATCTATCTATCTATCTATCTATCTATCTATCTATCTATCTATCTATCTATCTATCTATCTATCTATCTATCTATCTATCTATCTATCTATCTATCTATCTATCTATCTATCTATCTATCTATCTATCTATCTATCTATCTATCTATCTATCTATCTATCTATCTATCTATCTATCTACCTATCTATCTATCTACCTATCTATCTACCTACCTACCTACCTACCTACCTACCTACCTACCTACCTACCTACCTATCTATCTATCTATCTATCTATCTATCTATCTATCTATCTATCTATCTATCTATCTATCTATCTATCTATCTATCTATCTATCTATCTATCTATCTATCTATCTATCTATCTATCTATCTATCTATCTATCTATCTATCTATCTATCTATCTATCTATCTATCTATCTATCTATCTATCTATCTATCTATCTATCTATCTATCTATCTATCTATCTATCTATCTATCTATCTATCTATCTATCTATCCATCTATCCATCTAATCTATCTAATCTATCTAATCTATCTAATCTATCTAATCTATCTATCTATCTATCTATCTATCTATCTATCTATCTATCTATCTATCTATCTATCTATCTATCTATCTATCTATCTATCTATCTATCTATCTATCTATCTATCTATCTATCTATCTATCTATCTATCTATCTATCTATCTATCTATCTATCTATCTATCTATCTATCTATCTATCTATCTATCTATCTATCTATCTATCTATCTATCTATCTATCTGTGTATCTGTCTATCTGTCTATCTGTCTATCTGTCTATCTGTCTATCTGTCTATCTGTCTGTCTTCCGTCTGTCTTCTGTCTGCCTGCCTGTCTGCATGTCTGTCTGCCTGTCTGTCTGTCCGACCTTCCGTCCGTCTTTTTTTCGTTCGTCCCTCCGTCAATCTGTCTGTCGATTATGAGTGTGTATCTGTGCCCATACAGTATTTTTATCTAGAGCTGCCCTCACCTAAACATGATATATAACTTTTAAAAACTAAGTTTTTCTTATCAGGTCACAAAATCTGCGACACCGTAGACCTGCCTGTGGGGAAATATCCTATCAAGCTCTTCCCTGATGATGGTCAAGGCTTGGTAGAAGTGTTGTGTGACGTGGTCAGTCCAGGTGATGTATGGACGGTAAGTGTATAAGTGGTCAGCCCAGGTGATGTGTGGACGGTCAGTGTGTGAGGTGGTCAGCCCAGGTGATGTGTGGACGGTAAGTGTGTGAGGTGGTCAGCCCAGGTGATGTGTGGACGGTAAGTGTGTGAGGTGGTCAGTCCAGGTGATGCATGGACGGTAAGTGTATGAAGTGGTCAGCCCAGGTGATGTATGGACGGTAAGTGTGTGAGGTGGTCAGCCCAGGTGATGTATGGACGGTAAGTGTGTGAGGTGGTCAGCCCAGGTGATGTATAGACGGTAAGTGTGTGACGTGGTTAGCCCAGGTTATGTATGGACGGTAAGTGTGTGAGGTGGTCAGCCCAGGTGATGTGTGGACGGTAAGTGTGTGACGTGGTCAGCCCAGGTGATGTATGGACGGTAAGTGTGTGAGGTGGTCAGCCCAGGTGATGTATGGACGGTAAGTGTGTGAGGTGGTCAGCCCAGGTGATGTGTGGACGGTAAGTGTGTGGGGTGGTCAGCCCAGGTGATGTGTGGACGGTAAGTGTGTGAGGTGGTCAGCCCAGGTGATGTGTGGACGGTAAGTGTATGAAGTGGTCAGCCCAGGTGATGTGTGGACGGTAAGTGTGTGAGGTGGTCAGTCCAGGTGATGTGTGGACGGTAAGTGTGTGACGTGGTCAGCCCAGGTGATGTATGGACGGTAAGTGTGTGGATTGGTCAGCCCAGGTGATGTATGGACGGTAAGTGTGTGACGTGGTCAGCCCAGGTGATGTGTGGACGGTAAGTGTGTGGATTGGTCAGTCCAGGTGATGTATGGACGGTAAGTGTGTGACGTGGTCAGTCCAGGTGATGTATGGACGGTAAGTGTGTGGATTGGTCAGCCCAGGTGATGTATGGACGGTAAGTGTGTGACGTGGTCAGTCCAGGTGATGTATGGACGGTAAGTGTGTGGATTCGTCCGTCCAGGTGATGTATGGACGGTAAGTGTGTGAGGTGGTCAGCCCAGGTGATGTATGGACGGTAAGTGTGTGACGTGGTCAGTCCAGGTGATGTATGGACGGTAAGTGTGTGAGGTGGTCAGCCCAGGTGATGTGTGGACGGTAAGTGTGTGAGGTGGTCAGCCCAGGTGATGTGTGGACGGTAAGTGTGTGACGTGGCCAGCCCAGGTGATGTATGGACGGTAAGTGTGTGAGGTGGTCAGCCCAGGTGACGTGTGGACGGTAAGTGTGTGAGGTGTTCAGCCCAGGTAATGTATGGACGGTAAGTGTGTGACGTGGCCAGCCCAGGTGATGTATGGACGGTAAGTTTGTGTAGTCAGGCCAGAAAATACATGAAGTGTTTGAGGAGGTCAGCAGTGGGGATAGTTGGTGTGTGTAGTCAGGCCAGAAAATACGTGAACAATAACTATGTGAAATAGTAAGTACAGGATATGTATGAACTGACAGTGGTGGGGTGGTCAGTCCAGGTGATGTGTGAACTGACAGTGGTGGGGTGGTCAGTCCAGGTGATGTGTGAACTGACAGTGGTGGGGTGGTCAGTCCAGGTGATGTGTGAACTGACAGTGGTGGGGTGGTCAGTCCAGGTGATGTGTGAACCGCAAGTGTGTGATGTGGTCATTTTAGGTTATATATGAACCGTGAGTGTATAGATACACAAAGGAAATGAATGGTCGTAGACCATGAGGGAGACCAAGAAGACAAAGAGAGATAACGTCCAGACAGACCTGCAAACACTTGTCACCAACTGGAAAGACAAGAACAACCAGAGAGATGAGTGGAGGCGGGTGATATCTGCATCAAAGAACCTCAAGGGCTCGGAATGCTGGAGAACAAGAAGAAGTGTGTGGTAGTTAGCCCATGTGATGTGTGAACTGAAAGTGTGTGATGTGGTAATTTTAGGTGATACATGAACAATAAGTGTGTGTTAGTCAGCCCAGATGATGTGTGAACTGAAAGTGTGCGGTGTAGTAATTTTAGGTGATATGTGAACTGTAAGTGTCTGTTAGTGAGCCTAAGTGATGTGTGAACTGCAAGTGTGTGATATGGTAATTCTAGGTGATATATGTAAGTGTGTGGTAGTCAGTCCAGGAGATGTGTGGGCGGTAAGAGGATGACGTACTTGCGCTTAATAGATGTGTTATACAATCACACTATAGGATATGTGAAAGCGTTCAATATAGTCATTTTAGGTATCGTAAGTGTCTACACGGCTCTTTTGCCGTGTTAAAAACAGGAATTTCCTGCTGGCATTTTTCTCTGTGCTGCATGCGTAACCATTTACACCTCATCAGTTAAATATATTACTTGCTTGCTAACCTGACAGCATTGCATTTCTATGAGGTCATAGATTCTGGCCAAATCATAGATGTATGTCGCTTGTTTAGGTTTCATGCTTTGCTTCTGGGATCATATTTTTTCTTGACCTAATGAAACCAGTCCTGTTAGTTAATTATCAGACCTTGTGCGCGCGCACGCGCGTGTGTGTGTGTGTGTGTGCGCGCGACTACATAATCATCAATGTATGCAAACGCATGCATTTATATGTGGATAGGAATATTCTATACCAACACAGAATTTGAAAGAAATATAAGTCAACCGTCTTTCTCTGGTTTCCACAAAGGTACCGAGAGTTGACCGTTCAGTAGCAATGGCAAACTACTAAACGTAAAATTTGCCTAGAAAAACCAGAACATCTAAAAAAGGCTGGGGTTTGTTCTGCAACGCCCTGTAAAGGATACGCAACTAATTTTATATATATTACAATACTAATGGCATTAAACCGCAACCCAAGTTTGACTACACGTTAGTAACCATTGTTTACCCAAGTGTCCGGCGTGATGCTGACCACATTACCCATCTTGTGCCGATTGGTCTATAAAATATAGGTCTAGCCCTATATGCCTACAGGTGTGGAAAAGGGTCCTGTACTTTACTTGTTACCCTAATGTCACTGTGCTATGACTGCCTGCCGTTTAACCCCACCAAGATAAACACCCGCTGACATAAAGTGTCACCATTCGGATGTGGATCACCCAGGGACAGGTTCCAGAAACCCCGTTCAACCCATTGATTGGGTTATATTAGGACCCCAAGCAACAGCCAAATTAAGGCTTTAAAACAACAACATATTACGTCCAACACTGGGACCTAGTGAGATAACATAACTGTGTCACGAGTGGCCTTTATGAGATTAGCACACGTTGGAATCTCATTTGGATAGTGACTATTGTAGTAGTAGTAGTAGATTATTACCCCACTAGGACATCACACAAGCGATAAACAGCCGATGACACAAAGTGCCACCACGTGGATGAGGATCACCCGCGGAGAGGTCCCAAAAACCGCGTTCAGACATTAGACCATATTTATGGCCGAGCTATATTGCGGCCCCAGGCAAGAGCCAGAGCAGGGCTTCAAATAACAAAAAATTGCATCTCACAAGGAGATGACTGGAATAATTGCTTGCTATGTTTTGGTGACGCTGTCAGCCACTGAGAGTTATGTTTCAATATGTAATGCTAGATGGAGAAACTAAACAAGGATACATTATGTAATCATTGTCTATGATTACCAGGCTTTTACATTAAATTTTTCTACAGATTTTCCAGAAACGATTCAACGGCTCGGAGAGTTTTAGTCGCGGCTTTGTTGCGTATGATGTCGGCTTTGGTTCGGTCCTGGGTGAACATTGGCTAGGTAAGGGGAGACAACATTACCACTTGTGGTCTGGTAATACTTTTTCTAGCTTCCCCTGTTGTGCCTTTACTCTCAGTCATTAACCGAGACCGCTGGTAAAAGATAAAAAGATGAACAGCTACTGAAGGCCGTGTGATAAACAGACGAGGAACCTTGAAGACCATTAAAAAAATTTTTTTAAAAGAAATTCATAGTTTTCCGGGGGCGTGTTTTTATTGGTTAACGGCAACACCAGTACGTATATATATATATTTAAAAAAAAAAAATTTTAGGGCCCAGGTGAAAAAAATAATTTAAAATTAACTGCTATTTCATTAGTTGCACCCTAATGTATCTTGTGTGCAATCTGGACAATTTCATTATTATTCATTAATCGTCCTCTCGTGGTATGCAATGTTTGTTATTTTAAAGCCTCACCCTGGCTTTTGCCAGCGCCATGTATATAGCCGTGCCATAAATATGACCTAACCATAGATATGGTCTGAAGGGCTGAAAGGGGTTTCTGGGACCTCTCCACGGGTGATTCTCATCCGCATGGTGGCAATTTGTGTCACCGAGTTTTTATCGCTTGTGTGATATCATAGTGGGGTACAACAAGTTCCCTATCTAGCTATATTTTCCCTCACTAGATCACAAAGATTTAAACTGTTGATTTGAAAACAACTGACAAGGGCACAAGAGTTGTTCTGTAGGAGAGATAAGGGGCCTCACATTGTCAGTCTCCAGGAAGGGTACATTCAATTCATTGTTGGGGCGGCGGTCTGCATAATTGTTTTAGCACAATGTTATGACGAATAAATAATGTAGAGATTTTGGAGAGAACCAAACAACACGGTCCATTGAACCAAGAGGTGAAGAAAAGACGCTGGCACTAGATAGGACACACGTTGAAAAAATCTGAACACAGTATAACTGCTATGTCTTTGCATTGCAACCCTCAGGGGCATAGAAATAAAGGAAGACGAGAAAAAAAAATGGAGCCGAAGCTAAAGAGCGAAGTTAGAAAGAAACGACTTGGCGTGAGTTAGTTGAGGGCCTACGCTTTATTTGGGTTAGAAAGGCAGAAGAAGACACTGATCAAATCATTTGACAGTTATAATGAGAGTGACAGCTCATAAATGTGAAGTAACATTGTGGTTCTCCTCATGCACCAGGCATGTGCTGCTGTGTGGTAGACTTGAGCTGAGTTGAGTTTCAAGAACCTACATCACAACACTCAGGACTTTCCTCCGTTCGCATCTTCAACAGCTAGTGTCGACTCATAACTCCGACAGAAACATAGTATCTCTTTCCTAAATGTTTGTTTTCTAACCAGGGATTGTGATCTGTGCAGACGCATGAGCGCCTACGCCAGTTGGCAGGGCACATGATGATGATGAAATGTTTGTTGTATTTTAGACACAGCGTTACGGTCCTGTATGTTTGTAAATGTTGTTGTGTTTGTCATTGTACATATTCTTGGTTAATATTATTTTTTGTAACCTATGGTGCCATTTCAATCGTTTCATATTAATTGTGTCCGTGTTCCATAGTTGTGGATTTCAGGCTATACGATAGACATGGCCAATGAAGACACCTTTTTTCAGTGTACCTAGTTGGTCATGGTCTCAGTACACTTGTTTCCATATCGAAGCGCACACGCCATTTGGATGTAACAGCTTCGATTCCCGGCCCGGTAGCCACAGCTTTCGATTTTTATGTTGTCTAGTGTATCCTTCTATCTTTCTACTTGTATATATGAGTGCCAACCAATACATTGTCTGTTCGTTTATTATATATAAAGTGTCAATAGTGTCATAAACTGGGCTAACAAATGGGGCCTCGAAGTAAACAGGAACAAAACTGTAGCAACACTCTTCTCATTGTCTACAAAGGAGGAAAAGTTTACATTAAAATTCAACAATGATGATGTTCCACGCTCCAATACTCCAACCTTCCTGGGAGTCAAGCTTGACAGTCGTCTGACATGGAAACATCACATACTAGAAACTAACAAAAAAGCTATGAGAAAACAAGGTGTGATGAAGAAATTGGCAGGCACCACTTGGGGAGCAGACAGTTGTATCTTGAAGCAGGTATACACCGGCACAGTCAGACCAACTCTCGAATACGCATCATCGTCATGGATAACAGCAGCCCATTCCAATAAACAGATACTAGACAAAACGCAAAATAGAAGTCTGCGTACAATTTCTGGGAGCCATAAAATCTACACCTATTGTAGAAATGGAAAAGGCAGCCAACATCATCCCCTTAGAAGAAAGAAGAAGGACAAAAGCAATTCTACATGCTGAAAAAATGAAGAGAATGCTAAACCACCCATTACACTAAAAATTGGCAGCCAGGACAAAAAACCGAATAAAGCGCACAAGCCTAAACCATCTAACGAAGGAATTTGGAAAATCATTCTCTTCACTACTTAACCAACAATGCACACCTGAAGAGCTATCTTTCGATCTTTGGGACTCCGAATTATTGACACTCAATGTGTCAACATCCATCCCGACCCTGGGAAACAAAGATGCTGAGCCCGCTTTAGTGAAGAAAGCACTCACAATGGAACACCTCAACAACATGTTCCCACAGGACAGCTGGACCAGAATCTACACGGATGAATCAGCAAAAGAGGCAACTACGAATGGTGGGGCAGGTGTTTACATAAAACACCCAGATGCCACTACTGTGTCCCTAGCAGCCCCCAACGGACGAACTTGCTCTAACTACAAGGCAGAACTCTCAGCCCTATTGATGGCAGCACAGTATATGAACAATCTGCAAATCACCGCAGGCAGGATAGTTTTTCTCACTGACTCACTGTCAGCTATACAGGCCCTTGAGTCCAAACCTACCGACAGCACACTACAAAGTCTAACACATGAACTTGCTATGTTGTCAAATAAGGCAGAAATTCACTTGCAGTGGATTCCGTCTCACTGTGGCATCAAAGGCAATGAAAGCGCAGATGCTTTAGCCAAGGAAGGCAGTAACAAACCACAGACCTACCAGCCACTATCTTTTCCAGAAGTCAAAACTCTCATTAAGAGAAAATCAGAAACAGATTGGAAAACCAACACTGGTTATAACTACGAAAAAGATTTTCTGAAATACTTGAACAGAACAGACCAAGTAACAGTTTTTCGCTTACGCACTGGACACTGCAGACTCAATAAACACTCACATAAATTAGGTATGAGCCAAACAGCTCTCTGCCGGTGCCTTCGTGCTGAACAGACTCCAGAACATGTCCTGCAAGACTGTCCTCTCCTGGCGGAGCTGCGGAGCGACATATGGCAACACCCAGTAGAACTGACAACTAAGCTTTGGGGAAACCTAAGAGACCTTGAAAAGACATCCTAGTTTATGACCCACAGTGGATTATGCGCATGACCAGAGATCGCTGAAGAAGAAGAAGTTTATTATATATACAATGGTACCACAGTAGTCTGACAGCATGTACGTCTTGCCTCTCCTATGAGCGTGGAGTGTCGGTCAAATCTCCTGGTCACTCCCCGTTGCGCTATTCTCTTCAGACCGCGATGATGTAATCATGCTACCATACTGTCCACTCGCTCCTAAAGGAAAACTTGGTCAACACCAATGTGGTCTCCTTTACTTTCCCTGACATTTTCTATTGTCCATTCTAGGCGTTGTCGACCGAAAAACTCAAATTATTTATACACATTCCGCCTGAACTCTGACACCTCCCGCGTGGGTTTCAGGGCCCCACTGTTGGGAAAACAAGAATAGACCCACTGCCTCCCAAACAAGCATGTCGTAAGAGTGAACTAATTTTGGCTTTCTTCGAAGTCGAAGTGCATCTGCCTGAGAGGCAAGGAACCAACAATTTGCATAAAAGTTAAAAAGCTAACGTTGGCAGAGGATGATAGAACTGCAGCATCCTCTTGTACTGTTGACTGCACTTTCTTATCTTTCCTGATGATAGTGTTGTTAGTTAGTTCATAGACAGATTATCCTCACTGCACATCGAACAAGTCTATAAGCGCTCAGATCCCATCTTCAGTATATCCCTCAGCGTGTGACGACTGATAACACCAGTTCTGCGTTGGTTTACTATTCTTCTTTGGCTACCTGTATATTGTTCATGTTTGGCGACAATTCTTTTGACCTGAAGTTCTTGTTAGGATAGTATTGTGTTGTGCTCTTGGGGTGGGGGGATTTTGAATTATCGCCCATGCCGATAGCGACTGGGACCAGTATAACAACTCGTGTTTAAAAAAAAAATCTTCCACAATAATTTCATGTGATTTCATAACAATGGTTGCCCTCACATGTGTTTGACCTCTTTTTTCTTAAACGCTTAGTTTTTAACATGTCTGCGATCCTTTTCTTCTCTGGCCCTATTCCTCTCCCTAATTGTTCTTTTGGATGCACCGTAATCCAGGCAAATTATTGTTCCCAGGATTCAAACAAATGAAGCGAATCATGACCACGGGGAAGTACCAGATCCGAGTGGATATAGCCGACCATAATAGCACCAGTTACACTAGGATCTATCCACAGTTTAGTGTCGGCGCCTTTGATGGGTACACGCTAACAGTTGATGGGTACAACGATGGAGGTAGACCTTCATTCTCATTTGCATCTGTAGTTGAATTGTCGTTTATTAAATCTAGCCTCAGTGACGGGGGGGGGGGGGGGGGGGGGGGTCGGGGTGAATAATACGATAATGGTTGAGGGGAAGATGATGATGGAGAAGATAAAAAGTGGAGTAGTAGGAGCAAGATGAAGCAAAGAGAAAGTAGAATTGTTGGAAAATACATTTTGGGGAAAAAGAAAGTTTATATATATATATATATATATATATATATATATATATATATATATATATATATATATATATATATATATATATATATATATATATATATATTTAAAGGAACAATAAAATTAGGGGGAAAAAAGACAGAAATAAATAAATAAAAATACATAAGGAATGAAATTATTTTTGAGGTAATATTACACTTTATAAATCACTTTTGTAATTATATTTAAAAATATATATATATACACCACAGCAGGAAGTGATATACGGTTAAACTAATCAAGTACGTTCAGATCATAAATACGGGTTGGAACTCCTCTCTTTCCCGGGGAAGAAAGAGCAGGTCTTATTTTTATTTTCACTCCAGAAGAACTTATGCCTTTTTAAGGGATGTATTTTCAATTACAGAAATCTACATTTTATTATCTTTATTTAAAGAATTATTAGAAAAAAAAATATTTTTTATAGTTTTTTTTTAAATACTTGTTACTTTATAATTCAATCTGTGGATTGAGTGTTTCAGTAGACCGAAGAAATCCGCCCATCTGGCAGACGATCTTAACTAGGGCTTATATTTGGGGTATGGCTTTGCCTTTTGTTACGAGCTTCCTGAAAAATCATGCTAGGTCTTTCATTTTAGGTATTGTTGTGTGTGTGTGTGTGTGTGTGTGTGTGTGGGCGAAACATTATACGATCACAGGGAACAGCCTGTATTCGTTAAAACTGTATCCAAACATTGTTCTACAATCTTTAATTTTAGAACATTTCATTCGTCTTCACAGGTCATGGGTTATCATTTAGTTCTGGTGCAGAATTTTCAACACTCGACCACGGGCCGCAGTGAGTTTCACTTTATTGCTATTATTGGTTGTATTAGTAAATGTATTATAAAGAGATTTATATAGAGATGAAAGGTCGTAGACCACGAGGAAGACCAAGAAGACGATGGAGAGATAACATCCAGACAGACTTGCAAACACTTAGTGTCACCAACTGGAAAGAAAAGGCCAACCAGAGAGAGGTGTGGAGAAAGATATCTGCAGCAGTGAACCTAAGGGGCTTGAAATACCGAGGAAGAAGTAGAAGAAGAAGAAGGAGAAGAATAAGATTATATAGAAATTGGGGAGCCGTCGTGGTGTAGCACCTAGACGCTCATCTGCGGATAAGAAGGTCGTGGGTTCAGATGCTGACAGTACCGGATTTTTTCCCTAAAACATGATTTAAGCTCCCAGATCGACCTAGCCTTGAATGGGTACCAGGTGGAATCCTGGGAAGTAAAGGCGGACGGCATGATGTTGACCACATCACCCACCAATTGCCGATTGGTCTATGAAATATAGGTCTAGCCTTATATGCCCAAAACGCAAGAAGGCATAGACAAGTGCCTTTTACACATTCAAGGATGGGTAGATCTGAGAGCCCTTTCTTTAAAGTAGATAGTCTAGGAACCAGTTGGAACACATGACCAGCCTTTCCAGGAGGCCAACGGGCTGGCCACTGCGCCAGTGCTGCTTCCGGATATTTGTCGGAAGTTAACACAAAATGCACCCTTCCGTTTTTCCAGCCGATAGTGTTTTATAGTCATGTAGGGACCAATAGACACCCGACGGTTAACATCACGCCGGTCGCCTTTACTTCCGAGAACTTTACCCGGTACCTATTTGAGGCTGGGTCGACCTGGGAGCCAAGTTAATTTTTATTTTAAATACCAACTCCGTCTAGATCTGACGCCACGACCTTCCGACCCACAGGCGAGCGACTAGCCGCTACACGACCGGGGCTCCCTCCTTAAATGGGTGCCAGGGGTTATTCATGATCCGTGTAGTATTGATCCCACAGTCCACAGAGCGCAGGATGTTTAACAAATACGGTTGGTAGTTGCGTGTCCTTCACAGGATGTTGCAGAACCAACCTCAGCATGTTTTGACTGTTGTGGTTTTTCAAGGCAATTTTACATCCAGTAGTTTGCCATTTCTTTCTAGACGGTCAGCTTCTCGATACCTTCGAAACCAACGCAAGGCGAAAGGCCCGCAGCTGGGATCGAACCCGGCACAACGGAATTACGAAGCGCGTTCGCAACGCCTAAGCCACAGAAGCCGTCAACAAATACAGTATTAACAACAAATACTCCCCTGACCTGAAAAGGGATCCTATACAGTGTTGCCACTTTGGATCTTTTATATCCAAATTTAGATCTTTTTCATTGCATTTAGATACTGTTTTTGACGTTTAGATCGTAAATATTTTTCTAGATTCTTTTCATATGGAGTTAGATATTTTATAGATTTTTCTTTCTTTCATTGTCAATTTAATAATTACTGTGTGAAATAAATATCTGGCAGCCCCGGTACTGATTAATAAAAACGCGCGTAAATCATACTAACTTTGTTACAACCGTATCCTCTCTGTGCTGACTTTGCGTTTCTTTTTCATGTGATTAAAAAAAAAAAATAATTGCTCTATTTTTTATGTGGCTTTCACTTTGAAAAAACCTTTCAACGTGCCAAAAGTAAAGTATGAGCAAAAAATTTGGAAAGAGTGGTTGCATGATGACAAAATTAAAAACTGGGTATATAACCAAAGCTTGCTGTAAGTACTGCAAGTGTGAAATTAAAGCGAAAATACAAAACTCAAAGAGTCATGCAGAGACTAAAAAAAGCATAAAACTGCAGTTTCATTTAAAGATATTACACCGCTGACATCTGTTTTCAGAACTATACTGATAAATGAATCATTAAAAGTTGAAGTATCAGTCGGAATGTTTTAAATTTGTCACTGCGCAATTTCAAACTGTGACCATTTGATCGATTTGTAAAAAATCTTGGATTAGTTTAATTTGAAAAGTGTGATGTAGAAAGTATAGTTTAGGAACTGAAGGACCTTTTAATCAGCAAACAGTTAGGCTTGAAGAATTTGGCTGTAGTTGGTACTGATAATGCCTCAGTGATGGTTGGTATAAACAATGGCGTTTATCCCAAGTTGAAGGAAGCTAACCCATTGTTAATACTTATAAAATGTATGCGTCATTCATTGCAGCTAGCATTATCACATGCTTCATCTAAATATTTACCAAGGAATTTGGAATACCTTTTTGCTGAAACACTTTACTGGTTTTCCAAATCATTTGTCTCTTAAATGCTATCGTGCCATTAAAATTCGGCCTAATGAGACTAGAGAAAAAAGCCTACTGTTCCACTTATAAAGAAATTTAAACAGCTAAAGCATACCAGGGTCATTTTGGATCTGAAGCTTCAACTTCATTATCCAAGCTAAGTTTATCCTGTTGATCTTGTGAGGAAGACATCAGTGAAGGTGAGGACATGATTATGTAGGGTAAGTCATAACAAAAGCTATGTAATTTTTGACTTTTTCAATTTGGATAGTTTTTCTAGATCTTTTCCACGCAGATTTAGATCTTTTTAGATATTTTTTGACACTGTTTTGGATATTTTTTGTCAAAGAAAAGTGGCAACACTGATCCTATATTGTTTCATTATGTTCCTATAATATGCCGATACGAGTAGGCTGTCATTGTTGGTCATTTGAAATAATCATCAGCATTACGTACAGATCAGGTCAGTGTTCTTGTAGGCCATGTGGTCAAGCCATCCAGATATTTATCCCTGTGTTTAGGCCCGCTTTAGCGCAGTCGACACGAAGCTCGCTTTCAAATTAAGCTGCGACTCGCTGCCGCCACGGTCGGTGTTCGAAACCGGGCGGTTTCCGGGGTTCACCCAGCTTCTAGAAAATGGGTACCAGAGTTGACACTGGAGAAACGTCGCTGTAGCTACAGAGTTAGTGTCAACGGCGACACAGGCGGACAATTCTTATCAGCTGTCTGGTGGCAGAACACTTATGGTTTATAACCGTGTGTAATGACGCTGGTTCACATCTCCAGACTTTACCTTTTATCCCTGTGTTTTTACCTTGTTTGTATTCTATTAGTTTTGACTGTTATCATCTTTTCGTATCTATTACCTTTTGCCTCTTGGTGTTTCAGTTTTCATGTTCTCGTTCGTATCATTATTACTGTTTACGTTTTGAAAACACACCTCTCTGAAAGGGAGTCCCCGTGGCTGAGTTGCAGACGCTAGCCGCGGATCGGAAGGTCGTGGGTTCGCTTCCTTGAGGAGCCGGACTCTTTTTCAAAAATGACCTTGGCTCCCCGGTCGACGCAGTCTTGAGTGGGTACCGGGTGCAGTCACGGGAAGTAGAGGCGGTCGGTGTGATGCTGACCACGTCACCCATCTTGTGGGGACTGGTCTATTAAAAATATAGGTCTAGCCCTATATGCCCTATATGCCCTATACGCCTAAAGGCGTGGAAAAGGGTCCTTTACTTACCTCTCTGAAAGCTGAGGTAGTTTGGTCATGTCAAGCATCGTGACGATCTAAAGAGACCGGTGATAGAGAGTGCAGTTGGCGCAAAACGATTCAGGGGCCGACCGCCGAGAACGTTGATAGTGGACATTCAAGATGCGTCGGCAGAGCTGAGTTGAGTTGTCAAGATTTGCCATCACAGCTCTCGAGACATTCCCATGCATGCTCCCTCTTCATCTTCAGCAGGCAGCTCAGAGTTCCAATACTGATGGTACTAGTCACAGTCTCGTTTTATATCCGTCTTGCCTTTCCTGTGAGTGTTGTGAGCCAGCCAGTCCTCTGGTTACACCCAGGTGCCATATTCTGTCCTGGTATGCGTCGGCTATGAAAGCGCACAGAGCTGGAAACGTTGGCTAGAGAGAGAAGGCGAGGTTCTGTACAGGTACGTATTGACTGCATGATTGATCGACTCAAAACACTATATGAATGCTCTTTTAACATATTTGTAATGTTCAGTGTCAGATTTCTTCCATCTCAAACAGGCCACACTGTGCAGCTCAGGACAACGGTGGCTGGTGGTACTATAACTGTGCCTTTACCAACCTCAACGGCCAGTGGGGTCACGCCGGAGAGTCTGGAATATCCTGGTTCGAGCTTCCAGACGGCAGAATACACCCGCTCACAAAAACAGAAATGAAGTTCAAGAAGAGCAGTCAACCTTGAAGAACTGGCATGAGGGAACTTTTGCTGACAAAAAGCATGTTTGTACACGATCTCCTCCTTTGACATACCTAGACAGACCTTCGTCTTCTTCAGCCTTCTTTCTCAGCGGAACATAGCTCCTCAACGAACTCAAGCGAAGGCTTTTGTGTATACTTTTCCAGGATTGATTCGACTTGGTCATCATCAATCAGCAAGTTCCTTACAGAGCGTCGCTTTCGTCACGGATGTCTTGAAAGTCTCTCTGTCTTTAGCCAGTTATCCAGCTCTATGTTCTTTCTCAGCAAATGCATCTTCCATGTCCTGTACCCACATTCACGGAGGTCTGCCCCTGCTTCTGCCTCATTTTCCTGATATTGTACCCGTTCTCTCCAGGCCATCAAGGCAATAAACATGGCCGAAATAGCTCAGCTTTCGGGACATAATGCTGTTTATGAGCCTTTTCTCGACTGATAGCAAGTCAGTTTTATGCAATATCTACTTTGTTGCATCGTTATCATAATGTATAAAGTTCTTCGAAGATCATCGCACTCATCGCTGCATGCTGAAAAGCCACTCTATCATTTCCGAACTGTGCGACCCCATTGATTTTCACGCCTGTGGTGTCCTTGATATGCTTGATCCCCAGTCGTGGTGGTCGGCATCTGTATTTTCTTCCTGGAACCATACACTCCACAACCGTCTTTCCAAACAATTGCAATTTCTTCTTATGACCTGTATTATAAAACATACCGTACTATTGTTGGCTTTCTTAATGAGAACTAGTAACACATGTAGACGTGCACAGACAACTATTTCACAATAAACTTTGTTCATTCATTACTGTTGGTGTGTTTGTTATAGAAGTCTGGATAAACAATTGTAATTGTAGCGACAATTCCTGTTTATGTTATTGCTAACAGCATATTCTGTTTCTGTACATCAACGGTTCTCAACCTGTGGGGGGGGGGGGGGGGGGATAACTACAACATGAGGAACTGTATTAAAGGGTAGCGGCATCGGGTAGGTTGAAAACCACTGCTGTATATGGACGTGCGGAAACTTTACATGACTTCTCCGAGAAACCCATTATGGATAAAATCGGGTTCGAAATTAACAGCTTATCTTGCAAACTAAAGTACTTGGCCCATATTAAATGTCACATTAGCTGGGAAATAAGGATGAAAGATAATGTTAAATGTTGAATTAAAGATCGACATCACAACACTCGCGACACCCTATCAAGCGCTCCGGCCCCATCTTCAGAAGCAAGCAAAGAGTTCCAATTCCGATGGTACCAGTAACTGTCTGACTGCATATCCGTCTTGCCTTTCCCCTGAATGTTGAGCACCGGCCAGATTCCTTCGTAACTCCTGGCAGTGCGATTTTCCCCAGACCGTAATAATCTATTTGTGTCTCCGCACTGTTCAATCGCTCCTTAAGAGCCCTCATAACATCCAGCCTGTCATACATCAGTTCACCACCGTGCGGTGCAGAGCGATGATAGAGATCATGCTACGGGGAAAACGAGGCACACAGGTGGGATCAAGGACTTGTTTCGGGCAAGAAAGTGTATGAGGCAATGAAGGACAAGAGACCGAGTTTCTTTCAGGCCCGCTGTAATAGAAGCGACGTTCTATAGCAGACCTGCAACATGATGACAGAAAAGTGCACATGACAAACTATTTACACAAAGCGTCTGTTTCTAAACTTTCAAAACCTGTGGATCTTTACTAAAGCTTCAGGTTCTGAAGTTTATATTTTCTTTGCACTTACTAACTTCTGTTCTATTACTATTCATTGTTTCCTAAGCGCTACATTTAATTTTATATCGTTCCGCTGATCTGTCTGGAAAGGAGCATCCGGCCTTACAAGCGAGAGGGGTGGGGGGTGGGGGGGGGGGGGTCTGGTCGAGCTGTTAGGGCCTTGTGTTATCATTCTGGGAATTCGTGTTTGAATCTTCTTTGTTTTGCTAGTTCAAGTCCAGAAAAAAATTCTTACATAAACAGTTCGTGGTTCAAGACTTCCATGCCCTAAAAAGTAGTAACCACTGAAATTGTGAAAAGTGGAGTCAAATCAGCTGAAGCTGCGGCAGACGAAAGTCATACTATTTAGTTATTTTCAGTGATGCTTTGCATGTCTTGGAGACACTGAAAACTACTTCAAATAAACACAAGTTTCTGGTAGGAAAAGCAATCTTCAACACTGTGTCCAGCAACTCTGCATGTGTAACGTAATATTGAAAAGAGAAAGATCTATAATTTATTTCAACCATAAAAGAAAAGGAGGTTCGTAGAAACAACAACAGCAACAACAAAAAAAGCGCGTCACATCACACAGGCAATTGTAACGACTGTACTAATTTTAAATTTTATTTAAATTGCCCAATTAAAAAGTCACTGGCTTTATCAATTAACTGTTCATATTCCATACCATGTGGCGCTAGTAATCTGGTCTGCTTACAGATAGTTGTCACATGCTCGCGTCAGACAGAGACAATTTACATTTTTTGGTCATGTGATGAGAAGGAGAAAGCTGAGTACATCGTGGCTGCAGGAAAGTTGGACGGGAGGGGAGGCAGAGGTAGACCGAGAGAACAGTTTGACATCATGGTATGGAAGATCATCTGTGTCAGTGTTGATTAAAAGTACACGAGAAGAAGGTTGTAGAGAGACATGACTACCAACGCCGCACGGCATGGACGTTAAGAAAAAGAATCATCATCATCAGGTGCCTTGCCGACTGGCGTGAGCGATCATGCCTCTCCCAAATCTGCGATCTTCAACAGCATATATGAGTTTGTGTGTCGACACACCTTTACATCATGACAAAAGACTGTCCAGAATCCTCTCGCGTTGTCTTCCTTTGTCTCTTTTTTTCCACAGTTCTTTCCAGTGGTCATAACATATTCCGGTTTCCTTCTTCTAATAATATCACCCCCTCCCCCACAGACCCCCCCCCCCCCATTTCAATAGGACTGACTCTTTTCATGCCAATATTCGTACATACCCTTTAGGATACCATACTGCTCGACATCTTATCTCCTGGGTTCCCTGTGCCCCCCCCCCCCTCCCCATTTCCTTTTCTCTGTATTTGTTTTGTGGTGCTAGACTTCGCAGGTAAACGGTTGACAGGTGGTCGAGCTAAGATCTGATCTGTTGCTTAGTATGCTGTGATTTTGAAAAGTCCCAAGTTCTAGGCGATTCCTTCATCTTCTTCCAGGTTTCTTTCCTTTTTTTTTCTTGTTTAATATTCACGTTGTCACGCCCCATTCTAGTTGATCCGTGGTCGTGACGTTCGTGAAGAATGTTAACTGTCGTGTTAAGATGCAGGCAATTCGATCTCATTAAAAACAGAATGAAGAGTCTATGGTTAAGCACCAGCAAGGAAATCAAGGTACAAGTTTTGAGAGTGCTCATCTTCTCTATAGCAACATGTGAGTCGTGGATTCTCTCGCATTCTTTAAGAAAGACAATAGGGGAGTTTGTACTGAAATTCTTTAGAAAGTTTCTTAGAGTACCATGGGCAAAGAAGACAAGAAACACCGACATTTTAAAAGACCTGAACATTAAGAAAGCCTGGCTGATAAACTGCATCTTGTCTCGGAAACCGAAATATTTTGGCAGTCTGAAAGGTCACGGCGAATTGGAAACAATAATAGCAAAAGGCGCGGTACCAGGAAGGAGGGACAAGAACAGGGGCAGGGGCCGACCAGCATGAAGATGACCACAAGATATGTGACACCTTAGGTAGGAAATGTACGAGGCGGAAGAGCTGGCGAGAGACAGTTTAAAAAACTTGTCATAGGCAGACCGTGATGAGAGCGACGTTCTGCAAATAACCTCCTATATGATGATGATGAATCGGCTCTCTTTGTGAGTTAACGGTTTTCAATATATCATCGTTAGTTTTATTATTTGAAAAAAAAAACTTTTTTTTTTAAATCTGTAAGAATGGACAGCAGAAATAATAAGCATACATTTTTGAAATATTGAACATTTGCGCTATTAGGGCCCCAGAAACAGTAAGAATGGCGCTTTCAAACAACAACAAAATTGCGTCCCATTAGGGGACGAACTATATAACTGAGTCCACATGAAAAATACAAAGTATATAGAAGTTAGTAATTTTACTCCACCAGCAGATTACCAGATAACACAGAGCGATAAACACCCGGTGACACAAAGTACCACCATGCGTATGAGGATCATCCGTGCAGGGTCGGGTCCCGGAAACTTAAACCATTGCGGCCCCTGGAAACAGCCAGGGTGGGGTTTCAAAATAACGGAAAATTGCATCCCTCGAGCGGGATGACGGAGATGACTGACTGACTTTGATCCCCACTAGGACATCACACAAGCGATAAACACAGGATGACACAAAGTGCCACCATGTGAATGAGGATCACCGTGGAGAGGTCCCGGAAACCGCTTTCAGACAATTGGCCATATTTATTGCCTGCTTATATTGCTGCCCCTGGCAAAAGCCAGAGTGGGGCTTCAAATGACAAAAAATAACGTCCTAAAAAAGACGTAAGGACGTAAGGAAGTATGACGGAGATTTAACAAAGTAAGTATATAAATACAAACTAACCAGGTGAAATCAAAGCAGCCACTTAAAACTTTAACAGTTTACCAAATGTGGAGTCAGGTCAACCAGTGGACCAATCAACTTCTATATCCGGTTCACCTATTAAGTGAAAAATGTCGGTGGTTGTTAGTGAAATCACACACGTCTAATCGATACATATTTTTGCCGTTTCATCGTAATACTTAGAGAATATTATGATATAAAGCGCACCGACACAACCTGATATTTTGGCCTTGATGTAATGACAGTGTAAACGAAGATAACAATACTACTTGTGCTTATTTTCCAGTGTTGCTAACTTGTAAGTAACGTTGTTATAGACGCCACTGGCAGGACGTACTCTTAACTCTAGTTAATTTAGAAGATTAGACATACGTTTTTTTTTTAAAAACTGGTAGCGTTTTTTTAACTGTCACTGTTCTACATTGTTACTATATAGCTTTTTAACTTCCTTCCATAACTCCATACCGTGGTAGATAAGGTAGGGGAGTGGTGTGAGGAAACGGGTCCGGTCGGCGCTTCTTTGAATCGTTCCCCAAAATGGCGGCTGTAATATGATGGCGTTCAAAAAGGAGCTAAATTGGCCAATTTCTGGCCATAAAATATCCCCCAAAAAAATCCAAATGCGGGGTCAGTTCTATTAAAAATATATGTGCCGGCTCCGAATAACGAAACAAATGCTCTGACAGGGTCTGGGCGATACGTTGCTTGCCGACCTGCTTCTGCGAGTGTGCCTCACCGCCGAGCGTATCCCCCGGATGGGAGCTAAACTAGATGGCTGGGACTCACGAGTGGCAGCTACCGCATCTCCTGCAACTTCCTCCAATTACTGTACTCGTGAGTCCCAGGCACCTAGATACGCTCGGCGATGAGTTTAATCGCGTTTGGCGCATGCCAACAAGTCTGACATCTACCGCTCCAATCGGAAGAACACAGTATTGCTAATCGGCTTCTATCGTCTGTAATGTCTCGAAATTGGTCAACGGTCGCTAATATCGTCTGCTAGTATCGTCGTCTGCAGAAACGCTCGAAATTTTTGTCAACGGCCGGTATTTATCGTCTGCTACTAGTACCGTGTGCAAATGTTGATATTGGTTGTCAAGTAATCCTAGTTTTGCCGCGATTTGTTCCTTGGCAGAAAGTCCGTATTTTAGATATACGCGAACACCGTCGTTCGGATATTTTTGGATATTTTATGGCCAGAATGTGGCATGCCGCCATTTTGGGGAATAAATCAAAGAAGCGCCGTCCGGTCATCTACTGAGATGAGTGCTCTCCTCCGAACTTCTACCCCATATTATGGTGGCTAAAAAAATACCCTCACAGGGCCTCAGTCGTGTGTAAAATGCGGACTTCCTGCGATAAAACTTTACTTGATAATTTCAAGATACACAACACAGCAGACGTTAGTAACAGACGATAATAGCGACCGTTGACAATTTCGAGCGTTTCTGTAGACGATACTAGCGACCATTGACAATTTTGAGACACACAACATTACAGACGACAATAGCAACATGGCAGGGAGACCACGCGCTGCGATGTAGATTAGCGTCGTTGTTGTCCTCACACTTTTTCAGCACGTGCCAAACGTAGTTAAATGCACCACCGACAGTATCCCCTGCGCCGTGCTGGGGATCTAAACTAGATGCCTAGGACTCACGAGCAAATAAATTAGAAAAAGTTGCAGGAAATGCGGTAGCTGCTGCTCGTGAGTCCCAGCCATCTAGTTTAGCCCCCCCCCCCCCCCCCCCCCCATCCGCGCCGCACATATCGATGCAGGGTATACTGTCCGCGGTGCAGCATAGTCGCAGAAACAGGTCTGCAACATATCGTTAAGACCCTGTTAGAGCATTTGTTTTGTTATTCGGAGCCAATTCTAGTTTTGCAACAATTTGTTCCTTGGCAGGAAGTCCGCATTTTGCATAGGACTGAGGCCCTATTGGGGTATTTGTTTGGCTGCCATAATATGTGGTAGAAGATCGGAGGAGAGCCGGCATCAGTATTATGTATGATTGTATTCTTTTCTAATATATAGATGTAATACCCAACATAAATGACAGTAACATAAAGAGAGGTTTTTCACTAAAATATATAAGAATCACTTTTGACATGATCCTGTCTTTTTTAATACCATTGTAAAGGGGGTAGTTTTAAAGTTAGGTGAGCCTGGCTCACTAGCGTAGTTGGTTGGACCTGACTTCATGGTGGCCAGGTGACGAACTCCTTGTGGTCCGGGTTCATGCCTGGTGGTAGGCAGAAAAGCAAAATTTCTCCCAGATTTACGGTACCTATAATGGAATCAAGGCCGAAGGGTTGCGATATCCATATTACCGAGCCAAAGGATTAACAACTTATGGTTTCTGTATACTTAAAAAAAAAAATTTTTAAAGGTAGGGAAAGGATTCAGTGCTTTGAATTTGAAAGTGATGGTATCAGTGGACATGCGACAGAAAATGCTCTATACTCTTCTATACACTCTATCAGAAACTGATTATTTCAGTGATGGAGTAAACTTTGGGACTGCTTACATGATCTCATACCCAAATAGAGAAGTTGGAATGCATTCAAAAGGAAGCCATGCAAGTCATTTTGGGATGTACACAAGACAAACCAGTTGTGTGTACACAGGACAAACCAGTTGTATGTACACAGGACACACTAGTTGTATGTACACAGGACACACCAGTTGTATGGATCAGGCAGACACAGGACACACCAGTTGTATGGATCAGGCAGACACAGGACACACCAGTTGTATGGATCCGGCAGACACAGGACACACCAGTTGTATGGATCCGGCAGACACAGGACACACCAGTTGTAAGGATCCGGCAGATACTTGCCATCCATTTATGAAAGATACAAGGTTTTTCAGGCAAAAATGTAGCTTAAATTCTCAATAGACATGGAACACCTTCTGCATGAGGCTTAAAAAATAACAAGGGAGATTGGCTGTAAAGAGGTGGCTTTCAGATGGCACACACAGACATCACTAAAAGAAATGTTTGTACTACTGACAAGATAGCGCATGTTGAGGAATGGATCACAGTGTTTCCCAGCAAAACAGCCTTGCCTAGCATGATGATTGCCTTGTACTGAGAATGCCAGGAATAGATAGCTGGTGAAACAGAGTCAGCAGTTCAGGAGCTGATAAATGAAAATTCCCACCCAGAATATGTCGTTATGTACACAGATGGGTCTGTAATGAGAGAAAAGAAGAGTGAGTGAGGTTTTATTGGACACTGTTTTAAAACAGAAAGCCTTATGTACAGTGGCACTACATCCAGTATGACAATGGAGGTAGAGGCAGTAAGGTAGCTTTCCTATGGCTTGAGAATAGCACAGTCTGACATATTGTAAGTGTAATAGATTCACAGAGCTTCCTTTAGAAAATTGAAACTGGGGTCCTGCTTGCAGAATAGCTTGCATCATTAGACAAGACTCAGATTAGGAACAAATCATGTATTTTATGTCCAGGACATTCAGATGTGCAAGCTAACAAGCAGTGTGTGAGGCAACGAGCGTGTGTGAGGCAACAGACGTGTGTGAGGCAATGAGCGTGTGTGAGGCAATGAGCGTGTGTGAGGCAACAAACGTGTGTGAGGCAACGAGCGTGTGTGAGGCAATGAGCGTGTGTGAGGCAACAAACGTGTGTGAGGCAACGAGCGTGTGTGAGGCAACGAGCATGTGTGAGGCAACGAGCGTGTGTGAGGCAACGAGCGTGTGTGAGGCAACGAGCATGTGTGAGGCAACGAGCATGTGTGAGGCAACGAGCATGTGTGAGGCAACAAACGTGTGTGAGGCAACGAGCGTATGTGAGGCAACGAGCGTGTGTGAGCAGAGGTTCCAGAAGATATTCAACACTAAGGGGTAAACATAGGCAAACTTTTAATCAGGTTACAACTGGTATTATTAGTTCATAGAGTCTTTGTTGGCTACTGAAGAAGGGGGTGAAACATGTTTGGGAATGTCTCTAGTGCAGTAACAACGTTACATACCAGTTCTTGATTGATTGATTCAATCATGCATGCGTACACATTCAAACATACCCATGTACACACAAACATGCATATACGCATACAAACTGACATATACGTAAAGTAAAGGACCATCTCTCATGCCGTAATGCATCTTCGGTATAGTTCTTGACTTATATTTTATAGACCAATTGGCTTGTGGTCGGTGATGTGATCTGCATATTTTATTGGGGCATAATAGAAAATCATTAAGAACAACGTTTGAATATTAATATTTGTATGAGTTGTTGCATTACTATTGTCATAGCTAATTAAATAAAAGAATTGAAACTGTGAAGTCACTTCATGCTTGAACATGGGGGCCATTATTTGTTGCCTACAATATTCTCCCAGAGTTACGCAACCTGGCCATCCTGGAAATTCCAACATGCAGGAGGTGAACGTGAGAGTTGCAGTACGGGTAAGTTGATCAACATTTGTTACATTCTCACCTTTTCAGTAATATACCAGAGCAGCATTGCAGTATAGAAGCTAACCCTGGATTCATATCCTCTTCAGAAAGGTTTTATTTGTTGATATTGATTCCTTGGACCAGTCTTCTTCAACTGGTGGACCCGTAGAAAAGCCCAAGCAGGCCTCCAAAATGTCTTCCTAATCATTTAACGGGGTAACATAGGCAGTTTTTCTCCTCCACTATCTCATGATTAACAGTCCATTGACCGCAACAATATTTATGTGAAACTGGCATCATCTGAGTCCAGGAAGACCAAGGATACCCATGAAAGGCAGGACTGATTTATTCACACACACAGTTTGTTCTGATCTGCTCGAAGGACCATAGACACCATAAATGCACAGTCAAATAACAGACACGTTTTTCTTAACACTGTTTTATGCCCTTTGAGGGAAGCTTAGATATCTATTTGAGTTCCAACAAGATTTACTTGAGGAGCACATGTGTACACATATTACAACTAGGAAAATCCACGAGTGTATTACTTTCAAAGAAGTTAGATAGTAAGGAAGGCCAGATTTCTTTAGCATGTTCCAATTAAATGTGTACTTTACGAGAAAAAATTCAATGTTAGGTAGGATTCACAGTGAAGCTAATCACACATCATACGTTGTCTGGAACTGAAAGAGATTTGCCCATGCCAGCCTGTCAGACACCCCCAACTTCAGCCATACCACATCCAGAATATACTTCAGTGGGAAAATGTGCATGTCAAATCTTTTCAGAGGCAATGACAATCTGTTATGTTCTGAGACAGTTTGAGATTTGTGATGAAAAGGCATGAAATAGGATAGACGTACAGATGTCTGCATGAATGATATGCTCACAGCTACATCCATGAGACTTTGAACTTTGGTTAGGGCAGATCGTTGCTAAGCTGGTACTTCCGTTCAAATCAATAACCGAAGAGTTTAAAGTCGGCAAGGTAAGGCTCGCCATGCTTTTGCTCGAGTCTTCAGACCCAAATGTCATTGCTGTCCAGCCCGCTCTAAAGACTGGCCAGAAGTGGAGAGTCCTCGATGCGATAGAATCTGCCCAGAATGCACTAAAATTGAGAGAGATAATGGGATACACACAAACCGACCGTCGAGGCCTAGGGCACGGGAAGGTCAATTGGTGGTCAAAGGCCTCAGCCAAAGAACGCCGAGACATGGTAATACAAACGGTGAGGGACAACGAAAACGAGGTTCGGGTCCAGAAAGCAGCCCAGCAGTCGCAGCAGGGCCATTGGGTCAGCCTGGAGAGCGCATTGCCAAGAATACTCACATGGGGTGAGATCTGGCGGATGATCCCGCTGCGACTGAGCTTTATCGTTCGTTCGGCGTACGATGTATTACCGTCCGGTGTTAACATGGTTAAATGGTCTGCGACTAACGATCCGACTTGCCCGTTGTGTAAATCGAAGCAAACTCTTGAGCACGTCTGCGTGCAGGAAAGCCCTAGGTCAAGGCCGATACACCTGGCGACACAACAAGGTGCTAAAAGAGTTAGCAGCCGTTGTCGACCAGGCTAGAATGAGGGCTAACGCCAGAGCCAGTTCTAGCATCGTCCCCATTCGTTTCCTCAAGGCTGGGCAGGTTCCAAAAGGTAAGGTCAACCAAAACGCATTCGCTCCATCTGTGCTAGACTCTGCGAGGGACTGGTTACTGGCGGTTGATCTGCCAGGCCATGAACGGTACCCCGAGTTGATCCGTAAAACCGGCCTGCGACCGGACATCGTTCTCCATTCAGCGCAAAAACGGCAGCTCATCCTGATTGAGTTGACTGTCCCGTTTGAGTCGCGTATGGAGGAGAATCATTTGTACAAGCTCGAGAAGTACAGTGATTTAGCAGCCGGTCTGAGGAGAAACGAGTCGTGCACAGTACGGGTCTTTGCCGTCGAAGTGGGAGCGAGAGGCCTCGTCTCCACTTCGCTCTACAATGTGGTGAAAGAACTAGGATTGCGCGGTAATGAACGGAAACGAACACTCAAAAAACTGGGAGAGGTAGCCGAAAGGGCTTCTAGCTGGCTTTGGACGCAGCGCAACAACGTAGGGGACGGGCTTCGGTGAGCTGGTCCGGGTGTCTAGTGGAAAAGGGTTTCTCCCCTTTGAAAGTACATCGTGTCCGAATTGTCTGCCAGTGTTCCTCTGCCAACTGCTAATAAAAGTCCAACATGTGTCCGGTAAACCAAAGTAAGCTTGTCGCTCGGTCGTCCAGGCATGCTGACTGCTTTAATTAGGCTGCCGTGGCGACTTCTTATCTCACAGTACCTTCTGCGAAACCACCAAGTCGTCTTGTCTCTGGCCGAAAGAATAACACCATCCGGTAATTCCGTGCAGCGGGGAACCAGCCCTGAGCTTCATGAACTCAGGAGGGCCCACCTCCGAATGCGTCTAGGAATCGTGGGCCCAAACGCGTGTCGACGAGGATAATTTCTACTGACGACTGGTAGATCCCTGCTGTACTTGCTCCCTGTGAGTTTATTCCCACATCAGTGCACTCCCTCATTAAGCATCAGTAATTGCTACATTTCTCTTGTAGAACTACATTTAATAGCAGTCACAAGTTACATGTAATAACAGCCACAATATACATGTAATAGCAGCCACAATATACAGGTAATAGCAACCACAAAATACATGTAATAAGCAACCACAAAATACTTGTAATAGCTGTCACAAGATACATGTAATAACAGCCACAAGATACATGTAATAACAGCCACCATATATATGTAATAGCAGCCACAGGATACATGTAATAGCAGCCACAAAATACATGCAATAGCAATCACAAGATATGTGTAAAAACAGCCACAAGATACATGTAATAGCAGCCACAATATACATGTAATAGCAACCATAAGATACATGTAATAGCTGTCATAAGATACATGTAATAGTAGCCACAAGTTACATGTAATAGCAGCCACAGGATACATGTAATAGCAGCCACAAGATACATGTATTAGCAGCGACAATATACATGTAATAGCAGCCACAAAATACATGTAATAGCAGTCACAAGATACATGTAACAGCAGCCACAGGTGTCGCGCGCCCACGTGGGTAAATACACTGATATAGTGAGGGTGTGGGTTTGAACCTTAACAATGCCCACCCACGTGCGAAACTGGACTATTATCTAAGCTATGTTGATCCTAGACAGTCCTGGATAGCCAAGAAAACAGCGAGTGGCTCGTTCCATGAAATGAAAGTTGCTGTACTTGTATCCACAGGAGTAGGAGAAGGGATAGATAGATATCAGGATAAACCCACTGTTATATAATCCAGATACACAGTTAACCCCTCCGACTGTTTTCCTCTCCTGGCATTACTTAAAAGCCCCCATCAAGTGATTTAAATATTTGTTAGCTGAAGTAAACTAATATGCACAAAGACACTTGAACCTAAGTACACAATTTACTCAACTATTTTGTAACAACATCAAACATGATTTATTTGAATAAATCGAAATTAAAATGAACTTGTTTAGGCTAGTAGAGTTGAGGTGATGTTGATAATGAAATCATAAAGGTATTGGAAAGTAACAACTTTTGGACAGTTCTCGGCTTGAGACCCTGCCTATCTTTTCCAGTTTGTCGTCCTCACTGCTTTCATGCAGGTCGTTACACTCAGACGGTCGGCAAAAAATGGAGGCCTACTAGTCCCTGCCCAATGTGGGAACTGTGATAAAGAAACAAGCGCATATCTGTAGTATCTGCTCTAAGTGTACACTAAGCATGTATATTATAAAAACATCAAACATGTTTATTTAAGTAAAACATTTCATCTCTCCCTCATTTTCACATTCACTCCTGTCCAATTTGGAAGGGCTTATGTCTCACATTCCAACTGTTACATCTTCTGCCTTCCTCTACACAAGTCCTGTAATGATAGTCAAGTCTTCTACGTCAGGTGCCATCTCTCGTACAGACTCAAATGACAATCAGTCAGACAGACCAAGTTCTGGAACCTATGCTTGGAACAATGGACGCGCCCAGAATGCTAACAATAGTTCTGGGGCGAATCAAATAACAAATCTCATGGATTTACTCTCCGGGATCAGTCTCCGCATTAGCCTCCCGAGAGTTAAACACATTTCAGTGTGTTAGCTGTGTGTAATACAGATTCACATTAACCACACGTGAAAAGATTGCCAAAGTTATCTTCACGCTTGTGATTTCAAAAACATTATAGTTCATTAAATTCCAATGGTAACATCAACATTTAGGTTTTACAACATTGAAACACATGTGCACAAAAAAACATCATGACACTATCAATTAGGAAATAAAGCAATGTGACAGTGCCCTACGAGAATGGAGAAATGTCCGCCTAGGAGTATTACAAAGTGATGAAGACACACACTTGAGCAAAAAGACAGTTAGATCTCTATCATAAATAAAATAAAGGTTTTGAAACTAATTTCGTTCTTACCTGGAAAATGAAACCACAATGCCAAAAGTTCTGTCTCAAGCTTAGGTTAAGCCCAACAGATGGCATGTGCTGGACAGAGTCTCATTTACCAGACCTAGAGTTCACCCCTTTATAACTTTTATCAAGCTCCTCCTACATTACGCCTAAAATCATTCTCATTCAAGGATGTCACAGCTCCTCCCTTGTGGGTAAGTTTATTTGCTGTCAGTCAGGGCTGTACAACACTTGTTTAAATTCCCACGCTGGGATCTCCTGGTCAATTCATCTGACCAGAGCAAATAGGCCAAGTCACACCTCCAGCCTACTTCACCTGTCATCACAATAAAATCAGACTTTGTCAATTCTTCTGCCCACACTTTCGGTTCCCTGTGTCAATATTGACGATCTGACCGGCACTCCAGTTAGGTAACCTCAGGGGGAGATAATGGCAATTAGCCCTTGTTATCTGCTCCTGAAGGTCTGGCTAGGAGATAAATATCTGACACCAACAGATGGTGTGCAAATCTGCAGACAGTAAGTCTACGCTTGGCCAGTCTTATCTCTGTACCTCAACACTTAACGTCTGGGAAAAGTTTTAGTGTTTGATATCGCCAACATCCCAGGAGAATTAAATGTTTCTTCTGGTCGCCTTACTTAGATTAAGGATGTATCCAAAACCATATTATTTCTGTATTCTTTAAAATACATAGAAATAAAAGTCCGTTGAGGAAAGACATTCTGAAGTCACCGAGCGTATTGTCACAACAGGATACATGTAATAGCAGCCACAGGATACATGTAATAGCAGCCACAAGATACATGAAATAACAGCGACTATATACATGTAATAACAGCCACAATATACATGTAATAGCAGCCACAATATACAGGTAATAGCAACCACAAAATACATGTAATAGCTGTCACAAGATACATGTAATAACAGCCACAAGATACATGTAATAACAGCCACCATATATATGTAATAGCAGCCACAGGATACATGTAATAGCAATCACAAGATATGTGTAAAAACAGCCACAAGATACATGTAATAGCAGCCACTAGTTACATGTAATAGCAGCCACAATATACATGTAATAGCAACCATAAGATACATGTAATAGCTGTCATAAGATACATGTAATAGTAGCCACAAGTTACATGTAATAGCAGCCACAGGATACATGTAATAGCAGCCACAGGATACATGTAATAGCAGCCACAAGATACATGTAATAGCAGCCACAAAATCCATGTAATAGCAGCATCAAGATACATGTAATAGCAGCCACCATATATATGTAATAGCAGCCACAAGATACATGCGATAGCAGCGACAAGTTACCTGTAATAGCAGCTACAATATGCATGTAATAGCAACCACAAGATACATATAATAGCTGTCATAAGATACATGTAATAGCAGCCACAAGTTACATGTAATAACAGCCACAAGTTAATGTAATAGCTGTCATAAGATACATGTAATAGCAGCCACAAGATACATGTAATAGCTGTCATAAGATACATGTAATAGCAGCCACAAGATACATGTAATAACAGCCACAAGATACCTGTAGTAGCAGCCAAAGGATACAAGATACATGTAATAGCATCTGCAGGATACATGTAATAGCAGCCACAAGATACATGTAATAGCAGCCACAAGATACATGTTATAGCAGCCACAAGATACATGTAATAGCAGCCACTAGTTACATGTATTAGCAGCCACAGGATACATGTAATAGCAGCATCAAGATACATGTAATAGCAGCCACAAGATACATGTTATAGCAGCCACAGGATACATGTAATAGCAGCCACAAGATACATGTAATAGCAGCCACAAGATACATGTAATAGCAGCCACAAGATACATGTTATAGCAGCCACAAGATACATGTAATAGCAGCCACTAGTTACATGTATTAGCAGCCACAGGATACATGTAATAGCAGCATCAAGATACATGTAATAGCAGCCACAAGATACATGTTATAGCAGCCACAAGATACATGTAATAGCAGCCACTAGTCACATGTAATAGCAGCATCAAGATACATGTAATAGCAGCCACAAGATACATGTAATAGCAGCCACAGGATACATGTAATAGCAGCATCAAGATACATGTAATAGCAGCCACAAGATACGTGTAATAGCAGCATCAAGATACATGTAATAGCAGCCACAAGATACATGTAATAGCAGCATCAAGATACATGTAATAGCAGCCACAAGATACGTGTAATAGCAGCATCAAGATACATGTAATAGCAGCCACAAGATACATGTAATAGCAGCATCAAGATACATGTAATAGCAGCCACAAGATACGTGTAATAGCAGCATCAATATACATGTAATAGCAGCCACAGGATACATGTAATAGCAGCATCAAGATACATGTAATAGCAGCCACCATATATATGTAATAGCAGCCACAGGATACATGTAATAGCAGCCACAAGATACATGTAATAGCAACCACAAGATACATATAATAGCTGTCATAAGATACACGTAATAGCAGCCACAAGTTACATGTAATAGCAGCCACAAGATACATGTAATAGCAGCCACAAGTTAATGTAATAGCATCCACAAGATATGTGTAGTAGCAGCCACAAGATACATGTAATAGCATCTGCAGGTTACATGTAATAGCAGCCAAAAGATACATGTAATAGCAGTCACAAAATACATGTAATAGCAGCCACAGGATACATGTAATAGCAGCCACAAGATACATGTAATAGCAGCCACAAAATCCATGTAATAGCAGCATCAAGATACATGTAATAGCAGCCACCATATATATGTAATAGCAGCCACAAGATACATGCGATAGCAGCGACAAGTTACCTGTAATAGCAGCTACAATATGCATGTAATAGCAACCACAAGATACATATAATAGCTGTCATAAGATACATGTAATAGCAGCCACAAGTTACATGTAATAACAGCCACAAGTTAATGTAATAGCAGCCACAAGTTACATGTAATAGCAGCCACAAGATACATATAATAGCTGTCATAAGATACATGTAATAGCAGCCACAAGATACATGTAATAACAGCCACAAGTTAATGTAATAGCAGCCACAAGATACCTGTAGTAGCAGCCAAAGGATACATGCAATAGCAGCCACATGATACATGTAATAGCAGCCACAAGATACATGTAATAGCATCTGCAGGATACATGTAATAGCATCTGCAGGATACATGTAATAGCAGCCACAAGATACATGTTATAGCAGCCACAAGATACATGTAATAGCAGCCACTAGTTACATGTATTAGCAGCCACAGGATACATGTAATAGCAGCATCAAGATACATGTAATAGCAGCCACAAGATACATGTTATAGCAGCCACAAGATACATGTAATAGCAGCCACTAGTCACATGTAATAGCAGCCACAGGATACATGTAATAGCAGCATCAAGATACATGTAATAGCAGCCACAAGATACATGTAATAGCAGCCACAGGATACATGTAATAGCAGCATCAAGATACATGTAATAGCAGCCACAAGATACGTGTAATAGCAGCATCAAGATACACGTAATAGCAGCATCAAGATACATGTAATAGCAGCCACAGGATACATGTAATAGCAGCATCAAGATACATGTAATAGCAGCCACCATATATATGTAATAGCAGCCACAGGATACATGTAATAGCAGCCACAAGATACATGTAATAGCAACCACAAGATACATATAATAGCTGTCATAAGATACACGTAATAGCAGCCACAAGTTACATGTAATAGCAGCCACAAGATACATGTAATAGCAGCCACAAGTTAATGTAATAGCATCCACAAGATATGTGTAGTAGCAGCTACAAGATACATGTAATAGCATCTGCAGGTTACATGTAATAGCAGCCAAAAGATGCATGTAATAGCAGTCACAAAATACATGTTATAGCAGCCACAAGATACTTGTAATAGCAGCCACAAGTTACATGTTATAGCAGCCACAGGATACATGTAATAGCAGCCACAGGATACATGTAATAGCAGCCACAATATACATGTAATAGCAGCCACAGGATACATGTAATAGCAGCCACAATATACATGTTATAGCAGCCACAATATACATGTAATAGCAGCCACAAGATACATGTAATAGCAGCCACAGGATACATGTAATAGCAGCCACAATATACATGTAATAGCAACCACAAGATACATGTAATAGCTGTCATAAGATACACGTAATAGCAGCCACAAGTTACATGTAATAGCAGCCACAATATACATGTAATAGCAGCCACAAGATACATGTAATAGCAGCCACAAGATACATGTTATAGCAGCCACAAGATACATGTAATAGCAGCCACAGGATACGTGTAATTGCAGCCACAGGATACATGTAATAGTCTTTTCAACATAAGTGCTAATCTGCCTCTTTATTGTTATATTGTTGACACCAAATGGCTATAGGTGAGGCCCCTGCTGACCAAAGAAAAGCTGAGTGGGGAGCAGATGTGTGTCCGTCCGGGATCAAACCAGAACCAGCTTATTTTAGGGACAGACAGGTCATTCACTTTTGACCACATCTTTTTCAGCAAAGCCCAGCAGGTAACTGTTGTGTGTATTTGTGTAGCATTCAACTGTCAAGTGGTAGCATATGGGGCAATTCTTTTTAAATAGACCAACTGGAACTCTGTTTGGGAGGTGGTCAGTATTATGCTGACCACCTTTGCTTTCCAGAACATTTCCTGGTATCTTTTTATAGGCTAAATTTCCTTCTCTGCAATAAGAAATTCTATCACAATTTGCTGCTCATAATGCAAGATTCAGCATGCTCCATTTCAGTGGTTAAGTGCAGATGTATTATTTGGCCAGTTATAGTGCATATTTAGGAAATACATTTAGGCCAATATTTATATATATTTAGGAAATACAATTAGCACATGCTGCATTTAATGTGTGTAAAATGTCATGCTTCGGTCTTCATTATAAGTTGGGAGAAACTATACATTGCATTACTTTCTGGACGTCCCTCATGTAAACATCTGCCTTGATGTGGATTTGAACCCAAGGCTTTCAGGCAAGCATCTAGCCATTATGCTACAGATGCTCCCTTTTTAGTTTCAGTGGACTTTCCCATGTGGGTTTCTGGGGTCCCATTGTTGAGAAACTAGAATAGACCCACAGCCTCCCTCCCCAACAAGCATGTTGTAAGAGTCAAATAATTTGGGGTTTCCTTCAAAGTCACGAGTGTATCTGCCTGAGAGGCAAGGAACCAACAGTCTGCATGCAGATAAGCTATATCTAACTCAGGTTCTGGATCAAGGCTAAAGTCCAGAAGTGGATGAACAACCAGAACTTTCTGCCAGAGTTTACAGCTGGTGAACGTGAGGAAGAAAAAGAACTTTAAATTCACTACAAATCATTTACTGAATAACTGTGTTGCAAAAATGTGTGTATCTACAGGAAGATGTCTACAAACTGTGTGTTGAGCCACTGGTAGTAAGCCTTTTTGATGGATACAATGCCACAGTCTTTGCCTATGGACAAACGGTGATTTCTTTAAATACTTTTCTGACAGTAGCTTTTATATACCTTTGATTACTTCTTCGCATTCTACCTTGGAGTTTAAAGGGGCTTTACGTTTGTTTCTCTGTCACGGTGCCTGCTTATATGTATGCAGGTACACCCTGCTCTTGCCCACACCTCTCACACCCACCATTTTCCTTCCCTACACACACACACTTAAATATATATAAAAGGCAAACACATATATGCATGTTGCACCCACATGCCACACACATACTTGGTTTATCAAACTTTAGACTTTCGTGACAGTAAAATGCTCTAACATTGGGCCAGCGGTGTGTCAAATTTGAGTGTTTCAATAGTTCTCATGAAGTTCATACTAGAGACAACATTGCAGATATAGATAATTTATTTCAAGCGAACAAAAGAAGAAGCAGAAGAAGAACAAGTTCTCAAATGGGGCTGTGATAAGCATTGTAAATTGTTTGTCACTGGCACAGGACTGGATCAATTGGGTGATGACCTATTTGCCATGAACAGCAGCATCTTACAGCCGTTATGACCATATTTATATCCCAGGTATATTCATCAGGTTGGGGCTTACCTAACAGCTCTATGACAGCAGCATCATCTCTTACCTAACAGCTCTATGACAGCAGCATCATCTCTTACCTAACAGCTCTATGACAGCAGCATCATCTCTACCTAACCTACGACACAGCTCTATGACAGACAGCATCATCTCTTACCTAACAGCTCTATGACAGCAGCATCATCTCTTACCTAACAGCTCTATGACAGCAGCATAATCTCTGACCTAATAGCTCTACGACAGCAGTCATCATCTCTATGACAGCAGCAACCAGCTCTATGACAGCAGCATCATCTCTTACCTAACAGCTCTATGACAGCAGCATCATCTCTTACCTAACAGCTCTATGATCATCTTACCTAACACAGCTCTACCTAACACAGCAGCAGCATCATCTCTTACTCTATGACAGCAGCATCATCTCTACAACAGCAGCATCATCTCTTACCTAACAGCTCTATGACAGCAGCATCATCTCTTACCTAACAGCTCTATGACAGCAGCATAATCTCTTACCTAACAGCTCTACGACAGCAGCATCATCTCTTACCTAACATCTCTATGACAGCAGCATCATCTCTGACCTAACAGCTCTATGACAGCAGCATCATCTCTTACCTAACAGCTCTATGACAGCAGCATCATCTCTTACCTAACAGCTCTATGACAGCAGCATAATCTCTGACCTAATAGCTCTACGACAGAGTCATAATCTCTTACCTAACAGCTCTATGACAGCATCATCATCTCTACCTACCTGACAGCAGCATCATCTCTTACCTCTCTATGACAGCAGCATCATCATCTCTTACCTAACAGCTCTATGACAGCAGCATCATCTCTTACCTAACAGCTCTATGACAGCAGCATCATCTCTTACCTAACACTCTATGACAACAGCAGCAGCATCTCTTACCTAACAGCTCTATGACAGCAGCATCATCTCTTACCTAACAGCTCTATGACAGCAGCATCATCTCTTACCTAACATCTCTATGACAGCAGCATCATCTCTTACCTAACAGCTCTATGACAGCAGCATCATCTCTTACCTAACAGCTCTATGACAGCAGCATCATCTCTTACCTAACAGCTCTATGACAGCAGCATAATCTCTTACCTAACAGCTCTACGACAGAGTCATCATCTCTTACCTAACAGCTCTATGACAGCATCATCATCTCTTACCTAACAGCTCTATGACAGCAGCATCATCTCTTACCTAACAGCTCTATGACAGCAGCAGCTCTATGACAGCAGCATCATCTCTTACCTAACAGCTCTATGACAGCAGCATCATCTCTTACCTAACAGCTCTATGACAGCAGCATTATCTCTTACCTAACATCTCTTTGACAGCAGCATCATCTCTTACCTAAAATAATAACCCCGTATTACACAGGTCACTAATGAATTAAAAATGTTAAAATTATTCATCTACATAAAAAAAAAAAAAATTCTGAATATATAAAGATATATAAAAGACGAACTCAATAAATACAAACAGAGTGAAGCATTAACCGAAATTCATTCCCCAGGATCTCCCCACCCCCACCAAAATCTGAGTGGGTGACTCATGCTGTGACCCTGAGATCTCTATCACTGAGGCTTAAAAGAAAATTTGACATCAACTTTGCTTTTAAAAAGCCACTGGGGTCGTAAGGAAACCCCCAAAATGTCATTTTAGTGTTAATTTATTGATATCCTGGCCTATTAAACACTGCACTAGCACACATAGAACCAGTGGAATTTAACTATGCTTTTTGAGAACATGTCACTGCAGAAATGTCTATATATCAGCACTTACAGGACTGTGTCACAGCTGGAAGTTACTAGATTTAGTCTTTCTCTAGATGACAGGGTTAATATTCACAACTAGCACAAGAGACCTTGTCCTTTGTCCTGTCCGGGATAACTGTCTGATCTGCTAGTGCCAACATGAGCAGGGGAACATATGATATGAGAAATCAGTGCTTCTGAGAAATATTACCCTCAGGATGCTGTGATTTAAACCCTGGTACATCTTAGCCTAATGTGACACTAACTTCTCAGCCATGATTTCATTTCATTGTACAGTTTTTTTTGTGGTTGCTTATTTGCCATTTTTTTGTTTTTTAAAATGCTGATTATATTTTTGTACAGGGGATGCAATGTGTTGTTAAACTGACAAGCTGTTTGGATGAAGTGTACAAGGCTTGCATTGTGCTGGCCACTTCATTCAGTTAAAGTATCAGTTATTTGAGTCTCATTTGTTTGTTCACAGGAAGCAAATAAATAAAAAGCAGGAGGTGATGGCAACATAGTCAAGTTAGGTTCAGATACAAATTGACAGGACAGCACTCAGGCATTCTCATAAGTGCTTAGTCCTTCTTTTCCACCTTCAGCAGTGAGTGCAGTGTTCCACTTCCAGTGGTCAAGCTGAAAATGAAGAAAAGAAAACTACAAGAGGAAAAAAAAAGAAGCAGGAAAAATTAATTATGATAACATGGATGATGGTGATGGCAGTTAAGAAAAATTTATATAAAAAAAAAAGGTTTAAAGACGACGTAGGTGAAAATAAAGTAATAATGTAAGGAATGGCAAAGAAAACCTCAGAGAAACTCTACAAAACCCCAATGTGTCTATGGTCAAGGTAGTCAAAACCAGAACCTTTTATCTCTCTCAACACCAGAAGTGGTAAAATGGGAAGTGAAAGAGAAGAAGGAAGTGCTTCTGTTGTTAAAGGTAAATAACTTTTTTGACAAATTGTCTAAAATTTACCACAGGGCTCAGGCAAGACATACACTATTGGTGGAGGGGACATAACTACACTGACAGAGGAAGAATATGGGATTATACCTCGTGCTATCACCCACATGTTCAAGATCATGAAGGTTTGTATCTAATTTTACTAACCTATGGACCTGTCAGATGTTTCTTTAAATGTCTCGTTAGTAGATCATGTTTGAAAGCTTTTTGTATTCAAGTCTTTCAATTATCATCATCATCGGTCAGCAGGTCCTTTACAGAACGTCGCTCTTTTCATGGCTGAAAGTCTTTCTTTCTGTAGCCAGTTCACTCGTCCTCTGTGCTTTCATGGTCATTGTTCATTATTCATTTCTGAGATCATCTTCATCAGACATAACCATAAGTGCTCTGAGACATAACCATAAATGCTCTGATCTCCTCATAAATATGTCTCCAAGTGTTTTAAGGTTAACAACTCCCATACTGTTCTGGCTGATGTAACGACGGATGGCTCCCGCATGGTTTTCCTGTCTTGCGGCTCCAACTGGTACACCCAAGGTACGCAGTCTATTCAGTGAAAAATCATTTTCCACGAAACTAAAAGCATCACCTCATTTAATCTCTCATATGGCATCGATGATGTCTCTCTCCTGTCCATAGAGGGCCCATTTCTCATAGTCGCTCTGCCAGCCAGAATGTCTGCTCTCTCATTGCCTTTCACACCAGCATACCCTGCGACAAAAATTGAAGTGATTTTGTGAAATGCTGCATACTGTATCAGATGGTGCCTCTCTTTCCATTTGTCTTCTGTAGCATGCTCATTGAGTCACTGAGAAAACATGCATTGATCAACTCCTGAGTTTCCAGTCATTCTAGGGCCTTTGTCACAGCCTTGACCTCCGTTGTCATGTTGCTCCACATTCATGGAGGTCAGCCTCTTTTGTTGCCAGGTAGCTTATTTAATTTTTTTGGCTTTTAATACAATAATAAATTTTAAATGTAAAAGAGTTCAGATAATAACTCATTTGGACATAAAGTTTTAATCTAGCAGTTGGGATATATGGGTCTGCACAGTGCGATAAGAAATGCTTATTATGTGAGGAATTACAGATACATGCTTCATGAGTTTAAATCTTTGCTGTCTCCACAAGGAAAGGTTGGCTACAGTATTCTCTCTGCTTGTTTCGGGGGACATTATGTGATGAGGCTCCAGTTTCTTCCATGGTGTGACTCTTATGCTACTGTCTTTGAAAAAAAAAACGACAATTGTTTTATGTGTAAATAAACCATCCACCATGGAAAGGAGAAGCATCATTATTTATATTAAGGAGTAGAAAGTAGCAAAATGAAGTCAGAAAAAAACCTTGCTCTAGCAGTGCAGAGACTAAACAGCCTCAAGAACTTATGGCACAGCACCTGCAGGTGAAGAATTTTGTTTGAAATCTGACATCTTTCCCATGGCAAATTTTGCATGTGAGTCACAGAAGGCTGCTCAGTCATTAAAGACAAAATCAGAACTTTTGAAGTGAAATAATGAAGAAAAATTCTTAGTATACCATAGACCAAGAAGAAGGAAAACGCCAACATCCCACATGATCAGAGAAGCGAGGAGAATTGGCTCATAAACAGCATCCTGTCCTGAAAGCTGAAGTATTTTGGCCTTGTTGTGGTGTCCAGGAAAGAACAGTGGTAGAGGGTACAGTTTCTGGAGAATGAGGCAGAAGCAGATCTCCATGAAGGTGAAAACAGGACATTGACAAGAACCACAGAGCACACAGGGCTGGGTAATTGGCTAGAGAAAGAGAGACTTTTAAGCGTGCCATGATGAGAGCGCTGTTCTTTTATTGATCTGCTGACTGATGATGATGAGAAAGTAGCAGAAAGATCTCCAGACTTTACGAGCTGAAAATGGCTGCCATCCCAACAATAAACAAGATGATTTCAGCAAGTTAAAAGAAGTCCATACTCATGCCAGTTGTGCATAAAACATCCAGGAGTGGATAAAAGGGGTGGGGGGGGGGAGAGGGGGGAGAGCGAAGAAGTTCCAAGGAGGCTGTCAAGCAATTTTTAAAATGAGTACATTTGTACTTGTAATAATCCATTTGACAAAATTTTGTTTTCAGTTTAACTATAAATAAAATGTTTAAAAAATATGAAACAACACATTCCTCCTCATTGTTTTCCTGTTTTATTGTGTCTGGAGAGGGGGGGGGGGTCATCGAGGTCTTGCCTTATACTCAGGGGAGAGCATCTCCTGAACAGAGTTGAAGACCACTGTGCTAGACACATATCTTAGTAGACCAGTCAGCACTCGAGGAGGGATGTAATCAACATCACACTGGCTGCATTTATTTCCTAAAATATTTCCTTTCTTAGGCTTGGCTGACTTGGGAGCAATAGTCATTTATGGAAAAAAAAAATTATACAAATTTGAACCCAAGACCTTTGATTCAGTCACTTCATAAAGTGGAGTTTAAAATGTATTTTTCTAGGAAAATAAAACAAAGACCTTTACAGTAAACGTTTCATATATTGAAATCTACATGGAGGAGCTGCGAGATCTGTTGTCTCTGGACACACCTGCAAAAGATCTCCATGTTCGTGAGGACAACAAAGGAAACACAGGTAGGCTATGTTTATGGTTTTACAATTATCCGAGGTTTTCAAGATAGGGGATGACCACGAGCTATCACGTGGAACCCCATGAGAACGACAACAGGTCGCCATGTGGAACCCAAGAACAACCACGTGGAACGAACACTGAGTATAAGGTCAGTCCCCAGTCTGGTCAAGTTAGTATGTGTTAGTATGTGTTGACCATCAGACTGAGAGGGCGTGAGAGTGTTCGTGAGGATGACAACGTAAGACTGAGTGTTGTGAAAGAAAGACCAGACGACAACATCCATCGAAGCCAAGTCCAGCCAGGCCAGTCTGTGTGAAGTCTGTGGTAACAACCAGATCCACCTATGCAGCAATGTGGAAGTGAAGGCGCCGAACTCTGGTCGATGAATGTGTGAGAAGTCAGCGTGTTGGCGCCTGAACGATGTCGTGCGTGTAAGCTGTGAATTAGGACACGGACGGGACATTCTATGTAAGTGATGAGATGTCAATAAACTGTATCGTACTTTTGGAGTCGGTGTCGGCTTGTCCCAGTTATGTCGTTTTAAGAATGTGGGCTAAGATCATTCACTAGACACATCATCTCCTAGACAACAAGCCCAAAGTCATCAACTACTTACTGCAGATACAGGACGACTTATTAAAATCATCATTAAACTTATATCTCAATAAAGAAGACACAAACAATAGATTGCACAATTTATTGCCTGGCATATTTCGTTGTATCTCACCAGGTGCATACTGCAGTAACAGTTATAAGTGAATCCTTTATAACTGAAATACAAATTCAAAAACATTTAATCACAACTGCATGTTTTACCATAGCAGCTACAGTATCAGAATCATCTCTTTTTGTTTACAAAGTTCAGGGCGGAGTTAATGAATCACGGCGGCTTCAAGAAATCTTATCATTCTGCCATTGTTTGACGTGTGAAGCATTAGAAATGTGTTGTTCTTGGATGACTGCCTGACGAGATACAGCGAAATATGCTAGGCTGTAAATTGTGCAGTCTATTGTTTGTGTCTTCTTTATTTAAATTTACAACAGGGAAACATTGGTTTGATAAACATATATCATATATCTGTCAATTTTGGTCCGTTTCCTGTTTGTGTTTTCCCTTCCCAGCTGCTACTTGAAGGCTTTATCTCCCTAAGATTTGGATAATCTCCTTCTGAATAGCAAGCCAACAAGACAAATTCCACATGAACGAATCAATCAGTCAATCAAGAATTGAGATCACTGCACCTGGGTCATTCCCACAAATGCTGTGACCCCTTCTTCAGTAGCAAAGAGTCAGCATGTAAATATTACCAGTTGCAACCTGATTAATTAAAAGTCCACCTATGTTTTCCCCTCAGTGTTAAATATCTGTCAAAACTTCTCTGACCCTTGTTGAATTAGTCTTTTAGTGGATGTATTCTCTGTCTGTTCTTTTGTACTGTTCATCTGATCCCAAAAAGCTTTCACCATGTCCATGTTATCATAGAGTCAGTAGCTCACCACCCAGAGGAGCAGCAGCAGGTAAAATATGAGTCTGCTCGTTACCTTGCACACCTGAATATCCTGGACAGAAAATCCATGATATGCCCCTGATCTGGAGTCTTATCAAGTGATGCAAGCCTCTCTGTTTGCAGGAAACCAGTTTACAATTTCCAAAGCAAGCTCCATGAGTCTTTTCTTGTGTTTGCAGCTAATGATTTCTGAAACAAATGTTTGTCCTTGCTACGATATCAGACTGACGTCTTCTTTGTTTATCTTCCCATATTGCCTGTCTTCCCTTGCAGCTTTCCTCTAATTCATTGTGATACTTAAACAGTTACTGTGGCTGACCTGTGAACTCTTATGGCCACAGTTATAGTTGGTGAGATACATTAAACAGCTACTGTGGCTGACCTGTGAACTTGTATTTTTATGACCACAGTTATAGTTGGTGAGATACATTAAACAGTTACTGTGGCTGACCTGTGAACCTTTATGACCACAGTTATAGTTGGTGCTCGAGAAGTGCAGTGTGAGAGCCTGGACGAGGTCATGTCTCTGCTAGAATCCGGCTCTGCAGCCAGGCACACAGGGTCGACACAGATGAACGAACAGTCCAGTCGGTCACATTCCATATTTACTGTTGTTATTGGTATGTATTATATTGTGTTTCTGTCTTCTTTAGATATTCACATAATTCTTCATTTATGCAAGGTCTATAAAGCATGTTATTTTCCACATGTTTCATCATCATCATGTGCTGTGCTGATAAGCTCACACGGTCACCATAATTATGGATCAGGTCTGTGTTCTTGTCTCCTGTATCCTTGGCCAAGCTGTCCAGGTATTTATCCTGTTGCCTTTTCCTTGCTCGTTTTCCATCAGTGTTGCCAGTTGTTACCAAGCTCTAGAGTTTATTTGTTCTCATAACGTGTCTGAACAACAGAGATCTGATTTACCTGATCAGTTTTTAGTTTTCATCTGTCTTAAGAAGCACTACCTTTGTTTATTTTCCTATCATTCCATAATATTCTTTGGGTTCTTATAAAAAAGAGAGTCGGCATGGCGGAACGGCTAGATGTTGGCTGCGGATCGGAAGGTTGTGGGTTCGCTCCCTGGCGGAGCCAGACTTTTTTCAAAAATGACCTTGGCTCCCAGGTTGACCCAGCTTTGAGTGGGTACCGGGTGCAGTCCCGGGAAGTAAAGGCAGCTGGCATGATATTGACCAATTCACCCATCTTATGCCGATTGGTCTATAAAAATATAGGTCTAGCCCTATATGCCCTATATGCCTAAAGGCGTGGAAGAGGGTCCTCTACTACTACTCTCTCTTCTCAAAAAGCACATCAGTTAATAATTCTCAGCAGCATCAAGGATCTGAATCTCAGTGTGAAAAAAAACTATGTGTAGACTGTATATAAAGATGTACCTCCAGTACAACAAGGTGAACTAGCTCACTGGCAAGATGTCCCTACTTCTACACAATTAACATGTTTACAAAAAAATAATTCTGGCGACTGTGTGAGCTGGAGAAAGATGACAGTCTACGCTTATCAGCACTGCACATGATGATGCGGACAAATGTTATGCTATATAAACCTTGCATAAATGAAGAATTGTGAAGTTACAGTCTGTCCACATGTGGGACACAAACTACCACCAGGTACAAGACAGTAACATCAGATGGTGAAATTAAAATGATGATAGCAAAGATGACATCCTGTGAAGGATACTTTACATGACAAGAAAGAGCAGGATCAAATATGGTGACATCAGGAGCAGTTATAGTCAGGTGGATAACTTATTTGATAATATTAACCCCAAACGAAAAAAACTACAAACTATAAACTGTATTAATCCCCTGAACTGTGACTAAGAAGCTTAACAAAGGAGGAGGGGAAAAACATACACATGCAGGCACACACACAAAAGAATGTTTCAACAGGAGCCTTTATCAACAAAAACCACAAAAACAAGGGGTAGAGTATCCTAGCCACTGAGGCTATGATACACAGTGGTCCTAGATTTGTGTGTGCATCGAGAGTTCAGTGTTTATAATTGATCTAGGGTTACCAGGTTGACCCACCTGAACTGGTGCCAGGAAATACCCTGGGAGGTAAAGATGGCTGGCATGATATTGACCTCATCACATCTCAAGTGCTGATTGGTCTGTAAAAAATAGGGTTCAGCACCATATGCCCATTTCACCACTGACGTAAAAAAAAAGACCCTTTTATTTGTATATTTTTACTCACAATCCAGATATATTTTCTGCTGTTAGGTCAGAATTGGTCAGAACCAGATCCAGTCAAAGACACAAAGGTCAGACAGCAAAGTGTCAATAACCTTTATGGATTGGAGGAAGATGGTAAATATGTGTTTTATGGATGCTTATGTTGAGGATAATTCTAGATGTGAATACTCTATCTGTTTCATTCTGGATTCTTTTGTGGGGTTGTGGGGGGAAGGGGGGTAGAATAGACCCACTGTATCCCAACAAGCATGTCATAAAAGGGGATTAATTAGGGTTTTTTTTAAATCTGATGTGTTGGGTCGAAAAGTATAGATATCGCATACTTGCTGTGCACAATCTTGATATCGCATACTTGCTGTGCACAATCTTGTGTGCCAACTGTCCTTTTAAAGGTGAGCACATGAAGGAAAAACTCTGGATATTTATGTGTGTACATGTGTTTTTGCATATGCAAATGTATAATTAGGATGTTTAGTAAATAAGGATATGTTTTTTTAAATTTTTTTAATGGGAAGGACTCACTGACTGACTGACATTTTACCCCACTGGGACATCAGCCAAGCGAAAAACACCCGGTGACACAAAATGCCACCAAAATGAGGATCACCTGGGGACAGGTCCCAGAAACCCTGTTGAGCCTGTAGGGTTATAATTAGGGCCCCTGACCACAGCCAGGGTGGGGCTTCAAAATAAAGAAACAAATGCATCCCACATTGGGACTGATATGGGAAGGAAAGGGTTGGGGGTATTTTTGTACATGGTTTTGAAATGCGTTTCAGGCTAACATTGAGTGCATAGAGAACAGAGAAGATTAATCAGAGTAGCAACACTGGTTTTGCAACTCTGCACTGTTTGCTGAAGGTGGGGACGAAGCGCTTATTGAATGCCTTAAGTCAAGTTAACTAACTTTACTCAAGGGGCACAACTGAAAATTGATTTTTTTGTATTAGGCTGAAAGGTGCAGATATTGCAGCCTAGCTGTAAACTACAAGACACATGTCAAATTCCATTTTATATTTGAACACATAGAAGAAGAAGATGACATTGAATCGGCAGCACTCAAAAGGCTACAAGAACTTTAAGTCAAAAGAGGTGTTGCCAAACAAAAACACTATAAAGGTGGCCAGTAAAGAATAGTAAACAAACCTGGGGTTATCAGTCACCACACGCTGGGGGATATACTGAAGATGGAATCTGAGCATTTATCGTCTTGTCCAGGTTACAGTGAGGATGGTCTTTCGATTAAATAACTACCTAACATAGAAGAAGGAGCCATCAAGATCACAACAGCAGTTTGATGAAAGCTCTTTCTATTACTGATATTGCTTTACATACAGATACAATGGAGCTTAAAATGAAAATAATAAAGTGCGAAAAGAAATTACAATAACCATGCTGTTGTTATGTACCATGTCAGTATTGTTTTTAAGGATGTCAAGAGTGTTAAGTGCTTGACTAGCATTTGTCATTCCTGAGATAGTGGTTATTGTGCTTTCACATGCATTTGTGACACAGTCTTTGGGCAGTGGACACTATACCTATACAGCAGCTTTGGTGCTAGCGTCACTTCATTGTGTGAAGTCATGCTTTTGTTGTTGCTGCCATTGACATCTCAGGCAAATGAAGGCTAGACATATTTTTATAAAATAATCTGGAAGCCAAGGTCAATTTTAAAAAGTAACAATGTGACTTAATGCAGATTTGAAGTGTTTGTCTATATAGAAAATGTCTATTCACAGATATGAGCCATTATATGAGTGGTAAATTTCATTTTGTTGATCTGGCCGGGTCAGAAAGAGCACACAAGACTGGAAACATAGGAGATAGGTTTAAGGGTGAGTAGTACCCTGTGTGTCCCAACTTTAAGGATAAATGTTTAATGTACAGTGGTGCTTCAGGCAGAGCTGAGTACAGTAGTGCTTCAGGCAGAGCTGAGTACAGTGGTGCTTCAGGCAGAGCTGAGTACAGTGGTGCTTCAGGCAGAGCTGAGTACAGTGGTGCTTCAGGCATAGCTGAGTACAGTAGTGCTTCAGGCAGAGCTGAGTACAGTAGTGCTTCAGGCAGAGCTGAGTACAGTGGTGCTTCAGGCAGAGCTGAGTACAGTGGTGCTTCAGGCAGAGCTGAGTACAGTGGTGCTTCAGGCAGAACTGAGTACAGTGGTGCTTCAGGCAGAACTGAGTACAGTGGTGCTTCAGGCAGAACTGAGTACAGTGGTGCTTCAGGCAGAGCTGAGTACAGTGGTGCTTCAGGCAGAGCTGAGTACAGTGGTGCTTCAGGCAGAGCTGAGTACAGTGGTGCTTCAGGCAGAGCTGAGTACAGTGGTGCTTCAGGCAGAGCTGAGTACAGTGGTGCTTCAGGCAGAGCTGAGTACAGTGGTGCTTCAGGCAGAGCTGAGTACAGTGGTGCTTCAGGTTCCAAACGCCCTGAGGGATGAATAAATCAACCTATGAACATAATTTTGAAACAAGTTTTGACTCAACCCATGAACAAATATAAAAATGGCATGTCTTCAACTAACAGACAGTATCAGTTGCATTCAGGCTTGTATGTTGTGATCATTGTCATTTCGTTGTTCTTGAAACAATTGATTTTGTTGTTTGATTGCTTTTTTGCATTAAATTAACCCTTATTATAGCTCCTAAGAAAGTGAAAAATGATATCTGAGCACGAGAATGGTGTTCGTGTTTCCGATCTCGCCAGGTAGATATGACGTGGCTAAATCTGCACTGTCTTAAAAAACACTGTCTTAAAGAACAAAGTTGAGCTAAAGTCGGCTGATCTGGCCAAATGATTGATTATGTTAATGAAGCTAAGGTCTCAGGTGCTAGAAAAATAGAAACAATTTTTAGCTACCAAACTAGTGACCAAACCACTTCCCAGGGTACAGACATCATCATCATCATGTGCTCTGCCAACTAGCATAGGCGCTAATGCGTCTCCACAGATCAAGATCCCTGGTTGCCTGGAACAGCTCTCTTGATGATATCCCTCCATGCCATTGTTTCAGTCCATCCAGCATCACCTCTTTTGGTCTGCCTCTACCCCTTTTTACACTGATCTTTTTAGTTGTCACAATGTTCTCCAATGTCTATCTTCTCATTATGTGGCCAAAGAACAGTGTTTGTCTCGTTATTGTTGTATATAGAGATCTACTTTCATTAGCTTCTTTCAAGCAATCATTGTTAGTTACTCTGGCCGTCCAAGGTATTCGTAACATTCATCTCAGAAACCACATCTCTGTTTCTTCCAAATTCTTCCTAATTTTTTAACTGACATTCTAAGATTCGCTGCCATACAGCAGAACAGGTTCTATGTAGCATTTTAGCATCCTCTTTCTGACATTAAATGAGAGCGATTTATTGCATAAGATGTTTTTCATTTAAAAAAAAAAAAAACAAGAGAAAAAAATACCAGAAACACCTACAGATTTTCTCCAATTTATTATGGAATTGAATTCTACTCTGAAGGAGTAGTCTTTTGACTCCTCCTTTACCATCTGTGTGTGCCAACAACTATCAACCACAGTGAGGGGTAAGGTTATACTGTATCTGTAAATAGTGGAAGACAATATGTTTCTGGGATGGGCGAACAGATGAATTGGATTTGCATTGATTTCAGTGGGAAAAATTGTTTTGGCTCATGAACATTTCAGTTTGTGAATGGAGTCAGAGAACAAATTAAGTTTGTGACGTGAGGTACCACTGTCACTGTCTGTGAATGAGTTTCTTTATGCTGTTATTGTATTTGTAACCTTCTGCAAGCTGATTCAGAGGAAGTTCTCGCTGTCTTTCTTTCTTTCTTTCTTTCTTTCTTTCTTTCTTTCTTTCTTTCTTTCTTTCTTTCTTTCTTTCTTTCTTTCTTTCTTTCTTTCTTTCTTTCTTTCTTTCTTTCTTTCTTTCTTTCTTTCTTTCTGAATCTCATGGAATTCTTCTTTCATTGAATCTGGCTTATGAAAGCTGTTCATTTTATGGCTTTTGGTCCAGGAGTGTGGTATTAAGCCCCCTTCTAATGGCACACAAAGCCACCCAGACTTGACTCAGCTTACTTCATAACAATCTGATCTGCTTGACTCTCATCTTTGAGATGTTTATCCTGCAGACTAAAATCATGGAGAGAAAAAAACTTTTTTTTTTAAGTGTAAAAAGCCCCATTGTTTGCAGATATATCACCCACCCACGCTAGACTGCAGGCTAGTCAATAGGGTGTCCCAGTATAACTGTGGTATGGTTGAACTGGGCTTCTGGTTTTGCTCCTGTTGGATTCTCACCTGAATAGTGACTCCTAGTCACTGGATGTCAGCGTCTGTGGCTTAGGCGTTACAAATCGCTTTGTTATGCCAGGGTGCCGGGTTCGATCCCAGCTACGAGCCTTGCGCCGTGAGTTGGTTTCGACAGTGGTATCGAGATGTTGACCGTCTAGAAAGCAGTGGCAAACTACTGGTCGTAAACTTGCCTAGGAAAGCCACCACAACCAAAAAAATGCTGGGGCTGGTTCTGCAATGCCCTGTATAGGATAAGCAACTATTTTTTAGTCACTGGGTGTTTATCTTTCAGGCTTCAATCCTGGAGGGGGAAAAGCAACTTTTTAATTATTATTTTAACACCTTCTGTAGGCTTTTGATCAGCTCTACCTAACCAGATTATGCTGACACCTGTGTTGAGGTTTCTTTATTTGTTTGGAGTTTGTTCAACATCTTCTGAAATTTCTAAAATAACATTGTGTGGATGCATCTCATGAAGAACTTGTTCCACTTTTCCAAATTGTTAGTGTTCTAACTGTAAGCGGGCTAAGATGAATTTAACTTGATTTTAGTTTGTACGACGAATATCTTGATTTTGTTTGAGTTCACTTGTGAAAAATACCTGGCCACTGTGCATAAAAAGGAAATAAAACTGCGTCATTTTGGCTTCCGGACTGACCGGCACTCGAGAGGCAGGAGACCTCGCTCAGCCAGCGGCTGATGCACAGTACATGTGCTCAGCAGCACATTTTCGAGCAACTGCGTGGGGATGAAGGGTTAGTCTGGCTCATTGACAATGATAATGGTGGTTAGTTTTTTATAGTTAGCTGTGAATTTGTCTCTAGTAGTTAAACTGTATAGAGATATATCAGTGTGTATCATCGCTCGAAGATATTTCATTTTATTAGTGAAGTGTTCAGCATGTTGGTTGTTGTTAATGTATTATTTGTGAACTCTCTCAGCGCTTAGTGTTGTCTTATGTTCAGTGAAATAAACAGATGGTGAATGTAGTAATCATAGTTTTAGTTGTTTTGATTCAGATTAGGACTTGTGGACAGTGTGCCTAGTTTACTTGTTACTGTAACCTGGACTGTATACAAAAGATCTCATTTCTGGGCTAAAATATTTATGTTTCTAGTCCCCACCTAACAAACTCTTTTCCTTTTATTTTTCTTGGTACTTAGGGCATTTTTTGCTTCTAGTACAAAACATTACAACATCCAGAACTGATGGTGCTTTTTTGGAGATAGAAGATTAATTTCATGTTGTTGGCTTTGTTTACTTCTTTCCACCAGTGCAGTGTTTGTTTTTACTTGCTTCTGTTTCCATAACAAGTTATCTTTTTATTTTTTTCTACAAGGAAAGCTGTCCAGTGGATGACAGATGGTAAAAAAAAAAAGATGTGGGAGTGAACCCGGACCACAAGGAGTTCGTCACCCGGTCACCGCGCAATCCGGTTTTAGCCAATTAGAGAGCCGGCCGATTTAAACTGATAAGAAATATTATAGGTAACAGACCAGCAGCAGTGGAGGTCCCTTGTGAATACCTTTTGTGTCAATAATGACGTCAAGGGATATAGACAGTCATCTAAGAGGAGGCTGTTGATAGACAAATTATTAGTGCTACATGATAGGAACTGTCAAAAGAAGCGCTAATAAAAGCTGTTTTCCTGTGTACAAAAACTGAATTTCTTTCAAGTCTAGAAATTGTGTTCCTTATCTAGTGTATATGCTAATTTCTGGCATCGAGAGCACTAATAAACATCAAGGTTTGTAGAGAGAATGGCAGATAACAGACAAAAACTGCAAAGACGCAAGAGTTGAAGTGAGTAGACCTTAAGGCAGACCAAGAATACGATAGGGAGATAAGATACTGGCAGACCTTCAAACACTTGGAGTCACCAACTGGGAAGAGAAGGCTAGACACAAAGATGAGTGGAGGCCAGTGATGTCTGCATCAATGAACAAGAAGATCTAAGAATCTCAGAATCACCTAACTTTTATTTGTTCGTTATGTTACTTCATTATCTTATAGCATCAGTTTTGTTTTTGAATTACAGAATCGATTCACATCAATTCTGGTTTGCTATCACTGGGCAATGTTATCAGTGCTTTAGGAGATGTCAAGAAAAAGTCAACACACATTCCCTACCGGGAGTCCAAGATCACCAGACTGTTAAAAGTAAGTCCGGCCACTCATATCTCTGGTTAATTCTTTCAGGTTCTCTTTTGGGTTCTTAACCTCCTCCCCCCCCCCTTTCCTGTTGGCAGGTGAGGGTGGGAAAAGACCCACTGCCCCCTGATTAACATCTTGTAAAAGGTGAATTATATAAGAAAGCACCATGGAACTACATCTGCCATGCACTCAGAATGGAAAAGACCAGACTCCCTCATCAAGCCCTCATATGGACATGTGAAGGGAAAAGAAAACGGGGAAGACCAAGAGAGACTCTACTTAGAACCATCATCAGGGAAGGCTCAACCATGGACCTGATGAACATCCAAGACCTACAACAGGTGGAAACAAACTGGCAGACATGGAGAGCTATGACCTATGCCCTATGTGCCACTCTACGCTCAAGAGGAAAGACTAACTAACTAAAAGGTGAATAATTGGGGCTTTGAGGAAATTGGATGTATTAGGCTGATAGGTGCCCTTGTACGAGCAAACTTAAGAGCATATGCAAAAGAAATCTTTCAGTCAACCACTAGTATCAACAGTTATAAGACAGAGACAATGGCACAATATTTGACACATCCTGAGAAGAATGAGCAGATAATTACAAAACAGGCATTGCAATAGGAAACAAAAAGGATTGAGTTAGCGAGGATGTCTTTTTGAAGGAAGCCTGACATGAATGTTGCTAAAGAGAGGAAGAAGGTGCTAGTCTGGATTCCATACAGAAATAATTGCACATGATGGAGCAGAATGGAGGAATAGACTGTGAGCCTTATATGACATGTTATGGCACAACAAGATATTGATGATAATGGTGAAAGCTATTTATAGGCCTATTTTAGTTCATGTTCAGATCTTGTGGAATCAGTTTTTTTTAATCCAAAGTAATCTAAAAATGCAACCTTTACATTTTCTGTAACTTCAAACTCTTTCAATCACTGCCAAGCTGTCATTACTTGACCTTCTCTTATCCCAAGGTGACTGCTTAGAAGAAGAAGAAGAAATCAGCAGCCAGCACACGTTATTCCTACATGTATTCTTGTTTGTGGGGACAATCTTTAGTGTTTTTCTATGTGTTTGTCATCTGTCTTCAGGATTCACTTGGTGGAAATGCCAAAACTTTAATGATCTGCTGTATCAGCCCTGCCTCCTCTAGCTTTGATGAATCTCTGAATTCACTCAAGTATGCCAACAGAGTAAGTCAGTCACATGTATGTTAAGGGGAGGAGTGTAATTAACAGAATCATACCAGTTTCATGACCTTCATCTAGAGAAGTATACAAACAGGTAATTTAGTTGTGTCTGTTGAGAGTGAATGAGTGGGTAATTCACACAAATATATAAGATAATTGGCCAGCTTCATTGAAAAATACATCAACATGTAATTTATTTGTGTCTGTTAAGAGAAGAATCAGATGTTTAGTGACCATCATCATAGAGGGAGTATATTATTACCAGAGATGTTATCATCATCATAGATTTTATCATCACCACAGATGTTATCATCATCATAGATTTTATCATCACCACAGATGTTATCATCATCAAAGATTTTATCATCACCATAGATGTTATCATCACCATAGATTTTATCATCACCATAGATGTTATCATCACCATAGATTTTATCATCACCACAGATGTTATCATCATCATAGATTTTATCATCATCACAGATATTATCATCATCATAGATTTTATCATCACCACAGATGTTATCATCATCATAGATTTTATCATCACCATAGATGTTATCATCACCATAGATTTTATCATCACCACAGATGTTATCATCACCATAGATTTTATCATCACCACAGATGTTATCATCATCATAGATTTTATCATCATCACAGATATTATCATCATCATAGATTTTATCATCACCATATATGTTATCATCACAATAGATTTTATCATAACCATAGATGTTATCACCACAGATGTTATCATCATCATAGATTTTATTATTGCCACATATGTTATCATCATTACAGATGTCATCATTATGATATGTGTTATCATCACCACAGATGTCATCGTTATGATAGGTGTTATCATTATCATCACCATTGATTTTATCATCACCACAGTTGTTGTCATCACCACAGATGTTCTCATCATCATAGATTTTATTATTGCCACATATTTTATCATCATCACAGATGTCATCATTATCATAGGTGTTATCATCGTCACCATTGATTTTATCATCACCATAGATGTTATCATCACCACAGATGTTATTATCATCACATATGTTATCATCATCACAGATGTTATCATCATCACCACAGATGTTATCATCATCACCACAAATGTTATCATCATCACAGATATTATCATCACCATAGATGTTATCATCATCACAGATATTATTATCACCATAGATGTTATAATCACCACAAATGTTATCATCATCACAGATCTTATCATCACAGATGTTATCATCATCAAGAGGAAAATAAGCTTGCTGGGTCTGTTGAGAGAGATGGGTAATTAACAGAATCAATCCAGGTCAATGACCTGCAGTTGAAAAGAGTCAAGTAAAGGACCAGGCATATGGTGCTTGACTTATATTTGTATAGACTAATCAACACTCATTAGGTGAAATGTTCAAGATCATATTGGCCACCTTTACTTCCCAAAAATTTACCTGGTACCATTTGAGGCTAGGTCAGCCTGAAAGTCAGGGTAATTTTTGAAGCAAAAACTCTGAGTTGATGCTTATTCAAACCCAAAATGTTTAGGTAGGTAGGTGAGTATCTAGCCGCCACGCCACTCATGTTTGCAGACGAGCATGCAATTAACATAAATGAATCAGAAAAGTTGCTATATTTATAGAGGGAGTGTACCAGCAATGTAAGTAAGCTGTGTCTGGTGAGAGAGTGTCTGGTGAGAGAGTGTCTGGTGAGAGAGTGTCTGGTGAGAGAGTGTCTGGTGAGAGAGTGTCTGGTGAGAGAGTGTCTGGTGAGAGAGTGTCTGATGAGAGAGTGTCTGGTGAGAGAGTGTCTGGTGAGAGAGTGTCTGGTGAGAGTGTTTGGTGAGAGAGTGTCTGGTGAGAGAGTGTCTGGTGAGAGAGTGTCTGGTGAGAGAGTGTCTGATGAGAGAGTGTCTGGTGAGAGAGTGTCTGGTGAGAGAGTGTCTGGTGAGAGAGTGTCTGGTGAGAGAGTGTCTGGTGAGAGAGTGTCTGGTGAGAGAGCTTCTGGTGAGAGAGTGTCTGGTGAGAGAGTGTCTGGTGAGAGAGTGTCTGGTGAGAGAGTGTCTGGTGAGAGAGTGTCTGGTGAGAGAGTGTCTGGTGAGAGAGTGTCTGATGAGAGAGTGTCTGGTGAGAGAGTGTCTGGTGAGAGAGTTACTTAATTAACAGAATTGTAACAGATTAGTTGCCGTCTTCATGAAGGGTAAGTTAGACTTGACTGTTGAGAGAAGTGGGTAATTAATTGAATAAGATCAGTGCCATGTTTGTATCTATGTAGAGGAGTATGCCACCAGTGTAAATTAGTCACGGCTGTTGAGAGAGTTTGATAGTTAACATTACCAGATCACACCAGCTGCCATCTTTATTTCTTAATAAAAAAAGTGTGCCACCTGTGTGAATCAGATCAGTCACCTTGTTCATAGAGTAAGTTAGCTGATATGAATCAGATCATTTACCTTGTTCATAGAGTAAGTTAGCTGATATGAATCAGATCATTTACCTTGTTCATAGAGTAAGTTAGCTGATATGAATTTCCAGCAGGTTCTGCCTTTTGCCAAGATGATGAGTTTAATATCTCCTTTATGGGCGATCTTTTTTTTGTCCTCTAAACACCGACATCTACATCATCATAAAAAGCATACAGCATCCTATCCCTAAAGCTATATGGATAAGTCCTGATGCAGTGAGGTAGATTCTCTGGCTTTTATTTCTCTGGCTTTTATTTAAACATTCTAAACAATTTCTTGTTTTAGTTTCTTATAACAGTTACATATTTTCAGGCGAAGAACATCAAAAATAAACCAATTATCAACAGAGATATCCAGTCTATCCGCTTTGAGGAGATGCAATGTGAAATTAAGGTATGGCAAACTGCCATCATTTTTTTTGTAGATCTCTCTTTTTTCTTTTTTTCTTTTTTCAATTCATTAATATATTATCATGTTGTGCCACAATATATCACATAGGGCTAGCATCTATTTTTGATGACCTTGGTGGACCTGTGACAGACAGTCTAACCTTTAACACACTAGACCTGGACACTTACAAAGCACACACCGCAATATTTAATGAAACATCACAGTTGAGAGATACGACAGTTGACTTCACACTGTGTGGGCACCTTTTTTACCGACTGTGCTAGCTTTACAACTCACTAGACAGCCGTTCTTTTCCCGTGGACAATTTCCAGGTCCGAACCCACACCTTATGTGATACACTCTTTTCTCACGCTGCCAGACACCACCAGGACTGCATGGTGGTCGTACAGTGTGAGGACAGTGTGCCAAGGGTAGACAATATAAAAACCTGACTATAGCTACCAAAATACCTCAACACCAATTGTACACTACAGTAGGACAAAACAACCATCACCACCAGACACTACACAACACCGAGACGCTGTACTATTCTGACGTAACTAAAACTAATTAACACAGTGTACCCGGTCACTACAATGTTATTATTACACACTAAGATTCTAATCCCTCCCAAACTATGTCTACTTTCTGAAATCATGAATGCTAAATCCCCGTCCCACAACCCTGTGGGTCTTTTCCTCAGTCCTTGAACTCCGTCCCGACCCTGTAGAAAGTGTGGCCTCATCAGGCGAGCATTCGATTCACCAAGACAAAACACGTCCAGTCACACTTTGTCACTGTCAGCTATATCAGGTTGAACTGTAGTTTCCACGCATACATGAACGGTTATGCTTACACCATGATGACCGATCCATAACTCTGCGTTTTGTACGCACACACAGTTCACTCTTTCTATGGTCTGCACCGACCCAAGACTGGTAAGTCAGGGTTCTGACAGTTTTAAAGCCAGCAGAAAGTGCTGTGACTGCCACCATCTCCATTCTCTCACACAGTAAACTGGTATTCACTTCTTTAGCTTCTCAACACAGAACCATCTGTATAGATAATACGTCACCTGCACGGAAATTATCATGAAATAGCTGTTGAATATCTTACTCTGCAAAAATAAAAAATACAAATACACTACAATCTGATTTGGATTCGTGGAAGAGTCGGCCACACATCAGAAGTTTTCTGCATCAGAAATAAATAAATTCAATTAACTCTTTCAATACATGCCAGTAGTTTTTTTTTTTTTTTACCCATTACATTCAAATACTATTTAGTTTAAAGAGGAAAAGTAAAAGCCCAAAGATGTTTAAAACACGGTTGGTTAGAAGGAGTGAAACCTGGCACGCTGAGAAAGTCAGTTGTCCTATTTTATGGGCTTTTGATAACATTAGACTTTGGGCAGTGGCCACTATGGCTGTTTAACAGCTTTGGTACTGGTTGCAGCTGCTTAGTGTGTGGGTACGGTGGGTATGATTTCATTGAGGTAAAAAAAAAAAGGTTTGCTTGGGTGTCATTGTGATCTCATTATAAACCAGTGATGATGTCACTGTGCTGTCGGGGCTGTGTTAACAAAAGCCCTCTTTTCTTGGTCAAATTGAAAGAAAGTAATTTATTTGCCCTGTTTATATTTATTTATTACTTCCCTTTCTGTAACAAAGTCACCTTTGTGCAAATTAAGGGGGTTGGGGCTGAAGTAAATTAGTAGCATGCATGCCCACAAAAATATAAATAGAAACAGATTTGCGTGCATGTTTTCACATGCGCACACTCGCACGTGCAAACACACATGAAAAAACAGGCCATATTGCTTTCTCTTTTTACAAAACAAAAGATAATGAAACTATCCTTGTTCTGAAACCAGGCACTGCGAGAGGAACTGGCCAGGCAGAAAACAACAGTGAGTCTGTATGCAGACATGGAAGGATTGCCAGATACAGGGCATATCAGAGAGCTTGAGGACAAAGTTGCCAGGTTGTTTTTTTGTTTCACTGCTGACTATTTACATTTTTGTGTGTGTGTGTGACTGCACTAATTAAATTGTCAGCGTCTGTGGCTTAGGCCTTGCGAACGTGCTTTGTAATGTCGGGGTGCCGGGTTCGATCCCTGCTGCGGACGGTTTGTCTTGTGATGGTTTCGACCATGGTACCTAGAGTCGACTGGCCAGAAAGCAATGGCAAACTATTAGATGTAAATTTGCCTAGAAAAACCACAACAGCCAGAAAGAAGACAGTTTTTGTTTCTTTAAAAGTTGTATGCAAAATTCAGTGTTATTTTTTTTTCATGTGTCAATCACATTAGTTGTTGCATCTTTCCTGGGCGCAGGGCCATGATTGTAACTGACTCTCAGAGCATGTTGAGAAAGGTGGAGACAAGTATGTTCCATACAGAGTGGCAAGCATCACTTCATAGGTTCCAGTTAGTTAACATCGTTTGGATATTCTCTCCAGGTCATGCCGGTGTGTTGGGAAATGAGCAGGCAGACAGACTGGCCTGGTTCTGCAGCACTTGGTGGTGAATTGATGTATGACAAGCTAGATGGGAGCGAGTGAACAGTGCAGAAGTGCAAATAGATCATCTATGGTCTGAGGAGAATGTAGGGAGTTAAGAGTGGATCTGGCAAATGCTCAACACTCAAGGGAAAGGCAAGACGGGTATACAACCAGACAGTTACTGGGGTCATCAGAATAGGAACTCTTCATTTGCTGCTGAAGATGGGGACGGAGAGAGTAATGTTCATCACTAACTGTTATGTATTAAATGTGTTCTACTCTTTGTGGGTTCCAGGTCCCCGTTTTTTTTGGGGGGGGGGGGGGGGCAAAAAGAATAGACCCACCACCACCAACAAACGTGTTGTCTTCTTCTTCTGCCTTGTGTCCCCCAATCGGGCACAGACCCTCAACCAGCTCCTGGCAAATCGCTCTGTCCTTCACCATTGCATGCAGCTCTACCCATCTTTTTTTTTTTCTTGCTTTTCTCTTTCTGACTTTTTCATGGTTGGCTGGTTTTTGTGGCTTTTGTTTTTACAGGATGAGGCAGCCAACCTCAAGCCCAACCCTATCCTTAGTGGCCTGTTATGACATCCTTGGTAGGACGTAGTGTTACTATTCTTTGCTTGTATTAGGTGAAACATTAAGAGTTTGCTGCAGTCGGACATGTGGGGCTAAAAGGCGCAGATATCTGCAAACCACAATGTGCCAGACACCTTTCTAAGAGCGGATGTTGAAGAAGAAGAAGAAATATGTTTTTGGTGAATGTTCTTTACTTTTCAGCCAGTTGAAATGCTGATGTGAAGACAAGAAAACTGTTAAATGTTTGATTTACAATGAGATTCATGTGTTTCAGATTGTGTTTTCAGCCTTATACATGTGCGTTGTGAGGGAGTAACAATGAGGGAGGGAGAGATAGAGAGTTTATGTACCGTATATATAGCACATTATATAGTTAAAAACTGTGACAGGCTTTTGTTCCACAGTATCTTAGTATCACATTTACGTGTTTACAATTGCCTACCTCTTGCTTAAATGCCTTCAGCATCGGCTGGTTTGAAATTTAGGTTTTTTTTCTTTCTTTACCTGCCATTGATAACATCTGCCATAATATTACTTTTACAATTTGTAAATGTTCTCATCCTTTGCTTATGTTATTATAGACTTCAGACAGAATGTGGTCACTACAGAATGGTTGCAGAGCAGGCCTACAAACATATCATGGAGATTCAGGAGAAAGAGATTCTGTCTAAAAGTCAGAATGTACGGCTGAGAGATTGGATGGAGTTGTTGGAGGAGGTAAGTTGTTTATGGGAGAGAATGGGTGAAGTTGTTTGTGTGAGTAACGGGTTAGAGTTGTTGAAAGATGACTATGGAAGAAACTGGGTGTTTGTGAGAGATATTGGGTGAAACATGAATGAGGTAAGTTGTTTATGGGAGAGATTGGATGGAGTTGTTGGAGGTAAGTTGTTGAGAGAGTTATTCATGGAATGGATTGTGTCAAAGTTGTTTATTGGAGAGACTGGGGGAGTAGTTGGGGCAGGTAAGTTGTTTTTGGAAGAGACTGGGTGGAGTTGTTGGAGGAGATATTTTTTCATAGGACATATTGTGTGGCATTTTTGCAAGAGGTAATTTGTTTGTGGGAGAGAAATGAGTGGGGTTGTTGGAAGAGGTTTGCATTACAGTGTTGTTTAGATATCCTGATTGTTTGAGTTGGTGGAAACACTGACAGAGAGAGGTTGATTGTTTGAGTTGATGGAAACACTGACAGAGAGAGGTTGATTGTTTGAGTTGATGGAAACACTGACAGAGAGAGGTTGATTGTTTGAGTTGATGGAAACACTGACAGAGAGAGGTTGATTGTTTGAGTTGATGGAAACACTGACAGAGAGAGGTTGATTGTTTGAGTTGATGGAAACACTGACAGAGAGAGGTTGATTGTTTGAGTTGGTGGAAACACTGACAGAGAGAGGTTGATTGTTTGAGTTGGTGAAAACACTGACAGAGAGAGGTTGCTAGAGGAGTTGTTTATGATCGAGTGTCAGGAGGTCTCCATCATGAAGTGGTCAAGTCATTTGCCTCACGCTCTAAAGGTCATGGGTTCATTTCCTAGCTGTGTCATTTGGTTCACAAGTACATTTTTTGTTAACAATGATCTCTGGGGATCATTGCTGAAGCTATTGCTATCAGATAGGAGAGATTGAATAGAGCAGCAGAATTTGAAAAGTATCAGCCAAAGTTTATGATTTGAAGCAAAGCTTCACACAAATATAAGACTTGTTATTTGTAAACATTTTTTTTAAATAGCAAAGTACACACCCCTAACTTAACATTAGCAGAAATACATTAGTGCTAACCATTATCCCATTATTATTGGTCTGAAATTCACTGAAACAATCAGTCAGTCAGTCAGATGGGATCTGCAAGTTGAAGGTAGATGCAATGGATCTTCAAATTCTCTGTCCTTAAACCTAGTTCTTTTTCTCTTCCGCTTTTGAGGCTTCAGTTTTTTAGGGAGACATAAGATTTTGTTTCTTGCTCTTTGGCCTCCTTGACCTCAGACATTGTGTTGTTGTAGAGTTTATCTTTCCATCGTATTATTGGTCTACCTCATGAAGTGTCTTTCTCTTCTTTTACTGAATGCCTTGTATGTTATGGCATCTTAGGAAATTCTTTGTTAGAGGGCAAACCATTTATTTTCTTTGTGTGTCATTTAGAATTTGTTCTGTGCTGACTTTTTCTCTTATGACCATATTCCTGATTTAATTACTTATTTACAAGGGGAGGGAGTTAGCAGTCCCAGTACTTGGTTAGCTTTACTGCATCTGAAGTTAATTTCATTATCCAGTTTACCAACTTCACTAAAGGTTTTTTCTAGATTTGTAAACTAAGATACCTGTTTAATGCCTTTGAAATCTAGTGCTGTATTTATGTTCTACTTCTTTCTTCCCATTGACATGAATTCTGTCTTTTCAGTGTCACTCCTAAAGTTACTTCTCAGAAAATAATACAATTGTTTCTTTTGATGCAGAAAATGGATAATTGCTTGATTTTAATGTGCTTAGGGTTAATCTGCAAAACAATTGTCAAACCATGTTTTCTTTTCTTTATGATGAGCTAACTGATCAGTGGACATGCTCACAAATTTTCTTGGAAAAGTAAAAAATGATGTATCTATTTTGTTTACACTAAGAATGAACATAATCTTATTTTTAAAAGACCATATTCCTTTTTTTAATTTAAATTATGAGGACACAGACAATATACTGCAGTCTATTGCCTTTAAACAGGATTATCAGTTCTCTTATATCTACATGACAGGATCCTATGGTTAATCTGAGCCTTTTGTGGTGACATGTGCAGTGTAACTGTTGACTGCATGATTTGTGCAGTTCAGTCAAATGGATTTGTTTGTTTGCTTTATTGCATGTTGTGCAACTTCTGTAGTATGCACCAATTGAGACAAGGAAACTAGTCTACTTCTTCAGCATTCCAAGTCCTAGGGGTTTATTTCTGCAGATATCACCGCCACCATTCATCTCTGCGATTGACATTCTCTTTTCTTTTGTGACTGCAAGTGTTTGTAGATCTGCATGTGTTTTATCTCTTCACTTGTCTTCAAAGTCTGTCTTGTGGTCTACTCTCTTTTTTGCGTGGGCAGTTTTTGTCTCTATGTTAACTGCCATTGTTTCTATATATGCCCCAACCATTGCAGTCTAGTAGCCCCTGAAGATGCCAGTTTTTAGTGGTGATTCTAATAAATTATAAATGTTGTTCTTACTTCATACTCCTATTCTCCACTGTTTGCAACTCTAATAAGTCTAAAGAATCATCATTTGACTGTTTAAAAAGTTTGTAGTAAAATGAAATATGCCTTGCAATAAATTGTGGAATATATTTTTTGTATAATTACTTTAATTTTGGAGACCCGGGTTCGACCCCTGATAAGATGGTGGAGTTTTTCTGTCGGGGACAAAATTAAACATCCTAAGCTGTACTGTGCATGGCCCTAAATCCTCAGGCTCACGAGCCCCTGTCTACACCGCTCTAACAAGTGGTACATACAGACAGTAGTGACAGTGACAGTGATTTTAAATGATTGTATTTGTCAGCTGAAGAGTACCATGCCCATGAATGTCAGCCCAGAGGAGATGCAGAATGGAATGATCAAGGAACTACAGCAAGAACTTCAAAAGGTAAAAAAACACAACATTGTTACAGAAGGTGAATTACAGATCTTGTCTCAACACAGTGAGGTGACTTTCTCAATGAAGAAAGCAAGCAAAAGTGAATTACAAAATTTATCTCAACATTTTAGGTGAAATTTACAATATGGTGAAAGAAAGTGATATTGAATTTTCAAAAATTTACAGATCTTGAGGTTAATTTGGAATACGGTGAAAAAAAGCAAAAGTGAAAACTTGTTTAAACATTTTTTAGGTGAATTTGGTTTGTGGTGAAAGAAGGCGAAGTGGTATTTAAAAACTTATTGCAAGATCTCGAGGTGAGTTTTGTATAGGATGAAAATAAGTGGAAGTGAATTACAAAAGTTGTCTCAGCACTTTTAAATAAATTTAGTAAATGATGAAAGAAAGTTTATAACGAAATTTATTTTAGCATCTTTAGTGAATTTGATATATGGGGAAAGGAAGTGAAAGTGAATTATGGAACTTGTCTCAGCAACTTCATGTAAATTTGATATATGGTAAAAAAGATCTTGCATCTTTCCTGTGGAAACATGGCTGTGAGTCATGAACTGTTACTCAGTCTTTGAACTGAAAGGCTACAGGAAATTGCTTAGAATACCATGGAACAAGAAGAAGAAGAACACTGACATGATCTGAACATAGAGGAGAATTGGCTTGTAAACAGCATCCTGTCCTCAGGGTTGATATATTTTGGCAATGGTAAACGTTGTGGTGGCCTAGAGAGAACGGTGATGGAGGATGCAGTTTCCAGGAAACAAGGATCAGGCCGACCTTCATAAAAGTGGATACAAGATATTGAAGCATTGGCTATGAAAGCACATAGGGCTGGAGAGTTGGCTAGAGAAAGAGAAACATTCAGGTGTGCCGTGAGAAGAGCGACGTTCTGTAGAGGATCTGCTGACTAAATATGATGATGAAAAAAGTAAAATACAAACTTGTTTCACACCTTGAGATATATTTGTTGTGTGGGAGTTGGTGTGTGGAAGGGGAGTGTTGAAATGGGCATAATAAGTGAGAAAGGATGTGTTTTTATTTAAGTGTGTGTGGTATGTGGTGAAAGGATGTGAGTTTTTGTGTGGAGAGGCTGTGGGGGGGGGGGGGGGGGGGGGGGGGGGGGGGGGGGGGGGGGGGGGTGGGGGGGGGTTGGGGGGGGGGGGGGGGGGGGGGGAGGGTATTAAGAGAAGGATTTAGTCATGTTTTTATGCTGGTTCTGTTTTCACTGTATGAAGGTTAAAACCGGCACACTGACAATTTTTTGGCATATGTCTACTCTCAGTGCCGTACTCATCTTGAAAGTGATGAAAAGATTTTTGCCGAAAAGTCTCGTGAAATGAATCAGTTACACGATACTATCAAGGAGTTTGTGAGTATCTTTTCTTTCTGACTGTCTAAGTAAATTGTTAATACAATTTTGGTTAGTAAAAAAAAAACAAGGAAAGAAAAATAAAATTAGTTAAATTCTAGTCTTGATTTATTTGTAATGCAGAAGCTGTTAAATTTTATTGTGATGGTTCAACTTAGCTTGGTTTTTTTCTAGAATATTTTTCACTGCACACAGAAATTTAAGTATGCTTCATTATCCTACAATATTTAGTATTATTATTTAAACATGCAGATATAACTAGAGCACATTCTAGTGTTTGTAGCTAGGACTTGGATGTTTTTGATGATGTTTATCATCTATTAAAGGAAGAATTAAAGGGTATAATGTATGTAAAGAGTGATGAATTAAAGGGAATAATGTATGTAAAGAGTGATGAATTAAAGGGAATAATGTATTTAAAGAGTGATGAATTAAAGGGAATAATGTATGTAAAGAGTGATGAATTAAAGGGAATAATGTATTTAAAGAGTGATGAATTAAAGGGAATAATGTATGTAAAGAGTGATGAATTAAAGGGAATAATGTATTTAAAGAGTGATGAATTAAAGGGAATAATGTATGTAAAGAGTGATGCATTAAAGGGAATAATGTATGTAAAGAGTGATGAATTAAAGGGAATAATGTATGTAAAGAGTGATGAATTAAAGGGAATAATGTATGTAAAGAGTGATGAATTAAAGGGAATAATGTATGTAAAGAGTGATGAATTAAAGGGAATAATGTATGTAAAGAGTGATGAATTAAAGGAGATAATGTATGTAAAGAGTGATGAATTAAAGGGAATAATGTATGTAAAGAGTGATGAATTAAAGGGAATAATGTATGTAAAGAGTGATGCATTAAAGGGAATAATGTATTTAAAGAGTGATGAATTAACCCTTTCGCTGCTATGGACGAGATAACTCGTCTGCCCGGCAGACTGCTAAAGACGAGATAACTCGGCTGCCATTTTCTGTGCCCTCACTGCTAAGGACGAGATATCTCGTTCTGGACATTTTTTTTACAGATTGCTAAGGACAGTAATTCTTAGGGGTGAAATAGCAATACACATTAACTTAATCTGATCAAACTGACCCGTTTACATACAATTAAAACCCTTATCGAGTGAGTTTAGGCGTATTTAGATGCATTTCACGTTATCCTGTTTCTTTGTTACCATAGAAGCATTGTCGGTGATCGGTAATTTTTTTGCCCTGAAATATATTTCTGGTTTTGCGTTAGTCTAATTTTTTTTTAAAATACAAAATAACAAGAACATTTGTTTAAATAAAGAAGAATTAATTGAGTTTCTTTCAAGGAGTAGTAGTAAGGATCACTTTGAAACGTGTGAGTTATATGAGCTGGGTTATCTTTGCGGCACGCCGGCGGACACGTGTACTTCTGGCTGTGAACAAGACTGACCAGTGACCATATGACCTAGCTATCTACATCGACTGGATTTGAAACGGATCCAAAATAATCAAAAAAAAAAAAAGATATAGTCACGTACTGACGTGATGATTAATATTAATTATATACTATACAACTCACATAAATGTGTTTGTCTATTAAAGAGTACAATACTGGTCTTTTTTTCAGTTCATAGTTTCATGTGAATTTCTAGTGTAGTTGGTATCACGTCTGCCTTACAATCGAAAGGTCCAGCGTTCAACCCCTACGTGCCGTTTTTTTTAAAAAATTAATTATTTTAAATGCAAATTTTAAATTTAAGCTGTTAGCATTTTCGGCAACAGATAACCAAAGAAATAATTAATTAAACATCCTGTCACGTGCGTTCAGGTGGATTTAGATGCTTTACACGTTATGTGAAGCGTGGTTGGTGTACTGTGCACATTCATTATATAAAGTTGTTGTGGGGAAAAACACACCTGTTGCCGAATTTCACTTAATGTTAGTAAGAGAAATTCTACATAAATATTGCAAGGAAAAGAGAAAAAGTGTAGGAGGACAAAAAAGTGAAGATCTGCCACTTCGTTTAGTACAAAGGCATTCCCCTTCAATAATAGAGTCCGTAACATCGCAGAAAAAATTCCCAACCAGAAAGTGTGTGGTATGCGCAAAAAGCAAAAAACGACGGAAACCCAGATACATGTGCAAGGAATGTGATTTGGCATTGTGTGTCGCACCTTGTTTTGAAATATTTTACACACAAAGATATTATTAATAATAATAAAAACCATGTATTTGCTTACTAAAGTGTTTTGTGTTTGCTTTGTAAGTTTGTAGTGTTTTCTTTTTGGTAATGAGTTTTCACGGCGTAGTAATAGCGCGTCTGACTTGTCAGCGCAAAGTTCAACCACACGCCTTCAACGATTTTTTATTTTAGGTGTACAATTTTTACCCCGTGCCGTAAGCGCGTCTTCTGCTTTTGAAGGAAAAAACGGTATTCAGCACAGGGGGAAAGATTAGCTCTCGCCTGGCTTAGCACAGTGGTTACGTTGGCTGGTGGAGGGCGCAGCAGCGAAAGGGTTAAAGGGAATAATGTATGTAAAGAGTGATGAATTAATGGGAATAATGTATGTAAAGAGTGATGAATTAAAGGGAATAATGTATTTAAAGAGTGATGAATTAAAGGGAATAATGTATGTAAAGAATGATGAATTAAAGGGAATAATGTATGTAAAGAGTGATGAATTAAAGGGAAAAATGTATGTAAAGAATGATGAATTAAAGGGAATAATGTATTTAAAGAGTGATGAATTAAAGGGAATAATGTATGTAAAGAGTGATGAATTAAAGGGAATAATGTATTTAAAGAGTGATGAATTAAAGGGAATAATGTATGTAAAGAATGATGAATTAAAGGGAATAATGTATGTAAAGAGTGATGAATTAAAGGGAAAAATGTATGTAAAGAGTGATGAATTAAAGGGAATAATGAATGTGAAGAGTGATGCCAGAAGGGCAGAATATAATAAGGGCCCATTTTTTGTGACCAGTAATTATTAACTTTTTGAAAATACAGTTCAGTTGTTCTTTTGTTTTCTGTTTGTAGCACTGGTTGGTGTTGTAATGTATAGATACAAGATACACAAGGACGGAAATTTTGCTTTGTAGCAGTTAGAGTCCTATTTTTACAGGAATTTGCTTGAAAATGGTTATATCTAAGTCTAGGCCATACAGTGTAAACATTGCCATTTTGCTGTAAAACAGATACAGTGCAACTATGCTTTTCAAGGCAAACAGGCAAAAATAGGAGGGTATCACAGATTATAATTTAATTTCCATCACACAGGCCACTCAAGAAGTGCAAGACAGATACATAATACCTTGACAGTGTGCTATAAGCCAGAAACACTGTGCTATAAGCCAGAAACAGTGTGCTATAAGCCAGAAACAGTGTGCTATAAGCCAGAAACAGTGTGCTATAAGCCAGAAACAGTGTGGTGACAACAGAAGGAGATTGTATAGTTAGTGATATTTGTCCACATGTAGGTTCTGTAGCCCCGTTGTGGGGGGGAAACAGAATAGACCTGCTGCCCCTCTAACAAATTTGTCGTAAAAGTCCACTAATTAGGGGTATTTCCTTTGAGTGCATCTGCCTGAGAGGCCAGGAACCAACAGTCTGCTTACAAATAAGCTAGATCTGTAAAACAGATGTGCATGCAAAATTCAAGTTATGAAACAAGGCTGTAGTCCAGAAAAGTACCCCCCTAAAAAAAACTAGAACTTTCCGCCAGAGTTTAAAGTTGGTGATTGCAAAGAAGAAAGAAGAATTATATTTGTGGGTGTACATTATAGGAGAAATCTGCCAGTTTGATGGAGTCACAGCTGCATGAAGAAATGATGAAGTGCCAACAGCAAGCTGAGCAACTGATTTCACAGCAGATTAGGATAGACGAGCTGGAGGCTGCCCTGAAGGTAATGTAGACCATAGTCATGTGAACAAGTCATTTGTAAATATTTCATTTATTGCAAGTGTTCCTGGTGAGGCTTGTAATGTAGAAGAATCTGTTATAACATGTCCCAGATTGATGCAGCCTAAAATTGTTACCAGGTAAAGTCCTGGGAAGTAAATGTGGCTGGCATAATGTTAACAAGAACACCTGTCAAGTGCCAATTGGTCTACAAAAGCAAAAATAAGTTTGGGTTTGGCTAACAAATGTTTATTGGATTTGCACTTGTAATATGGCAGCATTGTAAGCTTTTGACAATTTTGGCTAATAAATAAATGTGATTCTGGAATGAATTGAGATATCATTAGGATGGAAAATGCAGTTGTACAGGCATGCAACCAGATCTACCGGCCTCTCCAAAATGATAATAAGGGCTCTTTAGAGAGGAAAAGAAGAGGAGGCAGACCAAGAAAGAATTTGACTTAGACAGCCTTAAACCTTAAACATGCTAACATTAAGTCCGTTGCAGATGACTGACAAAGGTTAAAGGTTAAATGTGAGAGGATCAACTTCAGTGCACTGGGTTTTATCCCGTACAGCTTGATCCCTCTTTGTAGAAAGGGGTCACCCCAGAGTTTCTCCATTCATCATCCAATGAAAACCATGCAGAATGTCCCATGTTAAAAAAAAAAAAAACAAAAAAAAAAAAAAACGACGCAGGCTGCTGTCTCAGTAAAGCCAGTAGCATAATTATGAATTTAATGCATAAGGCATCCATCAGAAGTACCAACACAAACAGTCCAACACTAGAAATGCAGATCGTCGTAAATGGAAGCAGCAATTACTGCAGATCTATTGCTGCATATGCGAATTAATTAATTAAAGGCACCAAAAGAAATAGATGGTTTTTAAGTGATTCTTTTCAACTGTATAAGGAGCATTCATTTGAAACCTGTACTAATGGCTTTATTACATAAGCATGAAAGAAGCATCAATAGATGTGGCAAAATTAAACAAAGGGTTACTTGGTCAGACAAGGTCACCATAAGCAATCATACAAGCATTTTATTGTTCAGGTATGTACCGAATGCCGTCTGCAAAAACCACTTTTGGTTGCTCACTGAGCCAAGTGTTTACCACGATCATTGCGCCTGCATGAAATTGTTGCCCCTTGAGAGATTTATTTTATGAGGTCCGAACAAATACAAATAATATGGTGACAAATCAGGACTACAGGCTGAATCTTACAGAATTTCCCGCTTCTTCCTTGCTAGCACTTCCTGCACAGTCTTTGTAACATGCAGCGGATGATCATTATTCTGCAACAAAATCACACTGCAAGAATGCAAACCATGATGTTTATTCTTAATGGCTTTATGTAGTTAGTCTTTTGTTTCCAAGTATTGATTGCAGTTGATTTTGGCATTAAAAAAGTAAAGTAAAGGATCTTTTTTTCATGCCTTTAGGCATATAGGGCTAGACCTATATTTGTATACACCAATGGGCACAGTATGGGTGATGTGGTCAGCATCACGCCAGCCGCCTTTACTTCCAGGGACTGCACCCAATACCCACTAAAAGCTGGGTCTACCTTGAAGCCAAGGCCATATTTGAAAAAAGTCAGGCTCTGCCAGGAAGCGAACCCACGACCTTCTGATCCGCGGCGAGCGTTGATGTTGACAGCATGTTCTTTTAAGTCTGCCATCAGTAGCTCTTCATGGTTTTAAATAAAATGTGCTTAGCATAACCTTACCAGTGGAAACCTGTAACTGTAATGTGTACTTGTACTTTAAACCCGGGATTATTTGCTATATAAATTTGTGCTAAACAACTGTGTACACTTACCAAAGATCTTTAAATGCATTGTACTTGATTTTAACTGAAGTTTCAATAATTCAGATGACAGCACTACAGGACAGCAGTCTAGATGAGACATCTTCACTTCCACTAGCATTGACTTCCACAGGAGGTATCTCGGGAAGACGACCAAAGTCAGTGCCTGCTCATGTGTATAAGGCACAGGAAGATGTGAGTACCTGTGTGTCTCATGAAAGATCTTTCTTATCTATTCTACCACTGATGTTATGGCAAGATGCAGGCTTATCACTGCAAGGACATCTATGTAGTTTTATTTTTTAAATAGTATTCTTCCTCCTCCTCCTCTCTCTCTTGTCTTTCTCCTCTAATATGTTGTTGTTCTTTTTTCTTATTTTTCCTCTTCCTCCTCCTCCTTCTTCTTTCTCCTCCTCTTCCTTCTCTCTTATTGTTTCTCCTTCTGAACATCATTTTCTACTTCTTTCATACGGGTGTCCCTGTGATCTACAAGGAATGGCTGGCCCAGTGATTCAAGCACTGGGCTGACATTGGGGAGACCTGGATTAATTTTTCACTAAATGATACAGATTGTTGTCTCCGTTAAGAAAACAAATGAAAAATGTTATCCTGCTGAGTCCATGGAGACTGCACTAGCCATGCAGGTGGCCGATGCAGCAGCAGCGGGGGTGGGGGAGGGGGGGGGAGTTGTTGATAATGCATTATATCAACATTGACAGTCTCTGTGGCTTAGAGGCTGTGAACACAGTTTCACAATGCTGACATACCAAAGTTTGTTGCAGATAATTTTTATGGCAGACCATTTTCTGTTGATTTTGACAAGGTTAAGTGAATTATATAACTTATACAGCAGTAATAAACTGCTGTATGTAAAATTGTCTAGTAAAACCACTAACAGCCTGTGATTGCTCAGATTAGTTTGCAAAATCTTGAAAAGGATTTGTAGCTAATGTGACACAGCTGTCTCTGCGACGTCAACCCAGGTTCCTTCGTATTTATCACAAGGGTGGCTGGTGATGTTTATAGACGAGGAGAAAGATGGTCGTGTCGTTAATGGTGATGATGATGATGTCTTGCTCACTGCATGCCTCTCACGTGACTCTGCTTGTATAATAAAGTGTCTGGAAACATTTATTCTTGTCTTTACTTTCTTTATTATGATACTCCAACAATGTCACATATAACATCAAATGACCTTCTGAATAATGCTAAATTATCTCTGTGGCTAAGTACTCGTAGAATCGCGTTGTGTTCTTCTTCTTTATTTACTTTGTTAACTGGTTCTATTGTCTCTAACTGCCACCTGGCTCCTAGTGTAGGTTGGTCAAAAATGGTTTTTATCTAATGTTGTCTATCTACTTATCTATGCTATCTAAACCACCTTCCTTTCCCGGTCTAGCTGGCCGGAGCTTGTCTTCTGTCCTCTCCTGCCTGTCCTCCTATCTGTCCTTCTGCCTCTAGCTGTCTCCGAGTATCTCCGTCTGTCTCCTCTCTTCTGTGTGTCTCCGTCTCCGTCTGTGTCTCGTCCCTTGTCTGTCCGAGGGTCCCGGGCGATCGCTTATAAAAGGGTTACTAGCCTGCTCCCAGGGGGCTCCTATCCACGTTGTTTTGCAGATTCTGCAGCGACCTTAGCCCGCCGGGTCAGTGGAATTTTAACTATGTAAAACTAATTGTTTTGTGCAGGACGGGGAGAGTCACATGATGTCTAGTCAGACGACTGGAAGTACGTGGGAAACAAGAGTAGGGACCTAGGGGGGATATAAGTGCTTGTTAAGCACAATGGAAAAGTTCTAACCATAAGGGTGAAGGCCATAAGGGGTCTTGTCGTGCAAACAGCACAACACTAGAAGGGGGTAGGGGTAATGACTTTGTTACACTAATTAATTATGCCTTTGTGTTGTGTGCTGAATTCACTTAGCTATTTAAGTGTACTAGAGGTCAGAGGCATGATTGCCTAACTAGTTGTAAAGGTGCTAGATGCTGATGATGACAGATGAGTGAAAAAGGTTCACGATACTTGAAGTGTGAGACAAGTGTTTTTTTTTTAGATTAGCAGATAACAGTGGCTCCACAGGTATTGTGAGACCCAAGTGTGACTGGCCGCTGAATGTGAACCCGTGTCCACGTCAGTGCTTCTCGCTCAATGAATTTGGGTGAACATGTGCAGACTTGTGTGACCTTTATTCATAATTATGTGTCCCCCCCTCCCCCCCCTCCTTCCTGTATTGCATATTAACCAAATCTGTCTTATAACTGGATAAATACACGTTGAGTCCTGAAAAAGATCTGAAATTAAGTAATCATGACCTGATTAATTTGTTTATTTTGTCTCATAACTGGATTAAAATATGTCAGTTGTATCTTCTACTTGTTTTTTTTTTTGGTCAGCATTCTGAGCCCTTCAGGTTGACTGCTGCAGATGTTACCTGCCCCCATCATCTCTGTGACTGAACTTCTCTTTCCATTTGGGGACTACAAGTGTTTGTAGCTCAGCCTTAATATCATCTTCATCTTCACATTGACTGACTGTAAACTCCAGGGGCAAGTTCTGGGTGTTCATTCACCTCCAGACTTTAGTCTTGTTCCAGAACTTGGCTTATGTATACACAGACTCTCAGGCAGATATTCTCCAACTTCAAAAGATGCCCCCAGTTAGTGCGCTCCTGTGACATGCTTGTTGGAGAGGCACTGAGTCCATTCTTGTTTTCTCCGCAGTGGAGCCCCGAAACCAAACGGGGTAGCCAGAATATTATCTCTCCACCGTCATTTTGGTTTGCCAACTTGATTGTCATTTTAGTTTGCCATCTTGATTTGCCTTGTAATCTGCTCCCATTCAGACTATCCATTAAAAAATTGGCTAATTCCAAGTTATTCTTGTATTTTAATTGATTGATTGAACTTTCAGGGTAGCCGGCTTCGTCCAGCCTCCCGACTGATCAAAACAAGCCCTGCTCACTTCACTCTGGAGCGAGTCATGCAAAGCTTCAGGGCCAGGAGTCAGCTGTTGATCAGCAGGCTGGAAGATGAGGATGATGTTCTTCATCAGACTTTTAGTGATGACGAAGATGAGGAGAAGGAGGAAGAGAATATTTCACCAGAACAAAATGGGGAGTTTGGAAAGTACGTTAAATTATTGGTTTTTATTCTTTTCTTCGTTTTGATGTGCTGTATTCAGATGGTTCATATTCAGTACATTCAGATAGTAACTTTCATTTGCAGTATTCAAATAGTTAATTATTATTTCTTTCTTTGCTCTTCTGGTCAAAAATGGAGGACCAGGCACGACAAGGAGTTACGGACAACTTGAGACTTTATAACATCACGGCATATGAAGCGACTGAGCGCGCCCTGGCTCGGTTGCCGATCATCTGATAGACTGCGACGCCTAGCGGCACAAGCAGATTTTGACAAAAGAAGAAGGCACGACAAAATGTCGAGCTTCAAAGTTTTATTTTGCTTTTGATAGCCTTTTGCTAATGCAATTTCCACATTTGGACTGTAGTCTACAGTTTTGCTGCCTGAGCTAATGATTTAGTGCTTGGTGCAGCCCTGTGAGCTGTGGTTTTCATGTGGAAGGCCTTTTATTTGTACAGCGGTTGAGTCGTAGCATTCAGTATGGCTAGTAGCCGGTTTACGTGTGGGCTGGTGAAATAATTCTACGTGTGTATAGTCAACTTATTGTGCCCAACTACTTCCATCAATGACAAACTGCATTTCTGGTTGGCTTTGGCTACACTAGCAACTGCCATATGCATTCACTGCCTACGCATATTTCTAGATTGTGTCAGGGCCAAGATTGTGTCAGGAGCAAGATTGTGTCAGGACCAAGATTGTGTCAGGACCAATTTTTTTTTTTCACCAGTTTTTCAGGTTGGACAGGGAGGGACATTTCATTTGATTTTCACTGGCACGGGAAAGGAGCAAGTATGGGGTGACCCAATTGCAGTGAAGCTGAAACTTCGACTAAGACTAACTCTTTGCTTGAGACTAAGTCTTTGCTCATTGTCACTTTTTTATGCATTTTTTCAGAAGCTGGTTGCAAGTATTCTGCATCTAGCCACTGTGCTACCACCCAGCCAATCATGAACTTTGTATAATTTATTTTTCAGTGGAATGTTTTACAAAACTGTAAAACAGTTTTATCACTGTCAGAGAATGTTTGCTTCTTCATTTGCATGTCACTTTTTCTCTCTGTCGCTGTCATTTTCTTTACCCGTTTCTCTCCCCTCTCTCTCAATCACTATCCGTTTCATTTCTCGCATTCACTCTTTCTGTTTCTCTTTTAGTTACCTACTGCAATCCCCATTTTTCCACCTCTGCACCTCCTGCTGTTACTAGTCAGTGTCCTATCTGCCCCTCCAGGATCAACATTTTTAGTCAAGTAAGGATCAGCCCTCTCTGTATTCATCAAATAAAGTTAGCTATCTTGCTACTACCTAATCATATCTGACTAAATGCAGTGATTTACCTGTCTACTGCCTTATCTTATCTGACTAAATGAAGTGATTTACCTGTCTACTGCCTTATCATATCTGACTATGACATGATTTACCTGTCTACTGCCTTATCTTATCTGACTAAATGAAATGATTTACCTGTCTACTGCCTTATCTTATCTGACTAAATGAAGTGATTTACCTGTCTACTGCCTTATCTTATCTGACTAAATGAAGTGATTTACCTGTCTACTGCCTTATCTTATCTGACTATGACATGATTTACCTGTCTACTGCTAATCTTATCTGACTAAATGAAGTGATTTACCTGTCTACTGTCTAATCCTATCTGACTAAATTAAGTGATAAACCTGTCTACTGCCTTTTCTGACTAAATGAAGTGATTTACCTGTCTACTGCCTTATCTTATCTGACTATATGATGTGATTTACCTGTCAACTGCTAATCTTATCTGACTAAATGAAGTGATTTACCTGCCTACTGTCTAATCTTATCTGACTAAATGAGTGATTTACCTGTCTACTGTCTAATCTTATCTGACTAAATGAAGTGATTTACCTGTCTACTGTCTAATCTTATCTGACTAAATGAAGTGATTTACCTGTCTACTGTCTAATCTTATCCGACTAAATGAAGTGATTTACCTGTCTACTGTCTAATCTTATCTGACTAAATGAAGTGATTTACCTGTCTAATGCTAATCTTATCTGACTAAATGAAGTGATTTACCTGTCTAATGCTAATCTTATCTGACTAAATGAAGTGATTTACCTGTCTACTGTCTAATCTTATCTGACTAAATGAAGTGATTTACCTGTCTACTGTCTAATCTTATCTGACTAAATGAAGTGATTTACCTGTCTACTGTCTAATCTTATCTGACTAAATGAAGTGATTTACCTGTCTACTGTCTAATCTTATCTGACTAAATGAAGTGATTTACCTGTCTAATGCTAATCTTATCTGACTAAATGAAGTGATTTACCTGTCTACTGTCTAATCTGATCTGACTAAACAAAGCTATTGACCTGTCTACTGGCTAATCATATCTATGATTATTTACAGGAAAAATGCCCAGATTCGGCGACGTGAAACCTTTAATATCAAGCCAGCTAAAGACAGTTTTGTTCACAGCTCTACAAAATTACAAAACTTACCGGACGTTACTGATCGCAATGGTAACTCAGTGTTGTTGAAATCTTAGTGATAGTTATTTAATGTCAAGGATTATTGTAGTTGTAGGATTAGTTTTCCACCGTGTGGATTCCGGGGCCCCATTGTCTATCGCTGTTCCCCATATTCATGTGAGGTACCAAAACTGCAAATTATTGGCTTTAAAAGTAAAAAAAAAAGTAAAGATCCCTTTTCACGCCTTAGGCGCATCAGGCATATGGGAAGAGCGTCCCATATTTTTACAGACCAATCGGCACTGAGTTGGTAATGAGGTCAGCATTACGCTGGCTGTCTTTACTTCACCAGGACAGCCATCCTGGTACCCACTTTAGGCTGGGTCGACCTGCGACGCCCCATACCATGATAAAAATCCATGCAACCAGTCGTGGGTATAATTATTGGCTTATTTACCACTTTTGTAGTTTGGGCAGGCGGGTCTTTGAGTCTGGAGATTTAGGGCCACATGGCTAGTGCAGTTGCAACAAAATATACATGTTAGGATTCTGTTTTTGTTCCCAACAAAACAGACTTCTACAACCTTACTGAGGATTCAAATCTTGGTCCTCCGCATGAGCACCCACTGCTCTTAACTGTTTGGCCAGCCACTTCTTATAAACCACTACCTTAGTGGGCCAGGTGAAATTGGGACTGGGTCACACATCCCAGGGACTGGGTCACACATCTCAGGGACTGGGTCACACATCTCAGACAGGTCTATCCTTAGCTACTGACAACAAAATTGCTTCCTCTTCTTCTTTGCGTTCCCCGGCTGTAAACTCTAGCAGAAAGTTCTGGGTATTCATCGACCTCCAGACTTTAGTCTTGTTCCAGAACCTGAGTGTCAGGTGCACATCAGTTTTACACATCTGACTTATCTGTATGCAGACTGTAGGTTCCTTGCCTCTCTGGTAGATGCACCCCAACTTCGAAGGAAGACTCCAGCTAGTCAACTCTTACTGCATGCTTGTTAAAGAGGCAGTGGGTCTGTTCTTGTTTTCTTCACAATGAGGTCCTGGAACCCACATGGGAACCTAAGAGACCTCAAGCTAACATCCTAGTTTATGGCCTGTAATGGATTAGGCACATGTCCATAGATTTCTGAAGATGAAGTAATCTAAGTTCTTGTAGCAGTTATGCAACTGCTATAGCATGTGTAA